TGCGCTTGGCTGCGGAGATTAGACACACACAGTTACGGTACATACTTGCGGTAACACAGTACGCTAGGTAAGATACACTAGCAGTCAGATCGCGATTGTGGCTTGCCTGTAGCCCACAAAAAACCTGCTTCTGGGATCGGGGCCTTGTGTATGGATGGATAGGTGGTCTTGAGCGTGGGCGTGCAAGGGGGCATTAGATGAGAGATTAGATGAGCGACGAGAGAAAAAATTCTCAACAACCAGCCCCATGAAAGTTTTAGATTTCAGGTGTTTTGGCGGGATAAGCGACAGAAGTTGGAAAATATGCAAGTTTGGTGGTTTGCAAGAATCCGCCGTTCCTTGTATTATTGTGGATATACCTAGGTAGAACATGCCAAACAAACGTGGTGGGTGGGTAAAAAAAACTGTCGTGGTCGTGGTCCACGTGGGTGTTCCCCATGCCCATAGAAAAGCGGCTCTTTCAGCCGCGGTGCGCTGATTATTCGATTCGAGGTTTTTCTTCGGCGTGCGTGGGGTATAGGTACGGTCACGTCAGGTTTAGCATTTCAGGCTATACGCTAGCTAGGGAGAGAGAAGAAGAAGGGGATCGTGACCACCGTTTGGCCGTACGCGTAAGCCGTTTGACCATGGCAGAGGCAACGATCCGCGTCATTGCGATGGAGCAATGCAAGCAAGGCCCCAGCTAGTCGGAACAGGCCGCTTAGTTAGCTTTGGACGACGACGACGACGGCGGCGAGGAAAAGGTACAGTATAGGATAGGGGGATGATGCTGACACGGAGGTTCTTCCTCTTTGCACATGCGATCGGATCGTAGCGGTTACGGTACTTTACGGTCTTTACCCCGCAGAGAGGCTAATGGAGAAGTTTGTTCGATACGAGTCAGGTACCAATAATCCCCCCCCTCCCCAAGCAAGCTTTACATGGCGCCATATTTGTAATTTCTTCGTGATGCCATCATGCGCTGCTTGGAGATTTGCATGGCTTGCATAGCGAGTCAAGCAACGGTATTATCACTCAAGTTTTATGAAAGAGAAAGCCTTGGTATATCGGTTCTCGATATTCTGTCCTAGTGCCGGTAAAGAAATGGCACGCGCGCTCGAAATCCAACGGACAGCATGAAGTTGGCATAAAGTGAAAGTATATTTCCGAATGGGTGTACCGTTTTCTCTCTGTTTGGCCTGGCGACCAACGCCACAAGATCAAAGGGGGTGACACCAATGCGATAAGCGAAAGGATTCGATAGGGTGGATCTCCCCAAACTATGCTGCAGAGATCATGTCAATATCGTTCCATGACGCCTGACAGATGTCACGCGTTTGCTTGTCTGCCGTTTCAGGGAATGGTGCAAGGACGGGTTCCTTGCATGGTCAAGGTGATGGTCGACTGCTTTTTGCGTTGCGCTGTAGCAACGGTCGGCTCCTCCGAGACGAATAGGCTTTTTGCGTGCGCTACCCGAGGAAAAAAGGGAGACGGTCTGGTACTTGCGATCAGGGCAATCGAACTCTAAGCGACTTTGTCTGTTCTTCGATGCGGCGCATGCGTTGCTCGGATCTGACCATGTTCAAAGTCTGGCTCGGCGGATCTATATTTGCAGTTTGACGGCTCACGAACCGTCGTTTAGCAAGACAATGGCTACCCACATGTTGTTAGTTCGTGATCAGCGCGTACCAGAGGAATGGTCTGATTCGGGGGTGTCCGCAATTATCGGAATTGTGGGCGAATAGCGAAATAGATGGCAATTCCGGGATCAGTGAGTTTGCGAGCGTTGTGGTCGACGAGGGCGAGTATCATATCGAGGGTAGCGGCGGTCTTGTGATAGTGCTCGGAGATTGCCAGTAGAGCAGACCAGCAGACAGCGAGTAAAATCCAGGAAGGCCAAGCAGACAGAAAAAGTGATCATGGCATTGGCATTGCCGGGCTAGAAGTCGCTTTCGTGTCACACCAGTAGCGGTCCTGGGCCTCGCCAGAGCCTCATGAGGCTCAACGCGTCTGGTGTGACTCAACAGAAAGCAGCGTCGGGGACTCGTTGGTGCTCTCCGGGCCGTCGCGATTGTCGGTCCCTGCTGAGAGGCGGCAGCCGATAAGACTAATGGTGCCGTGGCGGGCTGCGCCCTCAAGCTAGCAAAGTTTGGTTGGGACAGATTACCAGGCCGTGTCAAAAATCTAAATGCAACTTTTCCACTGTATCGAACCGTCGTTTACAGCAAGCGCGAAGGGAGTGGTGGAGGTATCAGTATAGCGGTTATCGATATGGGTGCTGTCGCCGGAAGTCGGAACAAGTCAGGCTCCAAGGTCGGCTACCTGAATGTAGCGGGCTTGATGAGTAATATGCACATTGCCAACAGGCTAGCATCACGTCACACAGGTGGTGAAGGTGGGCGCACATTTGCATCTACTGTACATGGATGACCTAATGATGGTCTTGCATAGCCAGACGTCGTGTCGTAATGACTTTGGCGAGGTCCGAAGCACTGGGGCTCGCTTGGGAAGTGGAGACGGGTGAGCTGGCACCGCGGCAAAGGACCGTGAACAAGTCAAGGCGTTGAGAGAGGGAAAATTCTGTGACGGTCCAGCTCCACGATGAGGCCGTGACGTGAGGCAGTGAGGCTACGCCGTCGCTGGGCGCGCGGTATGCGCCATCAGGCTGCTGGTCGTGTTGCGCCATGGAGCTTCCCCTCCTCGTTCGAAACGCGGCATGACGAGGCGTGGGATATTTTGGCTGCTTGCTTGCCTTGATAGCGACTGGCGACTGACGACTGACGACTGACGACTGGCGGGATGAGCCCTGCTGTCGGAACCCATGACAATCCACGGCCCGTCGAGAAAAGTGCGGAGAAGCCAAGACTTTGGACTTGCACTTGGATACTTCTCCACCTGCACCACTGCTTGCCAATCGCATCCCGGCTCAAGGGGCGTGCACATGCGGCGGCCAATCGACACACGGCATGCAGGCGACGAGTTTGTGTTTTTCAAGGGCCTCGCGCAGTCGTGCAGTCGCCAACTGCTTAGGTACCCAAAGCAGGGGATGCGGCATCAAAAGTGGATGCGTCCTGTCTGTTGGAACCCCTCAACAACGGCCAAGTGTGTATGCTCTTTGCCACCCGGCCCAATACTTGGTGCTGCAAACCTTGGGAGTCCGTGGCTGACATGTGCATCTCTGTGAAAATTTTTTGAACAGGCCACGCTGGAGGGCAAAACGGCAGAAGGAATTTCCGGTCGAGAGGCCAGCCGTCCCTCGTCTCACCACGCTGACCATGCACTGCACAGAATCGAAACTCTAAAGCGCCACGGGAATAGAGAGGGACAGCGTACTGGGCCTGGTCGCGTCTCATCGCAGGCGGCTTGTGCTTATCTTGGGCCAAACAGTGACTGCAAGTCGGAAAGGTCACGTGCCGAGAGGGGCTAGTGCCATGTGCAATGACACTGAGACACGGGCATGTCGGACAGGCGGTTGTGCGAGGCTGTCATTTGAGCGTCAGTGAGAGGAGAGGTGGCATCATGGTGCTAATATTGACAAAGATGAAGTTGCAAAGACAATTTGTGTCGTGTGTCATGGCCGTGAGTCTTATGCCCACGGCCTTTGTTCCATTCGCGGCAGCTACTACTAAGCTATGGCTAGAGCGGAATCAAGTGAGAGGAAATCCAATGTCGCCTTTGAAGCAAAGCCAAGTGCTGGGTAACGCCAGGCACAAACTAGTCAAACCCATCGCCGGGGCTGCAAATGCACCTAATCACACACCCTCGTGTGTCCCTTTGTTCCACGCCTGGAAGCTGCAAGGGGATATATATATATATAAATACTTTTGATCGTACACCGCGTCCACGTATGGCAACATAGGAAATAGTACAGAACCTCAAGGAAAAGGCAGAGCAGCGGTGGCCGATATGCAGGTAAACTCCGTGAACCGATGCCCGTCTGAGCCGTCCGAGGCCCCCCGAGACCAATGCAAAAACGAAACATGAGCGAGCATGAGATTTGAGGCGAACAAGCCAGTACGCAGTAGTAGGCACCTTCGCTCATCGTAGATGTCGTGAAACCAAACTCCGAAATTAGCACTCTTGTTGGGAGGCAAGCCTAGTACTGTGTGTACCGCCTCTTGACGTCCCGTGTTTGGTCGAATGATCGCATGTAGCTGTTGAGCTGGGTGGCGGCTTGTTGTGAGATGCCCGACTGGGTCTGGGACGACGATGAGGCTAGTGATGAGCGCGATGACGAGGGCGTCAGGCTGCGTTGTGGTGATTGCCTTTGTGCCGTGGGTGGTGCGAAGTAGCTGCCGTTTGTGGTTGGGTAGTAGTGGTACGGGCTAGATGGTGCGACCTGTGAGCTGGAGGCTCCCTTGTAGGCCGAGAAGTTGATTGCTGGCGCGAGGTAGAAGCCGCCGTTGGACGACGTTGACGACGAAGCAGATGATGAGAGTTGCGAGGGTGCTTGTGCCGCGCTGCCAGCCTTTTCCAGGTCGGCTAACCGGCACGATTGCGAGCAGTAGACGCCGTTCTCAGCAATCTGACGGTCGCAGGATAGACAAAAGTCGTTGAAGCACTCCATTTGGGAAGCCATTGGAGTGGTTGTTGTAGGTGGTGATGGTGGTGATGGAGGTGATGGTCAGGTGATGATGTTGAGGAGGCCGGTAATGTTGTGTTGATATGATGGGGAGATATGGGGAGGCCGGGTTTTAATAAATCTCGTAGGCAGCAGTGCTTCAAGAGTGTGTGTGTGTGTTCGTGAGCGGAAGGGCCGTGTGGAGAAACGGGAGGATGGGGATTATACTTAAGTCGGGCTCAGGCACCCACTACGGCTGACCCTAGTCACCCTCAGCCATGCTGCGGGCAGGGTCCACGGCCATCCATGTCGTCTCCGCACGGGCTGACCTGCACCTGCAGCCAAGAACTTTGAACTTTTGAATTATCTCACAAGCGCTGTAGCCTGTAGCCTCTGCTTTGCTCGTGCCGCATGCACCCCTCACTGACCCGCCCCAATCCGCCCTAGTCCAGGCAGTGTGCCATCCCGCCGAACAGGTGCACAGCGGTCCGTTGCTATTCGTCCCAGCCGCTGCAACCCACGACGGTGACGGCGCCGCGAGCTTCCTAGATGCTCTACGGCCTTTATTCGCTGTACGCGACATTTAATCCTTCTCTGACGAAGCTGCCTAAGCACGTCGTTGCAGTTGGGCTGCTGCTAGAGTGCTATTGCTAGACTGTTATGGTTATGTACTGCTGTCGCTCCTGCACCGTAGATTTTTCGGCCGCGGCGGGCAATGGCCGCCGACATCTGGTGACACCACCACCACTACTCATCCCACCACCACCACCACCATCACCCAGTGCGTGATAGGACCTCCTCCATGACCATGGTTCTCGCTACTAGTAGTCATCTGCGTCGCCTGCTGCGGGACGGGCAGATGACTGATATGCAAAATCTAGGTACCGGTTACGAGGCTCCATGGCAAACATTGGGATTGGCAGCCATCGGTTTCAGCAGTCATGAGGCTACCATGCCACCCTGGTCGCGCACACGCAAGACTTTTGAAATCAAGTATTCAAGAATACCCGACCACTCTGCCCCATTGTTAGGCCCGGTTTTTGCCAGCGTCGGTGATAACAGTCTAAACCTTGGGGCCAGCAGCCGCTAGTACGCCAGGTCTCACTCTCTCGCCCTGCAGCTGCTAGCCCTGCTGGACATCAATATGTACAGTCCCCTTCTCACGCCTGCCGCCTGCCGTAAGCGCATGCCCAGCGCTGCGCAAATGCAAACAACACGGAGCCTCGTGTGTCAACAAGCTGGAATGCAGGCACCCCTCGTCCTGATCATGCAATCAACTTTGACAATGCAAACCGGTCTAGCCATGCATGTGTCGTCACCAATTCAGTCCACCCAAGGACGTTATCTTGCGCCATTCCAAGCCTGGCCCCATGCCATTCGCTGCCCACCCAAAGCTTGCAACTTGCAAGTCCAGCAATGATCATCACCCAAACTCCCTCCGAACTACCGCCTTCCACCAGATGCCGGCTCACGCAATGCCTCAACACAATTTGATGACATTTTGCGCGCGGATCAATCGTCCTACCAAATGTCCGCACAAGCGCCTGGACGTCCTCGATGCCTCGCTTCTGGCTGAGCGCCTGAAGCCTCCTTGTCCTAATCCGTCAGGACAAGACCGACCTGGACTCTTGGTCACGGCCTGTTCCCCTCATCGGGGGTCGGCGAGGGCGAAGCAAGTATTGAACGCCTGTTCGGTCATCCTTCTAGCTGTTCATGGCGTGCACAATCTGTGCAGGAACCCTCTCCTCTAGTTCCACCTCCTCGACATGCCAACCGAGATAAGCATCTTCGCCTCAAGAAGCCGCCTACCCACTAGACGAGGCAAACGTCCTGCAACCACCTCAGGGCCTGTCCCAGCCAGCCTTGGGACGGACGAATTATCATGCCGCCCTCAGCTGCAAGTCACTTGGTCCGCCTGCTCCAACACGAGCGACCTGCATGACCACCTTGCTGAGAGACAGCCCCCACGCTCCCTCCCCCCTCTTCCCAGCTTTCTGTGCGACATGGCCCTAGACAAGCCACCGGGCAAGAAACTCTGACGCTTACAGGCCTTCTGCAGGAACATGTCGACCTTATCTCAAGACCCCTCGACACCCTCGCGGTTAACGAGGTCCCCTAAAATTTGACGTATCTCTGCACGTATCGCTCCCGTGCCGCGCGATTCAGTCAGTATCAAAGCAATCAGCGCACAGTCCAGTGCGGGACCCAAATACAGATGCGGCCCATCATTGCCTTCCCCACAGATACAACGGACGCTTTCCTCCTTTGCGACCGTCATGGCGACATCGCCACCAAGCGAGCCATGCACTGCACCCAAGTTCTTGAAACATTCTGTTAGTCTCGATAAACAATGTAGTCATATGCAAACTCCTCACCATGCATCGATGATGCATTCTGTGCGTATCCAGTACCCTTGATAATCATCGATGAAGCACGACATAACGCGCTCGACGCTTCCAGATGCAATCTACATTAAAATATCGCGCCATATCGATCCTCTTGCAAAGGATGCATATACCGCTTGCGTGCTCTGGCTGCAAGATGATGCAGGCTGTGGGTTGCTCAATATTTGTGCAACCCATCTAGGTACCTCGCTTTCTATATTACTAGCACCTGCAACACTATGGGGACACTCGGAAGGCAGAGCCGCAGGCCACTTGGAGGACTATGCGGCGGCAGCCATTTTTCACCAGGCAAACACCCGCCAAGCAGTGGGCGAATAAACGCCGTGTAACTTTATAACAGGCGCAGTTAATTTATCGTGAACGCTGCTCGGTCCCTACCGGCGCTTGAATCAATTCACCTCTGCTCGCTTGATCCTTGACGTATATCTCCCGAGTTTGGCACTCTCCCGACGAATCGGCCCGTCTAGTACCGTAGTGGGCTCTTTTCCAACCACTGTTCCCGGTTGCGAGCCGTCGTCGATGAAAAAGGGTGACCCTTTGCGGGTAGACACGGAATGGCGCCGCAGGATTTTCCATGTATCTGGTGATAGTCGACGCCGCAGCCTCCACCTGAAAAGTATCAGGTCGGACCGGCGCGGTTTTTGCCCCTCTCAAATCACGATCCGCCATTTACTTTGGTTGAGCTAGCGAGCATGACTCGTGCCTTGTCGTACAATCGCTCGTAAACAGCCACATCTGACTCCAGCTTCGCTTGTCTTCTCGTGAACATGGTGAGCCTCCTCTGTCATGGTTCTGAAGCTGCTGGTGAAACTCGGCCTCCCAATGTCGTGAGAAGAAAGTAGTAAAAAGCGTTCTGACCATGTCTCACGCCAACCTCGCTTACTATGCGCTTGCTAGTATTAGCTTGCCAAAACTCTTAATCTTTCTCATCTGACCTTATAAACTGAAACCATAGAACCCAGCGGGCAGACACATTGCCCCCGTCACGCACTCCAACAACAATCAAGGAACAAAGAAGAAGATCCCCAGTAAATCAAGTCACAATGGCCTATACGGCTGAGCTCCGCCTGGCCCTGCGCGCCGTCCACCGGGCCGCCCTCCTTACCAAATCCGTGCTCCGCAGCCTCTCCAACAACGTGTCCGCAGAGACAAAGGCAGACGACAGTCCCGTGACGATTGCGGATTTCGCCGCCCAGGCTCTCCTCATTTCCGCCCTGCTAGCTGTGTATCCAAATGACCGCTTCTTAGGTGAGGAGAGCGCAGATGCATTGCGCCAGAATGAGCAGCTCGCCGACCGTGTCTGGCAACTTGTGCAACAGGCAAAGGAGGAGGCTCATGCAGCTTCCAACGGAATCGGTAACGAAGAGGAGGCGCAGAAGCACGTGCGTGATGAGGCACAACTAGTCTTTGCCGCATCCAAAAAGGACATGTTTGATCTTATTGACCGCGGAGGCAAAGGCGAGGACACGGGGAGAGGACGGGTATGGGTTATGGATCCAGTTGATGGAACGGCGACTTTCATGCAAGTAAAAAAATGTTCAATTTTGTTGTTCAACCACGAGACGGCAATTTTGGAGAAACCCCTTTTTTTGATTATTCACTAACGAGTTATTTTTTTCTTCGTAAAGGCAAGGCCAGCAATATGCCGTTTGTCTCTGTTTGCTCGTCGACGGCGTGCAGCAAGTAGGCGTAGTCGCCTGTCCGAACCTCGCCTTCCCCATCCAGGGCCCCCTCGGCCAAACCCGCATCCACGAAGACACTGTCGACAAAGACGGCTACGGCGTCGTTCTCTCCGCCGTCAAAGGCCAAGGAACCTTCATCCGCAGCATGACCGCCCACGGTCTGGGAACCGATATCCGCCACGTAGACCTAACCACTCTGCCCCCGAAAAAACCTTCTGAGCTCAACTTTGTCGAAGCAACACTAGGCAAAACATCGCTCTCGCAACCCGAACACGAAGCTGTTGCAACCTCGCTCGGCGCCAGCTGGCCAGGAACCGTCATCTGGTCCCAGCAGATGAAGTACGTAGCTCTCACCCTCGGCGCAACAGACGTCATGGTGCGCATCCCAAAGACGCTCGACCGCTTCACCTACGTCTGGGATCACGCCGGCGGCCACCTGCTGTACCAGGAGGCTGGCGGTGTGATTAGCGACTTCAACGGCGAGCAAATCGACTTTTCACAGGGCAGGAAAATCACCGGCGAGCGCAACTGGGGCATGGTGGCTTGTTTGCCGGGCTACTTTGAAGAGGTGGGTAAGAGCGTCAAGGAGGTACTGAAGAAGAGGGATAGTTGAGGGGGGGCTGGTGGTGATCTGATGATCTGATGATCTGATGCGGTGTGTGTGTGTGTGTGTGGGGTGGTGGTGGTGTTGGCCGTGCGTGTGTGCGTCTATGTCTAGTATGGGAACATAAGAAAAATGTGACGTTGCCCATTATGTTTTTTTTGTTTTGCATTGCATAAAGCGTGGTCATTTAGAGCATAATTATCTCGTGTACACTACATTTACATATGTACGTACGTACGTACGTTTGTCGGGTACATATCACGTAGGAGTAAGCCCCGGACATGATCGGCTTCGGCCAGTCGTCGCGAAACCAGCGGGGAAAGGGGGGAACCAGCCGGGGCCCATCTCCGGGTTGATCAATATCAAACCGGCACGATATGCATTTTACATTTGCTTTCTCGGACCGGTCAGCGGCAAGGCGCGGAAAGGTTGACTCAGCCTTGAGATCCTCATCTCCGTCTCTCTCTTACTCGGTACCTCTCTATTCCTGTACCTTAACCTGTTTGGGCGAACACCTTTGTTCAGCGTTGGTGAAACATTGTGTTACAGGGCCCGGGCTGCCTCACCGGTCGGTAACATGGATGGTTACAAAATGTGGGGTAAGACAACAGAAAAAAAAGAGGACGATCAAGAAAAAGCGGAGACGGGTGTTGTAGATGAGACGATCGTGACATGAGGCTCACGTGAGGGTATTTTTTCTTGGGGGTCTTCTACATATTCTGTGCGCGTGTGCGTTTGTTGGTATCATGATCGAAATCAGGGTCAGGGGATACAGCATCGGCGTACAAACGAGGGTAATGCTTGTCCGCGAGAGGACGACATGCCACCGTACTGTGGGTAGTAGACTAGATCATGCCTTTAGCCGTAGAGTGTGTGTGGGCTACAAAGTGCAGTGATTCCATTGCACAGCATTGATAGCTTAGGATCTGCAAGAGGGGGAGGGATGATGGAGCCAAAGTTCGATCCATTTAGCGATCATGATCAGCTTCCGAAGGTTCATGCTGTATGACATGGGCCTTTCTATTCCTCGTAGTATACATGCGCGTACATGGCAGCAAGGTTGTGCAACCACGTCGTTCATGCGTTCAACCGGCATGTAAGCCGACTTCAACCGGCCGTTCAACATCGTGTCACCCCGTTCTATGAAGCACCGCCGCCGTTTTTCCGAAACGACACCTTCTCCACCGCGACATTCTCGTTGCCCTCGGCATCTTTGCGTAGTTGATACACGTACAGTACCAGGACATCGCCTTGCACCTGTTGTGTGTTGTTAGTCGGCTGTAACATGCCTCACCGCCAATCTGCATCTTCTCATCGCCCGTGTAGCAGACGCGATCAGGGTAAACTCACATCCATCAGCACAAAACTTGGCGTAGGGTCCTCGTCCTCAGTCCACCACCCCGTACACATTGCTCCCGTCGCACTCCCTGGGTTTACAAAGAATTTGCCCTCCATCTCATACGCCTCAAACTTGTGGGTGCCGCCCCACAGCAACACATCCACATCCATTTGCCGCGCTGCTATGAGCAAACTATCGCCATCGCCCGGTGGTATGATCGTATGCCCGTGCGTGAATCCTATACGTAGACTTCCGTGTGTGACAACTTTTGACAATGCGAGGTTTGGCGCTTCGACGTCAAAGTCGCCTTTTACGATTTGTAGGTCGGGCGCAATGGCGCGGAGGAACTCGTACGTTTCACGGTCCGTTATGTTGCCTAGACAGAGAATCTGTCCAATCTTTCCAGGCGCGAGAAGTTTCTTGAACTATAAATGTCATGGTGAGCGTAGGCGCATGTACAAAGGTAGGGATATTGTGGTTTGAGGTATATGGATGGTATATCGGGAGTATTGGAGGTGGGGTAAGGCGTACCTTGGCCGGTATATCCTATGTCGCCTGTAAGTTTGTGAGGTCTAGCATCGCACAGATATGTGTCTAGTCAACATACTGAGGCTCTATCTGGTATGAAGAGGTCGCCTAGGACCAGCACCAGTCGCGAAGCCATTGTTGCGGCGTTGGGGTAGCTTTGGCCGCTCAAACTAGGCTACAAAAAGGCCGAGGTCTGTATGTACAGTGGTAAGCACTCTTCAAGCGTGGAGCGCTTCGCTGGGTATAGCGCGGGGATTGTCGCGGGAGGCTGGAGGTGGATGTTGGGGAAGCTATGCTGTCACAAGGCGGCCTGACGCGGCAGAACGCCACGCTTGGCAGGGACGGGTGGAGTAGACGGACGCGCGACCTACAAACTTCATCACTGATCCTTCCAAGTGTAAAAAGAAACTTTAAAAACTTCATGCTTGGCAACATATGAACGGCGTTGTCTGTTCCGTCCTATCGAAATGTCTACAGTAGCCCTCCAAACTACCGACCTCATGTGCCACATGCTTTGCACGATTTATTTATAGTTATCAAATCAAAAAGAAACTCTAGAGTCCAATGTACACGCGTTATCGTTTCATGAATTTAGTACTGCGCGATATTTCTTCTCGTGATGCTGTCGAGCTAAATATGACAGCGCAAGTTTCCCAAAACCATGGCTTGCAAACGGTCCCAAATACGACTCATGGTCGAGAATGCATCGCCGAATCCAAAGTTTACTGCTCTATACTATCTTCCCTTCTCTCCTTCCTAATACTTTCTATGATCATGGTGTTCCAAAATCTTGACAAGATGAAGTCATGGTTGAGTCCACTCTAAGCTGTTCAAGATTACTAAGAAGCTTATATGCCAAATACATGTCTTGTGTCCTCGCCTCTGCTGTTTAAAATTTTTTAAATAGCTTTCTACCTAATTCCTGCTTATCAAAAAAAGCCCCACGGAGATATGTTTGCTGTTTCCCAATACTCTCCGCACCTACTCAAAAGATGCGATTGGAACATGCAACATCAAAGGAACGTGTGTGGAGCAGCTGGAAGATAACTACGCAAACCTATCACTAGTCACCATCTCTCAGATATATAGAGCTGTACAATTTTATCTTTCTACTCTTTCCTTCTCTACAATTTTGCCTGAATCAAAATATAGTTTCACAAGATTCATTGACGACACCGGATGCGTCTTCTGTCTGTCGAAAATCCAATAACTTGACTCCGTATCACAAAAGAGAAAAGAGAATAGATTCATGTTTCCGTACAAAACATTGCACTAAAAACACTGATTTGAGGCTTTGGTTTAAAACGCAGCACGGTACCTTGGACGTCACTCTCGTTTCCCATCTCCAAATCCAAACATACTCCATCAGCACCGAAATGATACTCTTTATTTCTAAACGCTTAATCATGAATTGCATGTTACTCTCTCTTCTTACCTCGAACCGGCGAAATTCTTTGCTTTAAACCGTATGTGATAACTGTTTCTAAGTCGGATTATGACGACTACATATGTAGTGAAAACTATCTTAACCAAAGGTTCTAACCATAACACAGTTGTGAGACCCCAATATTCGGCGTTGGCGTTGCAGCTGTTGATTCAAACTGCCCGGGCGCTTTTTATAGGCCGCACAGGAAGCTCACGAAACAACTAAGCAGTCCTGGAAAAGATGTCCCAAAATCAATCAAGAAAGACTAATATCCAGTCCGCATTCGACCCCCGGACCTCATAGATATGTCGTTTGCCACTTCACTCACTATTTTCGACAAACGCCGCAGGTAACAGATACAGGTAACAGATATTTAAGTGTGGCGGAGGCGTTCAATCTCGGATAAGGATCGAGTTGTAACTGTAATGGGGGGGGGTTCGTTCAAGAGCGGAAATTTTGAGTCGCCTGTGGGAGAGTACTATAGTACTCAAGGGGCACAATGAGACTAAGTGAAACGACCATTCAATAGACGCAAAATCATACGCTGTGCCTCTCCCTATATGCGACTTACTGCGCGGTTCTAGTTTTATCTAAAGAGGATGACTTAGGTTATTATGTCCTGGTTTCGACAAAACTACCAAAATGTGATGCTTACCAACATATGTGGTCTCGTCGAAGACCTAGGAGAGTTTCCATCAGACTGCTGGAAAAAATATTAGAAAAGAATAGAAAGAGATATTTAGGTGATATACACTACTTTTTCGGACAGCGGAACATTAGAATCGCTGGGGTAGCCAACTCAGACGTAGGAGAGCAGATTATTCCAGGGGCAAAGCTAAAGCATGGTGCGCTTCAAGATATATTTTGCAAAACAAAAGAGGCAGAGAGGTCTAAAAAGTATATATCGTCGTTTTCAAGAGAGAAAGTTTAATTGATAGAATGTTAGAGGATGATTTCGCGGGTAAAGCAAGATTTATATACGTATAGTGTCGGATCGTGAGTATCGGTAGAGACGTCGGCTGCTGGACACTTCGGCCCGACTTCGGCCCACCTTGCGCAAGAGCTTAGGTATACCTTCGTAGCACCTATGTTCGTAGATATCAATTAGAACCACCGAACAGAATGCATTCCTAGTTATCGTTATTTCCCTTTACGCACTTAGTGCAAAGCCAACCAACACTGATCAGTGATTGCTTGAGGCGATCACAGACAGCAAGGAAGAAGAGACAGACCGCATCTTTGACAGCCTCCCTAACGCACGACGTTATACTCCTGAGAGAAGATTCTGTGCTAAGAACAGAGCGAGGCAGAGATAACGCATAGCGATCAAAACCTCCCTCTAAGCTGCTAATCCAGGCCGAAGCTCGATTACAGCGCGTCAGCAACGCACAAAGACACACTGTTGAAATCCCGACGCGAGAAGTCTTGGGACGACTACAGCACGTCAGCAGCGCAGAGCGACAGACTATTGATATCCCGACGCGAGAAGTCTCGGGACGACTATAGTGCGTCAGCAACGCGTAGCGATTCCGTACGAGCGTCCCCGGACGATCCTATCACGTACAACCACAAGCGCTGGAACCGACCAACCAGCTAGACAAGACAAGGCAACGCGTCAATATACACCGGCACGATGGCAGGCAGCCAGAGCAACTCTGGCGATACAGACGCTGATGTTCAAGAGCAACTACTCAACTATCCATCCGAACGCAATACAAGCAAGCGCGCAGAAACTATATCCCCAGGAGCGAAGTTTACTGCTGAACACCTTATGCGACACTGTCCATACACAGTCACGTTTGACTATATCAACCCATCTCTCTGGGGTGTACCCGCACCAGAGGATGCAGACGAGACGCACGCAACAACCTGGGTCGCGAAGGCTATCCACGACTACCATGTAGGAATGGAATGGGATGAGAGACTATACTTCGACTACCAATGGGACTTTGAAGGATGGACACGAGAGCTATTCCAGAAGGTTGAGCGCACTACGCTAAGATCTCTGAAGACTGTGCTCCGGTATAGGGGAGTCTATACAGGCAAATTTCGGGCTAGAGTAGCTGATTCCCTCTTCAACTTACTAGGAGGAGAAAACGCTCCCGAATGGGACCCTGCAGAGTTCAAGGCCGAGAAGTTTGACGAACGTTCTGAGGCGTACCAGCGTCAGCAGAACGCACATCTAGCAGCCCCTATAGATAGACAAGCGCAGCAGCCACTGCAACAGACGCAGCCACTGGAACCGCTACAGCCGCAGCCACAACGTCCGTCACAGGGCGAGCAGTATAGAGTGAGACAAGGCGTTCGAAGCCACCCGCAATATCAAGAGCTACAACAACCGCCCTACGCGATCAATGCCTATGCAGGACCACAGCCTCGACAAACGGAGCAGGCTATGCAACCACAACAATGGTACCCGCAGACACAGACACGACCCCCAGCGACCGCATACGGCGAGGTGACACCTTTCCCTCAGCAACCTACAAACCGAGTACCTGACAGACCCCTTGGCCTACCACATGACCCGTACAAGACGCTACCGCCGCGATGGTCTCGCAACGATCGGCTCGAAGCCAATACGATCACGCAGTTCTCTAAGCTATGGGACAATAGCAACAAGTATACAGGGAATGCGTACGATCTCCTAGACGATAAGATTAAGATCTTCTTCAGCATCTGCTGGCAGGTAGATATCCAGGAGGAGCAGTTTCACGCAGTGTTTCCCCGTATCCTTACCGGGCGTGCAGAGACGTTCTACATACAGGTTGTAGAGAGAGATGATAGCTTTGCTGATGCGTACATGGCAATCAAAAACCACTTCGACCATGACGTCCATCACCAGCACTACTACACAGACTGGACGACTACAACCTTCGCTCGCACCCGCGCAGAGAACCCTGATAAGGGACTACACGAGGTTCTGCAGATCCTGCTTGACAAGCTGCAGCTATGCCAGCGTGCCCTTGGCAAGAACTTTGAGGGTGAGGATGCCCTCCGCACTACGGTCATCAATGCCTGCCGAGGAGTACCAGAACTTGAGATGGCACTGTTCAAGCCAGCCACAATCTGTGAAGGACTCTTCTCAGATCTACGATCCGCAGTGGAAACACACCTAGCACGGCAACACACCGCCCAGTTGGTCACAGAAGATCAATACTACCTAGACCGCCGATACAACGGCAATGGAAGGATCCGAGGTGGATCTCGAGGTGGAGGAGGATTCAGAGGCGGATCCAGAGGAGCATACCGAGGAGGCGAGCAGCGCGACGACAACGGACGAGGATTCAAGCCACGTTGGAGGAAGAAATGCTTTGTTTGCCGGAAGGAAGGATGCTGGTCTACCAACCACACAGATAAAGAGCGCAAAGATGCCCGTGCGCAGTTCTTCTCTACGCTATACTTTACAGGTGCACAGCCCCCTGAGGACTTCTCCGTACATCTTGCAGAATACGAAGGGATCGAGCACACCAGCCAGTACAATCAGAGAGGCTGGAGAGAGGAGGAAGACTGCGAGGATGACGAGGATGACGACGTCGCGGAAGCACATTCTGAACACCAGTTCTTCAAGGAGCAATGCCTTGCAGACCAGGCGTTCTTGCATCATATCTCGGGCGACGACATATACAGCCGAGACGCGCCGTCAGCACCAGCATCGCAGTTCCTGCTTGAGGACCGCTACACACGATCTGTGTACCAAGGAATCCTACCAGATACAGGCGCTGCAAACGTATCCACGGTCGGCAAGGAGCAATACCTCGCACTTACGAGAGAAGATCCGACGGTTAAGTTAGACACATCTACAGCAGGGAAAGCGTCTATTAAATTCGGAAAAGGCGAGGCTACAGCGTCGATTGGCACCGTGCAGGTCTCTACGGAGATCGGAAAAATCAACTTCGAAGTGCTCGAGGCGCCTACGCCGTTCTTGCTATGCCTTGCAGACATGGACCGCTTAAAGGTATACTTCAACAATACGACAGACGAGCTGGTTCAGGATGACGTACACATCCCGGTGATTCGCAAATGGGGACATCCTTGGTTCCATCTAAACAAGAGAGAGAGAGCAACTATGTTCCTAACGGAGACAGAATTGCGACGGCTCCATCGACGGTTTGGACACCCAGCTGTTACGCGACTAGTCAAACTCTTAAAGGATGCTGGCCATAACGACTTCGAAGAAAGAACCCTAGAAGAAGTCACTAAGTTCTGCCACCACTGCCAGCTCCACAGCTCCGCGCCGCGCCGATTCAAATTCACTCTTAAGGATGATCACCACTTCAACTATGAGATCCTGGTGGACGTAATGTACCTAAGCAACAAACCTGTACTGCATGTGGTCGATTCCTCAACAGCGTTTCAAGGCGCGAGGTTCCTCAGCGCTATCTCAGCTAAAGAAACATGGCAAGCACTGCGGATACTATGGATCGACACCTACCAGGGACCACCCGACATCATCACGCATGATGCAGGTACTAACTTCGCGAGCGCAGAGTTCCGCGCAGAAGCAAAGATCATGGGAGTCACATGCAAGCAAGTACCTACGGAGGCGCACTGGTCTATCGGCAAAACTGAGAGGTACCATGCCCCTCTACGCCGGGCATGGGACATACTCCATGCAGAACTCACTGACACTATGTCCGACGACGCGATTCTCCAGATGGCTGTGAAGGCTGTTAACGATACTGCTGGCCCTGATGGACTAGTCCCGACGTTACTAGTCTTTGGAGCGTACCCACGAATGACTGCAGAGTCACCGCCATCACCATCAATGGTCAAACGCAGCGAGGCTATTCAAAAGGCGACGAAAGCCCTGCGCAAGCTCACTGCAGAGCGCCAAGTTGCAGACGCCTTGAACACCCGCAATGGACCAGCCACTGCAGACATGCTCGCGCTCCCACTCCAGAGCGAAGTCTTAGTATGGAGAGAGAGTGATGGCTGGAATGGCCCGTACAAGATCGCCAGTACAGATGGCCACAACATCACTGTCGACATGGTTAATGGTCCAGCGACATTCAGATCAACTGTCGTTAAGCCATACTACAGACCAGACCACCTGTGGAGCGACCCTGATGCGCCACACGCGCCGAATGAGCCGAATGAGCCGCACGAGCCGATAGCAGTACCTCCGGCAGCGCAACCACGTAGAAGAGGCCGCCCTCCAGGGTCAAAGAACAAGCGGAAGGCGCACGCGTACATCACCAAGAAGGAGCAGGACGATCTTGAGCTAGCTATCAAGCTACGGAACGATGGCGTGATCACAACCTCAGGCGCCCCCTTTGAAGCGTCTGATGACCAAGAGATCAGCGACCTAGTAGGTCGTGGAGTCTTCAAGTTTGAGCAATACGACGAGAGGCTACACAGCAAGATCCGGATCTTTAAGTCACGCCTAGTACGTGAGGTCAAGGGAAAGACAACTAAGCCTTATGAGAAATCCCGTCTGGTTATCCAAGGCTACCAAGACTATGGCAAGGAGGCTATCTTAACGCAGTCGCCAACCATCCAGCGATGTAGCCAGCGCCTGATTATGTCGCTGGCGCCTGGGCTAGTACAAAGCGGCATGAGCGTTGAGCTACGTGATATTACGCAGGCATACCCACAGGCTCAGACAACACTGAAGAGGACGATACTCGCACACCTCCCTACCGAGCTGGTACATCGATATCCAGAAGGCACGATACTCCACGTGATCAAGCCACTATATGGGATCGCGGAGGCAGGAGTCCACTGGTGGACAACATATCACGGACACCACTGCAAGGAACTAGATATGTCAACATCTACGTACGACCCATGCCTGTTGATCACGAACAGCGACGACGCAGACGTCTTCGGCATCGTCGGTATGCAGACAGACGACACCCTCATGCTCGGAACGACCGCGTTCTTATCACGCGAAGAGAAAAAGATCCAGAAGGCGCAGTTTAGATCAAAACCAAAGGCTATGCTGACACCAGAGGTGCAGTTAGACTTTAATGGATGTACACTTACGATGGACGCCAGCAGAGTCTTAATCCTCAGGCAGAAAGGACAAGGAGGAAGGATCAGGCTTGTTGATATTAGGGCACCCGACCGCGCGCAACAGTACACCGAGCAACGCGCCCGCGGAGCGTACATCGCATCAACATGCCAACCAGAGGCATCATTTGATCTGTCCGTAGCTGCTCAAGCGCAGCAACCATCAGACGAGGACATTAAGGCACTCAACAAGCGCCTGAAATGGCAGATGGAGAATCTCACTCGTGGCCTACGCTACGTCACTGTCAACCTTACGGAGGCTAAGTTGATAGTCTTTGTAGACGGCTCCTTTGCCAACAACAAGGACCTCAGCTCACAGCTAGGCTTTGTCCTCATGCTCGTCAACGAGTCCATTGGCGCCAACACCTTCACAATACAAGGCAACGTGATCCACTACAGCTCTACAAAGTGCAAGCGCATCACACGGAGCGTACTGGCCTCAGAGATCTACGGCATGGTCAACGGCTTTGACATAGGCATCGCGGTTGCAACCACGCTAAGGATAGTTACAGAACGACTTGGACTACCTGCAATTCCCTTGGTTATCTGTACAGACTCGTACTCCTTGTACGAGTGCCTAGTAAAGCTTGGGACAACGAAGGAGAAGCGCCTCATGATCGATATTATGGCGCTGCGCCAATCATATGAGCGTCGCGAGATCACGGAGATCCGCTGGATCAATGGCGAAGACAATCCTGCAGACGCCTTCACGAAGGCATCGCCAAACCGCGCTCTTGAACGCTTTATTGACGGCAATAAGCTGACAGTCCGAGTAGATGGATGGGTGCAGAGGCCAACAAGCTTTGATGTTTAATGCTATACACTGTCACTACCGATACAAGCAGAGTTACTAGCTATCCAGAAAGAAAAGACTTCCAGTGTCGGATCGTGAGTATCGGTAGAGACGTCGGCTGCTGGACACTTCGGCCCGACTTCGGCCCACCTTGCGCAAGAGCTTAGGTATACCTTCGTAGCACCTATGTTCGTAGATATCAATTAGAACCACCGAACAGAATGCATTCCTAGTTATCGTTATTTCCCTTTACGCACTTAGTGCAAAGCCAACCAACAGTTCTAGAATATCACAAAATTTTCAGTAAAGCAATAGATGTCAGAAGGAGTCCTCCCTTTTAGAGTCCCCTATAAAGATCTCTAGACATCGTATTTAGGTTGTAAACAACGGCTCAGGAGCTTCTCCAGACCAGAGGATTATAAGCCCTGATGTCTGAAGTTTTCGGGGACATGGCTTGTATCCAGCCATTTTTTGCTAAAAAAGAAGACACCAAGGATTTTCTAAGAAGAAAGAAGAGAAGCGAAGGGGGAGCTTAATATACACAGTTAAAAAGTATAAGAACTAGCAAACTCACTTTTATGTCTGCGAAGTAGTTCGAAAGCCTCCATTATATGGTTATCGAGAGAGTTTGTAACAGAGGAATGAGCTATAGTGTTTGAAAGGATTCACGAAAGAAGGCGAGGGAATGAGGTACTTTACATATGCATAGGAGGAAGCCAGCAAGCGGCTTACAGACTTGAAAGACGAGAAAAGTCATGAGAATGTTTTTATGATGATTTTGGAAGCATCCAAGGCTACCCGGCATTTTTGGTAAAATAGAAACCCTCAAGAAGTTTCTGCGGCAAGAAGGAAGATAGTCAATAGAGGTATTTTATGCCTACGCATTTATAAATTTTTCAACGAGGTCCCAACTTTCAAACCCAGAAGAACCATGAATATCTATTATTGTTGTTTTATACCCGGCATCTCAAAAGTGGTCATGCCCACAGGACATCAGCATGTCTCGGGTAAGTTTTTAGGCTCCGCGAACAGAAAGGCGAGGCATGCTTTCCTGGCTTGCGATTTTTAGTGAAAAGCACCTAGACTCAGCTCCCCAGATGCAGTCTTCTACCATTTCTTTTTTACAAGCGGAGGGTGTATGCCAAATATGCTTACTGAATGGACAGAAAAAGCATTGTAATGCTGGACAGGTGTTTTAGTGAAAGCACTCAGAGTGAAACCTCCACGTAAGACTTGCCCGTCGCTTCTTTTACAAACGTGGAGAATGTATCTAAAGCTTTCCGGTGAACGACCAGACAACTCATTTTAAACTACTACTCCAATTTCCAGTGCAAAAAGCACCCACACCCAACTCTCCGCATGCAACCTCTCCGGTGGATATTTTTTAGAAAAGCGGAGACCATGGCGCCAACGCCACAGTGTTTTGCCACTTTGTACACTTCATCACTCAACGGCACCAAGAAGAAGCAAAATCTGGATACATGATATATATGTGCTACTAGCCCAGCCCTTTTTACCAAAGCCCAATCCAAATCCATTCACAGTGATAACGACACAGACACAAGCACAGACACAAGCACAGACACGGTCAAATAACACACACCCTCAGCAAAGGCGTCCACACTAAGCTTCCTTGCTGTCAACCTTGGCCGCGGTATCGGCGACCTCATCTGCCGTCTCGGCCATCTCCTGGTCCTCAACCTGCTTCTTACTCGGCACCTCCTCCTTGTTGCCCACCAGCTTCTTCACCACTTCGACCGTCGCAGCCGGGCCACCAGGCTCAGCCGCCAAGACCTTACCCTCCTTGTTCACAACAAAGACACCGCGCGTGGTGCCCTTGGGAGCTTTCTTGAAGCCGATAGCCGAGATGAGGCTCTGCGCCGGATCACAAAGGAGGGTGTACGGCAGCTTCTGCTTAGTCTTGAAGGTGGTGTTTGCCTTGGGGCTGTCGGAGGAGAGACCGTAGATGGAATAGCCGGTTGCGGTGAGGGGGGTGTAGGAGTCGCGGAAGAGGCAGACTTGTGTTGTGCCTATTAACGCGTCAGTAAATGGGGGCTACATATGCAGTCAGGGGGCGTGGAGCTTACATCCAGGCGTCGAGGCCTTGGGGTACGTGAATAGCACGACACCGCCCTTGCTTTCCTCTACAAGCTTCGCGAGTGTCGTCTTCTCCCCATCGTTTGTCTCAATCTCACCGCCAAAGGAAGCAAGGTCAATTGTATCACCGACTTTGGGCGCGCCAGCCTTGGCTGCAGAGGCGCCGTTGCTCTTGCCGACAACAGCTTCCTTGACAGCCTCGACCTTCTCAGCAACAGTCTCCTGGACCTTCTCGACGACCGTCTTCTCGTCCTCAGCCTTCTTGGCCTTGGCCGGTGCCTTCTTCTTCGCTGGGCGCACGGGAGCTGGGGGCGCTTCCTTGCGCTTACGGAGTTCCACGGGCATGGCTGCGGTCAAAGACGCGAGGGTGAGGCGCGAAAGTCGCGTTGGTGTCGCGAACGATGTGGTAGGGACCTCTATCAGATGGCGAAATTGGGCACTGGGCGAGGTTGGGGGGTTGGGCAGCTCTGTGTGTTTGAACCCGTGGAGAATAGAAGAGGTAGGACGGCTTGTGTACAAAACTAACACGCCTGCAGTACTACAGTCGCAATATCGGGAATCACACGGTCGTTCGCGGTACGATGTCCTCACACCAAGCTAGCCGAGTATCTCAAGTGTGATTAAAGCAGGTCAAACGGGGAAGCAGGAGAGCAGCGCGTGCGCGCGGATGGGCCTGGGGGCCAGCCTCCTCACTTGGCGGTCTTCTGTCCATTTTAATATTAGCTAGATTACCTGAGCCTGCGTCTTTTGTTTGGGACCTCCGTGAACCAGCTTATTTCGGACGCGCTGGGGTAGGAACCGGCCATGTTATTGGCTGACTGAGGTGAGGAGTCGTGAGATGCGCCCCGAATGCGCTGTACGCTGCACCGGTTGTTACCGTCCCGGCCTTTCGTCATAGCTCCCGTTCCACCCACTCTCCACCCGTTCAGCGTGCATTAGAACTGACTTTGGATATCACGTCTGTGTGCGCGGATTAAATATACAAAATACAAGGCCTGGTCTTCTACGTCGACGACCCTTTGGGTGGACTGAACTGCTGGGAAGACACATTTCTCCGCGATTTTTCCACCATCATGGCTTCCAGTGCCATCTACTCCCCCGCCACCCAACTAACGGCATGCCAGTTGTTCTCGCAGGAAAAGACCTTGCCGCCAGACCCATTGTGGAGTGCCCAGCCAGACGACCACATGCCCAACCCGAACTGTAGTACGAGTCAGCCCCTCGATCCTCTCTGAAACCTGGGGAAGATAAACTTACAACGGCCATCCCAAGCACCACAAGCAAGCCGTTGAAGATGCTAAGTATCGTCTGCCGTTTTGTGGCGAATGACCTGCCATTCTTGTTGTTGTGCCATAACCAGAGGAGAGGAGGGAAGGCATCTGCACGAGTCAGTCAGTTGACCAAGCTCTGGCGACACGAAGAAAAGACATGGCCATGACTTACAGCTGAACCAACTTCCGAACAGCGCACCGATCAAGCCCAGCAGCAGATTGAAGTTAGGCACCGCTTCGGCCAGGATCCAACTTGCGAGCCATGCTACGGTGCAGATTGCCCACCAACTGCCCAGGGCCTTCCAGCTGTTGGTGTGTACGACATTCGTCCCCTTCCATATACGCAGATATACGTATTTGGTCGCCACTGAGCCATTGACAACACCAGCGACGATGATTGTGGGTAGAGCGATACCAAAGCATATCTTGCTGACGAGCGGCGATGCGGAGCCCAAGGCAGGCGAGGCGACATCCGGTCCGGCGTAGTAGTAAATGACCACGGAGATGAGCATGTAAAATCCCACAGCCACTCCCTGCTCGAAGAAGAGGGCTTTGCGAAAATCGCGAGGGTTTTGGAGCTCCGACGCAAAGGAGAAGAATGCCACATGGCCGCCTAGTGTGGTTAGTCGCGTTTATACATGTACCGCAACCCATGTCGAAGGCTCTAGTACGTACTGTATGCTAAAACGATGTTCATGACAGGAGCTAGTCCCAAGACCAGTGGTACGTCGGGTCGCACCGCAACAATGTTGCCCATATTCGGCTTCTGGATACCGATAGCGATTATCGTGATAGTGACACCTACAATGACAGATGCACAGGCTACATGACTGTTAGCACGCATTATTAGCCTTGATATTGCACCCAACTTACAGAAGAAGCTAATATAGCTGATATTCTTGAATGTCCTTGGAAGCCCCAGCACGAGTGAAAGAACCAATCCAATGACAGTGAAGATGATAGTGCAGGTCCCATGATCAGTCATGGCGTTCATCGCGACCCCAAATGTCAAGATATGCGCGCCCATGATGAATATCAATACCACCACTTGGCCAACAGCGAGCAATTCGTGGAGAATAGGCCCACTGAGGAGTGTGCCGCAATCGGCGTACGATTGTATGGATGGATGTGCCAGTTTGAACTCGCCGATCAGATAGCCCGTATATGTGGCGATGATACCTAACAGACATATACAGAGAAGACCTGGAACGAGACCGAGAATCGCAAGTGCTTGAGGAAGGGCAAGTACGCCGAGAGAGACATTTTCGGCAAGCATCAGGATGCCAGTATTCCTGGTAGGCCGACATCAGCACGATATTGATAGAGGCATGTACTTATGATCAATACTTACCACCAATTACACGTTTTGTATTGGACCTCAGCGCCTTCCTCGTTACCAAACGCATCGTTTTCAAGTGGTATGGCTTGCGCTTCGAGCTCTCCCAATTGCGTCGCTTGCCGATTTAGGGGGTCTTCACCAATAATTGTGGTCTTCTCCGTGCCCGGGGCCGCCGTCGAATCAAGCGTCGTTGAAGAATTATCATTAGTCGTCCCTCTGAAGGCAGCCATCTTTAATCTCGCAAGCGCACTTCTGGACAGTGCTTGGAGGATATTTGTATCAAACAGGTGGTTTGTACTTGTACTTGGAAGATGGTGGAGAGATGGCAGCAATAGTGCAGTAATCTTAGCCGATAACATACTACCATGGCACCATATTGTTTACCCCAGAAACGAAGGCAATGGAGAATGCCATGATGACGTTGACCCAAAGTTTAAAAGCTCAACTGGCCAAAGAGATCTTCAAAAAGCTAAAATACGATGCCAGATTTGGTTAGGGATCTAAGCGTACCGTGGAAAGCTAAAGAATAATGAACATAGAGAGCGGGGAAAGAACAGAAACTCGAGCGGGGTCTCAACCGGGAATATTGAGATAAGATAGCTATGAAAAGCGAGACGTATGCTTTTGAAGTTAGGCAAGGGGTAATGAAAGCTGCATACTCGTCGGTGGTCGTGAACACTGCCAATGAAATTTGGATCATGTTCCTCGAAACACCTTGGATCTTTTCAGAGCGCTAAGAAAAACAATGCAGTGTCTTACTAGAATAACTGCGCTAGTCGTGGAGGGAACAAAGAAACATGCAAGAGAAGCCCCGCTGCTGCCAACATGCGACTACGGTGTCATATATTCGGTACTGTGGCGAAGCCCTAGAAGTTCTGTAAGCCATAAAGAATGCCTTAGATACGATCACAATTACGAGCGATTTATAGAAACCGGGAGAAGAGGTGGGACAAAAAGTGTCTTTGCTCGAATCTATCTACGTCATCACGTGCATTCGCGCGGCAATCGCGAAATATCGCTATCGATATCGCGCTCCATGTTTCATCACCATCCGTCCAATTCCACAACTCAGCAACACCTGCACATAAATACCACGCGATCACTGCAATAGTTTGCTCCCATCAAATTGCGATACACCAGCGCATTACCAGAAATTATGGATCCCGAGTTGCGCTATCCACCCAAACGAGCGAGCGGCAAGCGCAGAGCCCATATAGACGAAGACGGCGATTACGATGCGACCCAGCGACCCCAAACCCCACCAAGGAGTTCTAAGAAGCGCAAGAGCAACCCTGAGGTAATTGATCTCACTGGAGATTCTCCCTCTCCTCAAAGGGCTCCACCCAAAAAGAGGGGCAAGCGCGACACTGACGCACCCGTCGAAGAGAAACGAACTAGAGTGTTTCGCAAGCGCGCGACGGAGAGCTACTTGGCTGTAAGGGAAAGAGCGTTCACCCAGCGTCTCACGGTACTCTCGCGCGAACGATGCGGAAGCGATACCGTGCCTGAGGAGAAGGTCATCATAGCCGGCTCGACCGGCAACGTCTATACCGTCTCAATTGGTCTTGTGCCAAGTTGCGACTGCCCACATGCGAGGAAGGGCAATCAGTGCAAGCACATTGTTTATGTCATATTGCGCGTGCTAAAGGCGCGGGAGAATATCGCCTACCAGCTAGCACTCCTCAGCTCCGAGCTGCGCGAGGTTATCAAGAACGCGCCACCTATCCCAGGTGTTGAGACAGACGGAAAGGACGGCACGGAGAAGGCAGGAGAAGATGGAAACCGGAAGTCCATCGAGGGCGAATGCCCCATCTGCTACGACGAGCTTGGTAGTAAGGAAGATACCGTCTACTGCAAGGTCAGCTGCGGAAACAATATACACAAGGCCTGTATGCAGAACTGGATGGCGGCATCGAGCGGCAAAGGAACATGTCCGTACTGTCGTGCCAAGTGGGAAGCAGATACTGGGTTGGAAGGCAATCTGGGCGATCTAGTTACAAAGGGTTTACGGAGGAATGAAGATGGATATGTCAATGTTGCTGGTCAATTGGGCTTGTCTGGTCACAGAGACTATTCAACATATCACCAACCCTGGGTCCGGCAGCGGGGATATGGGGGTCTGAGGAGGGGTGGCTACGATTATGACAATTACTACTAAGTCTTGACAGTCTTCAATCTCGTTCAATCTATTTGGGGGAAATTATAACATGTTTTATAAGCGAGTCGTCAATACAAGCGAGTCGTCAGCCCCACCAACTTTTACAACTTTAAAGCGACGCATCTCAACAACGCGATAATATTATTGCTAGATATTGATACAGTAGATTACTCTATATCAATAGTATCAGTCTTGCATGTGCGCGAGTTGTGCCCAGTCTCCTTGCACCTAGTGCAGCGCCTTTGAGCCCGCTGGCTGAGGCCTGATCGCGCTCCTCCTTAACGCTCTTTATGAGCAATCTGCTGGTTAGCCTCATTTTGAGCCAGTATATCCTCTCCAGCTCCCTTTGTGAGTACTCCATGCTTCTGTATACGCCTTTTAGAGCGCCGCCTACGCGCTGAGGCTGCGCTGTTGGCTCTCTCAAGACTGGAGATCCGATCGCGCATCAGCTTAGCAGAGAGCATCATTACCTTAGCGCCCTTCTTTAGCTGGTCAATCGCCTCAATAATTAATGCTGGTGATGAGCTCTTGTGCTGGCGCACGCGCTCACGTATAAGGCTTGACTGAGCCTCAAGCTCACGCGCGTTGCTCGGCGTTTGAGCTACCCAGGGAGCCTCTGGCAGAGCTGCTGGAGGAGTAGGTGTACGCAGCTGTATATCTAGCTTTGATAGAACAGCCTCTAGTTGTAGAGGAAAAAGGCCTGAGCCGCGGAATGCTGAGCAGATGTTGGCTGGTGTGAATGCTCTGTTAAACGCTATCTTGAATGCTAGCAGAAACTCTAGCTTAGTGATGTGGTTGATGTGGTTGCGCATGAGGCTCTCCACCTCACGGCTGTACGCGCGCTTCAATGGCGAGAAGCAGCCAACATTAAGTGGCTGGAGTAGGTGAGATAAGTGAGGAGGCATACAGAGCGTATGGATATTGTTCTCCTTGCAGAGCTCCTAGAACTCTAGAGATTAGTGGCTCTTATGGCCATCAATAATAAGCAGGCGACGCGCGCCTATACTACGAGCCTGCGTGTGAGCGTTGAAGTGCTTTAACCACTTAACTCCAAGCTTATTATTCGTCTAGCCATTGTCGCTGACTGCGATCGCCTAGTCGCGTGGGATCTTAGCTTCCTCGTACCAGGCTAATAGGTGGTACTGGCCAGCGAAGATGAGGAACGGTGGGACTGACCAGCCGGCTGCGTTGATCGCAGCGATCAACGTTACCCACTTACGATTGCCTGGCTAGATAGCCTTTGGCCTGCCTCTCCCTTCTAACGCTGTTACAACAAGCTGAGTTGTAATCTTGCCTATTATAAAGCTAGCTTTATTAAAGTTGTAGACGTCCTTATTGCAGATGCCGTACTTCGCCTTTGTCTCCTCTATAAGCTCAAACCAGCTTCGGATAAGGGCTAGATTCTCACAGAGAGCTCTCTGCCTATCGTACGCTCGGTTAAAACACGTCTTAAGACTGTCTGTACGCTGAACAAAGTTGCGCGGCCAGTGGACGCCGACCTGGCCAGCGCCGCGCGCAGCCAGCAGCTTATCAGCCATATCCCGTACAGCTGCGTAGGTAGGCGGAAATCCACGCTAATCTAGGTGAAGTATATAGCTAATAATCACCTCCTCTTCTCTCTTAGTAAGCTTCTTTGAGTTGGGCTGGCAATCGCGTCGGGCAGGTCGACCAGCGCGTCGGTCGCGCATTGTCATACGAGGGACACTATAGATTGAAGCAGCGCTGCTTTCAGACTGAATCTGCCCTGCTTTAATAGAGCTAATAGCAAGCTGGATATCAGCTTCGTTTGAAGATACTTGAGGAGCGCGGCGTGGAGGCATTGCGTGTTAAGATAGAGTAGGTGATTGAAGTTGGTGGGGCTGACGACTCGCTTGTATTGACGACTCGCTTAACGTGTCCGTGCGCGTGATGCGCGGATTCGCGTGATGCGCGGGGAACACCATATCCACTACTTCAAAAATGAAGCTATTAAGCCACGTATATAAGCTGTTATTATACGAATTTATAGAGGGGGAGTAATTAGATGCTTGCGATCAACTTGTACTATCTATATTTTGATGGGAGGTTGACGTTGCGGCCACGTGATGTGAGCTTTGATGGAGGAGCTGGAGGCTCTTCTTGAACTTGAGCACCAGCGCGAGCAGCCTCAACGCGTTTTTGACGCTTGTTGTTCGATGAGGTAGCTGCTGAAGCTCTCCTCTTTCCCTTTTGGGGTAGTTGTATAGCTTTAGCAGCGTCTCTCTCCTCCTTCTGGCGCGCGCGTTCAGCTGCTTTCTCAGCTCGCTCAAGCTCCCTCATCTCCTTGAGTCTCTGCCTCTCCACACGCCTCTCCTCGAGCTCATCTTGACGCTGCAGTCGAGCCTCCTCGCGCTGCTTCTTGGACCGTGCTTTTTGGAGTTTCTCCTCCGTCTCATCTCGCTCCCGTACTGCTTCTCTAGCTCGAGCCTCACGCAGCTTGCGAGGAGACCAGAAGACAGAGCCACCGTGATACTCCTGGCGCTGTTGAAGGTCAAGAGCTTTGCCCTTCTTCCTGTGCTTCTTTTTATGTTGAAGAGCCTCCTTTAAGCCCTCGTTCTCATGCTTTAAAAGCTCATACTGCACAGAGAGATGGTGAACGCTTGAGCGCAGCTTTCTTGCCTCATACTGATGGCTATCATTAACAGCAGCTCGTACTAGCCGATCGAGCTTTCTCCAGTCATGATCAGAGAGCCCTGACGATGAGCTTCTCTCAGCTTCTGGCGTGCTAGCAAATCTACGAAGGATAACGTTGGCATCCATCGGCCAGATCCCAGTGGCTTCGAAGGCCTTCAATATGAGGCTCTCTGTGAAGGAGGATATCCAGGCGCTCCAGAAGAGCGGGAAGAAGTCCCCTTTCTTGATTGGAATAAGGCCTTGAGCCTTATGGAGATGGTTAGTGAGCTCGTTAGAGTAGGCTTGAGAGAGTGGCTTGAACAGCACTACATCTAGCGGCTGGAGCGTATGGGTCGAATGGGGAGGAAGGATCATGAGGAGGATCCTATGGCGATCGCAGTACTTAATAAACTCCATCGTGAGGTGAGATCCATGGCCATCAAGGATGAGCAATCTCCATCTACCTGATCGTTGCTTTGTAGAGCGATCAAACACCTGCTCCAGCCAAGCTAGGCCTACGTTATCATTTGACCAGCCTGTTGGAGATGATGAGACAAAGACCTCATGTTCTCCTGCCTTGATATCTTCTACCTAACTCGATCGTATAGCTCCATTTTTAGCTGCGTAGATAAGGGCTGGAGGCAGCGAGCTCCCATCAGCGCAGCAGCAGGCCAGGACTGTCAGAAACTCGCGTGATCCATCCTGGAGAGATGCTCGAACCTCCTTCTTCTCCCATTGACGCCTGCTGAATATCCTCTTACTTCTGCCTATCAAGCCAATTAAGAAGCCCTTCTCATCCATATTGTATATATCTCGAGCCTCTAGGTGATATTCGGTGATCTTTCGATGCAGCAGCTCGAAGTAGAGTCTATACTTTGACTCAGAATCAGCCAGGTGGCGCGTACGATCCATGGCGCTGGTCCACTTTGAGATGAGATGGATCTCGTGTCGGTTGATGAAGCGAGTAACCCAGCTCTCGCTGAGCTGCTGATGGGCTACTTCTGATGAGAAATTCCTGATCATCTCTCGTGTAGGAGGAATGCCTCGCTTTGTGAGCTTTTCGATATATCTCACAAGCTCTAGCTCTTGTTGTGGGTTGAGTTTCTGCTGGTTGAAGTTCTTGTCTCTTTCTGAGCTTGTCTGGCCCTGGTGCCTTCGGGTCAACGTAGATCTCACAACACCATGCTTAGCAGCAATTTTAGTATACGAGAACTGTTCTCCTGGCTCTAGATTTTCAATATCTTCAATCGCAGCTTGAATTGGGTCCATATTGGTGGAGTTAACGTGTGTTGAAGGTGAAGGGGTTTGACGTGTTTTGGTGTTCCCCGCGCATCACGCGAATCCGCGCATCACGCGCACGGACACGTTATAAAACATGTTATTTGGTGTTTAGTACATTGATACCCGGTGATAGCAGGCGCAAGCCATAGGGAGGCGGACTTGACGGCGTGTTGTGTGTTTTTACAATATTCAATTTCAGCTCGTTGATACCAGTATCATTCTGTAAGCCACATAACCGCGTGCCACCCACCGTGACAATCCATGACAATAAGCCATCAGCATATTAGTATACCTACCAGAAGCCTACGCTCTCGGAAGTTCGCTGCCTGCACCATGCACATATAAACTTTACACATTCAAGAACACGGAGAGCTTTCTTCATCTCTCTGCTTACCTGATAGCAGTCATTCAATCACAAACACAACACAGGCTTCCCAGCACTATCATCTCTCCAATATACCTAGCCAATACATGGAGCATCCCAGCCTGCCCCGAAGAACAGAATTATCGATATCATTATACCAGTCAGCAAGTATCGCCACCAACTCCCTCCCAAGAGACGTCTAATATCTTACACCAAGCCTGTCCAAGACCTTCCAAGCACTCAGCACGGCAAGACGATGCGGTATCAAGACGGTCCGCTGTATGTGCATGTGTGCGGTCTAGACACTCAGCCTCAATCTTAACTCAACAAGTCCATGATAGGTACCTGCACCAGGGTCCTGTGTACCCTCTGATCGGCACAACGACGCCCATCCCTTAAGCTCAAGCTCAAGCTCATGCCCACGCTTAAGCGGACGTGAAGAAAGCACTCTTATCTGCCTTTCCCGTCGTTCACCCTGTGCACGCAATCATGCAAGTGTATTACAGCAACCAGACCATTGCGTACTTATGCGCGCACTCCTCATCCCCTTCTCCTACCCTGCCCAGCTCGAAAAAGAAACTACAAGCGCAAACCCCCTCAGCCTCTGACCCTGACCCGGAAAGAAAATGAACGATGAATCAATTCCCTTTCCACGGGTAGGGCACGACAGAGGAAATCTCCGTATACGGGGTCCCGGGTCTAGCCCCTCGCGCGCGAGGTCGGTCCGGGCTCGTTCTCAACGCTCAATATTCTGAGGTGTTCGCGGGGATTGATTCGTGGTTGAGGAGCCGCAATTGGTTGTTGGTGATTTTTTATGCTGGGAACGGAAACGAGTGCGTGTCACGTGCTCCAGCTGTCGGGATTGAAATTGAACAGTCTGAGGAAGCAGAGCGCGAGGGAAGGAGGAAGGGAGCCATCACCCTCCCACTCTTACCACGCGTCAACCTTCCAGTCTTTCCCCCAAAAAAGTAACTCAACGCCACAAAAAACAGACGGGCATCCTCATTTCACCATCACGAACACCCACCCATCCACCTAGGTTCACCCCCAGGGTCCACCCCCTACCCTCTAGATACGGTAAAAGATGTGCAAACCGCCCACGGGGAGATTAGTTGCCCCGGCGTGCGTAAACGACCGATTTGCTGGCATCTTGTACCTGGGTAGCTTATCTTACTTACCTTAGTCTTACTTACCTACTGCTGACACCATTGCTGATGTGGCAGATCAACAAAACCCAACACTCTAAAACCTTCCTTAACAAGGCGTAAACGCAAGCGCACGTCGATCCCATCTGATCAATCCAAATGAGCAGATCAGCAGATTGACAGATTGACATGCAGATTAGCGCGCACATCCTGAAAATCAGTTGCACTTGCGACGTTTTGACGCTGACGGCGCGAGTGTTGTGGTGACTAAACTACCACCTACCCAACTCGGGTCTCTGTTCGTTGGTCGGAGGCATGGGGCCGAGCCTGGGCGAGAAAAGGCAGAGCACGGCAGAACGCGGCAGGGCAACGCAAGGCGATGGAGGAGCAGGCAAGTCGCTTGCGACGCAAATGCGAAGATGAACGGAACGTGCGTATGCGGCGTGTGCGTGAGCCGTGAGGTGTTTTATTGTTAGGTTGCGTCGCTTGCGTGCGTGGCTACCATATATGTGGTGGCGAATATCGGGTGCATCACAGGTTAGGACTAGTCTGTGGCGGCTGAGTAAGTAAGGCGGGTGTGGATGTGTTTTGGTGGTCATGTTGTGCAACGGAGGTATTACGTGCATTATGCAGGTACCGGGGAGAAGCGCGGCTGTTTTCTCGGAGAAGAGGGGCGGGAGAAAGACCGAGAGCATGAGAGCTTGCGTGGGGAGATGAGTGCGTTGAAGGTCTTTCTAAGTATGGTGTCTGGGTTGTCTACGGTTGTAGGGCCGGGGATTGTGTAGGGAAGGAATGAAGGCAGGTGTAGTATGGCTGCTGCTGCTGACTTGGTCAAGTACCGATCAAAAGTCAGTGGTGCTGCAGCTACGTCGGTCTTACAGGTGACGGAGTGCGTCGATACGGTAATGTATGGTATAACAAAGCGCGAGAGATGAATATCGATAGCAAAATGCTATACAACCCAAGCCCCCAGGCGGTCATGACTGATAGTTCACACATCTACCTATATAATACTATGTTTCTCTAGAATGTAAGATGGTAGACAGTTTTTGGATGATAGCATGTGTTTCAATAGTAGAGAAGATCGGGAGTGAAGAACGTACGATTTGACGTAATGTACTTGACTATCTGGAGATACACGGCAGCGTAGCCCAAAGTAGAAGCCCGGTGTGACCCTTGCTCACATGGTTATGCGGCAGGGAGGTGAAGAAGATTAAAGGCTTGCGTGGAAGAGAACTGTGATCGACGACAGTGGCAGCGGGACATCACGATCAAGTCACCAGGATACGAACAAACACGAGAATATTTCAGACAGAATGGAATTCGCAAAATGCTACAGACGGATAGATACAATAAAACAAAAACGCCCAGTGCTCGATCTTAACTATCTCGAAGCAGACCCAAAACATGTACAAAGGAAAAAGAGTCTAGAGGGAACAAAATGGGTAGTTACAGTCATGAGACATAGCGAAGCCTCGTCAGCGTCTGCCACACAAGAGTGGTCCGAACAACACGTTTGTAGAGCGTAAAAATAAGGTGGTGGTTGGGTAAATAGACGGTCAATAATAATTGTCGAATGTACATGACCAGAAACTGTCTGAAGAACCCGAATTTTTCAGTTTTATCGTTTGTAATTCCACCACAAAGGAAAACCACAACCAACGCTCTGTCACTATGCTGCTCAAGGAGACCTTGAGACAGGAGACAGACAACTCGCAAGAAAGTGGATCAAGCGATCCTACCAGCAGCACATAGGAAAAGCGCAAAGTTCATCTACAGGCGACGAAGCCGAACGCTTACTTACGGCCATAGCCGGAACCGTAACCAGAGCCGTAACCGCCACCGTTGGATGGGGTGCCGGTGGTGGCAGGCTTGCTGGAGGTAGCGGCAGCAGGGGTAGCGGCGCCGTATCCACCACCGTATCCACCGCCGTTAGCGGGGGTAGAGGCAGAAGCAGCGGGGACAGCGGGGGTGGAGGAGGAGGATGGAGAGCCGTATCCACCACCGTTAGCAGGAGCAGAGGTCGAAGCAGCGGGGACAGCAGGGGTGGAAGAGGCAGCGCCGGGGGTGACTACGCTGAAGGTGGGGAGAGAAGAAGTGCCAGTGCTGACGGGCAGGGAAGGCTTGGTGGAGGTCTTGAAGCCAGTGGCGCCGGGGTGGCTCATGGTGCCGTTACCGGGGACGGGGTACATGCCAGTGGGGACAGCAGGAGTAGGGGAAGCAGTGCTGACAGCAGCCTCAGGGGTGACGGGAGTGCCGGCGGAGTTGGTAGCAGTGGGGACACCGACAGTGACGTAGACAGTCTCCTTGGAGGTGACGGTGACAGTGGTAGGAGGAGGGCACTCCTCACCAGCAGGGGGGTGGCCCTGCTCATTGGCAGGAGGACCAGGAGGGTAGCTGCCGGCCGGGGAAGAAGGAGTTGGGTGTCCCTGCTCGCCAGCTGGGGGGCCAGGAGGGTAGCTGCCGGCCGGGGAAGAGGGAGTTGGGTGTCCCTGCTCGCCAGCTGGGGGACCAGGAGGGTAGCTGCCGGCTGGGGAAGAGGGAGTTGGGTGTCCCTGCTCGCCAGCTGGGGGACCAGGAGGGTAGCTGCCGGCTGGGGAAGAAGGAGATGGATGTCCCTTCTCGCCAGCTGGGGGACCAGGGGGGTAGCTGCCTGAAGGACCGGTGGGGGTAGGCTTGACGGTGACGAACTTGGTGGAGGTCGAGGTAGACTTGATGGTGCTGGTGACATCTGGGCTGGGAGGGTGCTCGCCAGCAGGGCCAGTGGGGTAGCCGCTTCCGCCAGTGGTCTGGTTGGGGACAGAGCCAGTGGGCTTGGGCTTGCTCATGGTGACAACTACAGTGGAGTACTGGGTCGAGGTCTGAGTGGACGTGATCTCGGTGGTCACTGGGTGAGCAGTGGAGCCAATACCAACGGTGTAGGTGAGAGTCTGAGTGCTGGTCTTGACGATCTCACTGACGGGGACTGACTCAGTGACGACACCAGGGGTAGTGGTGGGCTTGCCAGTCTCGGCGGTGCAGACGGTGGTGCCAACGGGAACAACGCTGGTGATCATGGAAGTGGCTTGAGCCGGGCAGTTAGTGACACTGGGAGGGCAAGCAGAAACAGTGAAGATCTGGGTGCTGTAGATGGTGCTGGTGACCATGTCGCTGACTGGGGTGGAAGAACCGGGGTAAGAGCCAGTTCCAGTGGGCTTGGGAGCGTAGCCAGTGCCGGACATGCCAGTAGAGGTAGCGGCGTCGGGGGTAACAGGCTTGCCGGGGGTGCTGGAGGGGCTGCCGTAGCCGCCGTTACCACCAGCAGGGGTGGAGGTGGTGGCAGCGGGAATAGCGGGAGTGGACGAAGCTCCGGAAGGAACAACGGAGCTCATGCTGACACCAGGGACGTTACCGCCGTATCCGCCACCATATCCGCCAGCTGGAGGAGTGGAGACAGCGCCAGCGGGAGTGGAGGCAGACGGGCTGCCAGAGGAAGCTCCGGAAGGAACAACGGAGCTCATGCTGACACCAGGGACGTTACCGCCGTATCCGCCACCGTATCCGCCAGCTGAAGAAGTGGAGACAGCACCAGCGGGGGTGGAGGTGGTGGCAGCGGGAATAGCGGGAGTAGATGAAGCTCCAGAAGGAACAACGGAGCTCATGCTGACACCAGGGACGTTACCGCCGTATCCGCCACCATATCCGCCAGCTGGAGGAGTGGAAACGGCACCAGCGGGAGTGGAGGGAGATGGGCTGGATGAGGGCGAGGGCGAGCCGTAGCCACCGCCGTATCCACCAGCAGGAGGAGAAGAGACAGCGCCGGAGGGGACAGCGGAGCTCATGCTGACACCAGGAACGTCACCGCCGTATCCGCCACCATATCCACCAGCTGGGGGAGTAGAGACGGCGCCAGCGGGAGGTGTAGATACAGCACCGGCAGGGATGTCGGGAGTGGGTGTCGGCGAAGTACCGGGGGCGGAAGAGCTGCTGGGCGGCTTGTCACCACCGTAGCCACCTCCGTATCCGCCAGCTGGAGGAGTAGAGACTTCACCGGCAGGGATGTCGGGGGTAGGTGTGGGTGAAGTGCCAGGGGCGGAAGAGGAAGAGGGCATGTCACCACCGTATCCACCTCCGTAGCCACCAGCGGGGGGTGTAGAGACTGCACCGGCAGGGAGGTCGGGGGTGGGGGTAGGTGAAGTACCGGGGGCGGAAGAGGAAGAGGGGAGCTCAGCGCCGTAGCCTGAACCGTAGCCTCCGTATTGGCGGCGAGCCATGCGGTGGTTGCGGGCCTCGGCGGCATCCGCGGCAGCGAGAGCGGCCAAAAAGGCAACAGTAAGCTTCATCATGGTGTATTAAAATGTCCTTGCTCTTTAAACGTTGAATGTGTGGTGTGGCGAAAAAATCCGGAGTCGGTTCGAAGCAATTACGTTGACAAGTCCAGGAAAGAGTGACTGGAGTTTGTACAATGAACGTGGTTGTCCGAAGACAATTGGAAGCGAGTGTGGGAAGGAAAGTTGCCTTGCGGTGAAGAAAAAAATGACAGTGGGCGGATGGGAGGCGTTATATGAATGCTCAGGCTGACAGTGGCAGGACGCGGGCCATGGACGCAATGGCAGCACGGACTGGTCCCAGTTGGTCGACCCCTGGCGGGGGTTAATTTCGTTCAGGAACAACCGGCAGCCGGGGCCAGTCAGCGGCGCAGCTAGACCGGAGGGGCTTTCAGGGGGATGCATGAAGCTATCCACTGAGGAGGAGTAGACAGCCAGGTCTCGGCGTGCCAGCCGCTGGTGAATACGGCGGTAGCAGGCTGCGTGCGCTGAGAGGAGAGTGCCGACGCTGTCATTGTCTGCAGACAGGGAAGCGCTCACAGCAGAGCCGCCGAACAAAGGCCATGAGGGTTGGTCTCTTTTGTGCCGCTTTGTCATGTTTGTGCTCGCCATTGTAGGCGCTGGGGCGGCCCTCGCCTGCATTCGTGAGTACGTCTCTCTGTTTGCCGATGGCCCCCCAGTGATTTGTGTGTTTCAAGGCGCTTGGCCAAAATAGACAGCAGGCTGGCGTAGATCCTCCTTGCTAGGTCATCGTCAAGAGCGGGTACCTGGCAGATGCGCGTGTCGGTGAGCATGCACAACCGCGCCGAGAGTCAGCGCATGCGATGCTGCTGGCGGCCGAGACGAGAATGGACGCTCTTTTCGAGTGGATCCGCCCGCCGCCACTGCCAGCTCAGTGGCCGGCGCGACAAGGGAAGAAAGGGGAGATACGGGATTACGGGATTACTGTTCCACGGGAAACAGCAGCTCGTGTTGGGGGGCCCCGTTATCCATTGTCTATGTCACTCGTGATTGCGGAGTCGTTGTCGATAGGCGTAAAAGTAGGTGTGTACATACATAGCATATGGAAAGCGGTGGGCGGCGAATCAAGTCCTGGCCGGCTACGTCTAAGCGTCGGCATGGTGCGACGTCTCTGCCGCCTCGCACCTTGCACAACGACGACAAAAAGGACTCGGTAGAGCGCTGCTTCGCCCAAACTGACTTCATCGCCGCCGGGCAATGCGCATGCCGACTATGGCTCAAGGCTCATGTTCGATCTTCTAGTCGACTTGCCATGGCCGGCCTTTTGTGAAATTTGTTTTTGTGCACATCCAACGGTCCGCCGAACGGGCGCCACTGTGCCACATCCTCTAGCCTCGTTGGCTGGATGCTATTAGGGGTCCCGACGTCTCTTTCTGATCATCATCAGACGCTCAGCTCTCAGCTAACCGTCTAGCCCCTTGTACTTCCACAGTGCCTGAGGCCAGCGACGGGGCCTGCCATGCGCGCTTGAGACACGGCCTCGTTGCTGTCAAGGGTCTTTCCGCATAATACATACACAGCCACACCACGTCGTCGGAGTTAAATGTCAGGTCATCTGTCTCACCCTCTGAACTGCCATGCTCCCAGTACATGGACAGGCTAAGTATAGCACAGTGCTTCAATCCTCTGTTATGCTTCAACTTGCTGCTTTGCTTCGCAGCGTCGCAGTCGGCTGTAGATGAGCGCCCCGCTTCATCCCCGTCGCCTCGCCATAACGTAGTGCCTCACCATGTTCTCGACTCTTGACGAACTTCTGTCAGATCCTCACTCGGAAATGAGGTCGATCGGCCAATTATTCTTAGATCGTCTGTCGTTCTCTTTTCCCTCGCTTCGACGCCGGGGCTCTCTGGCCGTCTGTCGATAAAGCTTGTCATCTGCCGGGAAGTAAATGAGGCAATATTGCAGAAGAAGCGGGTAGGCGATTTTAGACGCGCAGAAAATAGAAAGCAAATAATGCCGGCTGTGGTATAACGAGCACGTGTGGATTGTGCACCATCGCCTGAGCTGAGCTCGTAAGGCGTGATTACCACGACGTGTTGCTTACAGGACAAGCAGCTATGGTGCGAGCCCGTCAGGGTTGCCCAGGTACCCCCCGCTCACCTGCACCTGCCAAAACAAGAATGACACGGAATGTGCAAGTGTGGAAGGCATGTGGAAAGCACTTCCATCCTCCAATACAATATTTCCGTCGTCTCAGCTCTCTGATTGGATCTCACCTATAGCCAGCCCTATGCGGCTGCGCTTTTCCACCCAGCCGCGTAGTCTTCTTGAAACGTCCCTCTCTTGCTTTTACACCTTCCAACCCCCACATCGCGGCACATCATGTCCGCCAGTCTGGCTCACTATCCATCACCTGCATCAAACGTTGATACCGACATCTCCCCTCTTATCAAACTTCTGACATGTCCATCTACTTGCTGCAGCGGAACGCGCCGCTGTCGAAACAATGGCTTCGGTTGAAACGAAACGACACCATCCCAGGTTATCCCAACTTCCACCCCGATATATCTGTGGCATGGGCCTCGGCTGGTGGATTTGAGCCAAGACCGCAACGGCGTTGCAATGCATGATTTTCCAAGCATGTGAAATTTGTTCAGGTAGAGGGTATCCACGATGCTCTTACTTTCCAGGCTTCTTGTTGATGGCACTCGCTCTCCTACTGGCTCATTGTGGTACACTGAACGTCATCGACCCCTCACGAGAACCTGAATACACTTACAAAGTGTTACCCCGCGTTAGAGATTATACAAGTTGTTATCCTGTGATCTCTAGTCGAAACCGAGTCTGGAGAGGTATTAAACAGTGATGTCATCGGCAAGGTACAGCCCTACTACAACGCATATGCGGGACTGTGAGCCTACCTATACAAGTCTCCGATATGCATAATATACTGTACGTTTCACGAAACAGGCTGACGTATGTAAGTAGACTACAAGCAATGAGCCAGTATACACATTCATGGTTGCTCTTCTTCGGTGGATCCTCTCCTTATCCGTCGCTTGTTGGAGCAGCGTCTGATACGTTATGCATTTGTTGAGAAGCAAGCTTTTCTCATATACGAGCAGATGTCGTGTTTTTGTGCTATGCATAGCCTCTTCGCATTCTAGAGTTGTGACATTGACTCATACGAGGCTAGTATCGCGTATTACTCGCTCTCGGTAATTGTGTATACTCTCTCCAGTATGGTAGTAAGAAAATCGGGTTTCTTTCAATATCGAGCGACGGAAGCGGATACATACAGATAACACGAGCCCACTCATCTCTATCTGGTTCCCAATTGACTTTTTCATTGCCAGCTACTACCAACTCTTTCGCTCTACGTCAACCTTAGCATCCATACAAATAGCACCGTTCCGATAGAAAAGCCAACATCTACACCGGATCACGCGCAGGTTTCATACTCCGACTTGGGCTTTCATCTTCTTAGCACACCATTATGATAACACGCTTTCCTCTCTTCAACCGTGATTCCAAATCATACACAATGGAAAGACTTTGCAACGTTCAGCTCTCAGAAAAATCCTACAGCCGAATCTATGATACAACAGTTGACTATGCAAATGACTAACATAAAAATTCCTTCCACAACAAATACTCACACACCCAACAGCACATGTCCTCAAGCCTGTCCAAGAAGTAGCTTACTCTTTTCCGCCAAGTTCTGCGCCAGCTGCGTCATTGGGACATTTTGCATGACATCAAACACGGAGCACTCGACTGCCATCTCGCGAGCAATCCAATTCCTCACCTCGACAGCCACCAGACTATCAACACCATAGGCGCTCAGCGGCCTGCCAGCATCGATATCAGCTTCAGGCGTCATCATCAGGCTCGCAAGTCGCTGCACAATGGCTGCTGTAATGAGCTGCACGGCCTCTTCGCTGACACTTCCACATCTTGTCAACTCTTCGCGCAGTGAGATGGCCTGCCCGGCATTAGCCGAAGATCCGGCAGCGAGGTTGCGTAGGGCAGCAAATCGAGCATCAGCCATCCAATACCAGTTATCATCGTGCTCGTTGAAGGGCAAACCGCACATGACTTGACCTGGGTGGTGCGAGGGGCCTTCGATGGCGGTTGCGAGCAGACCATGCAGGTCCGACGTATGCATAACCTTGAGACCCATAGCCTTGACGTGGTCGACATACTCGTCGTGTTCAGCCACAAACCCAACCGACAAGAGATAACCAATGTCGATGGTCAGCGCGGGCAGACCCTGACCGCGTCGGAATGAAGCAAACTCGTCTTGGAAGTTGTTACCGCACCCGTAGTTGCCCTGTCCGCGATGGCCCATGACACCGGCTAGCGACGAGAGCATGACGAAGAAATCCATGTCAGGTGGCAGAAGCTCGTGCAGGTTCAAGGTGCCGTGGACCTTGGGGCCGACCGTTGTGCGCACGTGGTCGGCGGTCATCTTGTCGAAGAGTGTGTCGTGTAGGACCATGGCACCAGTCGCACACCCCTTGATGGGTGGTACACTCTTGGCCTTCAAGTCGTCAAGGACTGCTTGCAGAGCAGCTTTGTCGCCAATGTTGCAGTCGTATGCCAGTGGCGTGACATCATACGTCTTCTGCAGTTGTAAGGCGAAGGCTTTGTTTTCTGTGCCACTGGCTGCTGATCGAGAGAGAAACACCAGGTATTTTGCGCCCTTTTCTGCCAACCAGCGTGCAATCTCACGAGTGATACCACCCAATCCGGCGATTATGTACGTAGCATCGTGATGGATGCGAACGCGGGGAATTCGAGGTACGGCACGGACAACGTCTTCATCGTCAACGCGGACAACCACCTTACCCATGTGCTTTCCTGTCTGCATGTGGCGGAAGGCCTTCTCGACCTCAGCCATGGTGAAGATCTGGAGCGGTGCGATAGGCTTGATTGCCCCCTCGTGTATCATCTTCGCCGTATCGTGCCACAGCGCTACGGCCCGAGGTGTTGGGTTGTTCTCAAAGTCAAGCAGGTTGACACCGATGTAGCTCTTGTTGTCCAACAGGGGCTTCATATCAAGACCAGTGTTGGCGAACAGATCAGTCTTTCCAATCTCCAAGAATCGACCGAACTTGGCGAGACAGTCAGTCCAAGAGAGACGCAATGCCTCACCAGCCAGCGAGTTCAGCACCAAATCCACACCTTGACCGCCCGTAGCACGTAGAACCCTCTTAACGAAGCTGGTATCACGACTGCTGAAGATGTGGTCTTCGGGGAGTCCATATTGCTCTATGAGAAGTTGTTTCTTGGCATCTGCACCGACCGTGGCGAAGATCTCAGCACCTTTGGCTTGCGCGATCATGATCGCAGCTTGTCCAACACCACCAGCAGCAGCATGGATCAAGATCTTCTCACCAGAAAGGATACCGCCAGCAGTGACCAGGGAGTAGTAAGCTGTGAGGAAGATGAGCGGCATTGATGCGGCTTCCTCGAAACTCATACCGGATGGAATGGGTATGGCACCCTTGGCCGGGAATCGGACGTAGGTGGCGAAGGTGTCACAAGACGCAGTCATTACCCTGTCACCGATCTTGAAATCCGTAACAGCAGATCCAACACGAGTGATGATACCCGAGCCATCAACGCCGAGCTTATTCTCAGCCAAGTTACCGAGCGCAACCAACACGTCTTTGAAATTGAGACCAACAGCCTTGACCTCAATCTCGATCCAATCCTCGGGCAGGGGCGTGTGGTACGTCTCATCCTCTTCCCACCGGAATGTGTCGAGCAGACCAGGTGTCTTGATGGTGAGTTTGAGGGGACGCCCGCAGCCCTTGAACGAGATCATTTCTGGATCACCCTTGGCCTCGTACTTGCGCAACGATGCATCAACTTCCAGTGTCCGTTCGACGCGGGGTAAGTATACCATTTCTCCACGCGCAGCGAACTCGCCCTCCGTGCCGTCGCCGCGGATGTGTGCTTGTGCAACCTTGAGTGTGGTCTGGGACGCTTTTTCAAAGTCAACAGTTGAGGGTGCATCTATGTCAAGACAGGCGAGGCAGACACCAGCGTCTTCATTGCGAATGGCTCTTGCGAGTCCGACCATCAGACTCTTCACAGGATCAGGCGTGTCAAGGGCACCACCACCAGTGATCCACAGAGCGCCGGCGGACGAGAGGACAACATCGCGCAATCTGCCCCAATTGTCGTCGGTGAGATCCGCGATGACAGGATCCTCCCATTCGGCAAGGCAGAGGCAGTACTTGCCGTCCACGTGCGCCTTGGTGATGTCATGCCACTGAACGATGCTGATCTCGTAGCCAGCAGATGCAAATGTCTGTTGTATCGTATGGGCAAGCTTGTTCGAAGCTTCGGTGCCAGTGGCGACAACAAGGCAAGAGGGCAGGCTAGGTGCTGTTTGCTTGGGCTTCGTTGAAATGATCAACGAAACAGGCTCTTTCGATGTGTCCCTGTCGCCACGGATATCGACATCAACGCCCGAGAAGCCAGCAGTCTTCAATGCAACATTCCACTCTTCAGCGTCCAAGAGCGGACCTCCCATCCTACCATCTGCTTCACCTAACCACCAACCAGGCAAGGGACCCATAATGAAACCAGAGAAGATACGTTTGATTGTCACTTCGGATAAGACGAGACGGCCACTGGGTTTCAGCAGCAACTTGCAATGCGCCAGGGTCTCCTGGATGCTCTTCGTAGCGTGCAGGACGTTGGCACATACGATGAGGTCAAAGGACTCTGGGCTAAATCCTTGTTCAGTAGGTGAGTTTTCAATGTTGAGCGTGGCGAACTGCATAATAGACGCATCCTTGTTGAACCGGTCGGCGGCCTTGGCAAGAAACCCAGGAGAGATGTCGGTGAAGTAATACTGGGCTGCCTTGGAGCTTCCATCGGGATTACGCAAGCGCTTCAAGACATGGTATGTGGTACCGCCCGTTCCTGCGCCGATTTCCAAAATGCGCACTCCGGGCTGCTTGTCAGCAATCAGGCCAACATACTCAGCCACGTTTGTGTTGAAGCTCGTACCAAAAGCTCCACGGTAGAAGGAATAGAGAAGATCGCCCTCAGTCATGCATTGTAGAGCTTCGACTTCGTGCGTGAAGATGCGAGATAGGTTTTGCCCGATGCGGTCCACCATTTGCACTGTGATATCGCCACTCTCCGAAAGGATGATGCGTTGTCGGGCTTCCTGCATCTCGGTCTCGACATCTGCGGGCAGCGGGGGGAACTGCTTGATGGTGTCGTGCATCCACTCGACGTACGACTTCCAGAAGCCATCCTGCGGCAAATGTGCCTTGCCTTCTTCAGTCTGGAACCAGTCCAGAACACGGTAGATGTACACCAAGCAAACGAGCTCAAGTAGATCAAGCACCGATTCGTCGTCCTTGCTCTTCAACGTACGCTTATAGATGATTTCCTTGATCTGAGATGGAGACAACAAGTCAGCGTCCAAGTACCAGTTCTGCGCGAAGCACGATGCGCGCGTCTCTAGCTGCTTTGATGCATTTTCTGTCGCACCAACGGAAGCCAGTACGACGCCCTCCATAACGACGACGGGCTCAGTCATCGCCGCCTCCGACATGGTGATGTTGGAAGTCCATGTCGTGTAGCTCAGCTTCTTCGCCGTAGAGCAGCCGTGTAGCTCCGTGCCAGCCGTCTTTGGTATCCTAGCCGAGACGAAAATGCGATCAAACGACCTAGGAACAACTGCTTCATCGAGTGCCTGGTCTTCGCCAGAGATGCTGGGAAAGACGAGATGGAGGACTGAGTCAAGAGTGGCAGGGTGAACGATATGGGTGAACTCGAAGCCCTTGGGCATAACTGCCTTGGTATCTGGCACCCTGATAACTCCATAACTCGAATTAGGCCCTGCAAATAGCTCAGACATGTTGCGAAAGGTTGGTCCGTAGTTCATGCCAATCGCCTCGACCGTATCATACAGGAAGCTCCGCGCGGGCTTTTGGCACACCTTTTTAGCCTCAGCAAGCGAAGACATGTAGCGCTCATTGCTAAACGCCAGCTCACTCTTCATAGACGGTGAAAACCTCTTGAAAGTAACAGAGATGAGACCGCGGGCATGAGCAGTCCAAGAGTTCAACTCTTCACTCCACGAAGAAACCGTAAACTCATACAGTGTATCCGACGGCGCTGCTCGTGTCCCAGTGCGACGGTTATGCAGCTGTGTCGTGACCTCAATACCCTTTTCGGTATCAGGTATACGAAGTGCGGTATCGATGCTGACATCACGCAAATCGAAGCCATGAATGTCATCGGCACTGATCTCCTGGGCTAGTTGATTCGCCGCTTCGATGGCCATGACCAGCATACCTGCGCCCGGATAGAGAATATCGCCTTGGACCTTGTGCTCACGGATCCATGGATTCTCGTCGCACCGCAAAAAGTTACGCCATGTGTGTTCGGGCGTTCCGGGGAGGCGATAGCCTATGAGGTCTGTACGTGGAGTTTTGCGGAGCCGGTACTGTCGACTTAGGGCTGACTCATCCCAGTACGGTTTGTGGTTCCAAGCATATGGAGGAAGATCAATCAGGGTGTTAGCGCTGTCAGGAGACATGTTGTTGACTTTATTCATATCAATTGTGCATCCATGTGTCCAGAGATGGCCCATGGCTTCCAATGCTGTAGCAGCACCATCAAAATTGCGGCGCAGGATGGTGGTGTATGTTGAATCTGCGGCACGGTTCTCACTGCTGAAGATATCTAGGAGATAGCTGCGGAGTGCTGAATGGGGGCCGATCTCGACGAACAGGTTGGCGAAGGCTTTGCGCGTTTTGCTCTCCTGGGGGTGGTTCAGAAGGGAGCGGACAGCTGCGACGAAGTTTACAGGAGATACCAGGTTGTCGACCCAGTAGGATGGCTTCATCTGCGTGGGGGCAACCAGCGTGCCCGTCACGGAGGAGAACATAGGGATAGTGGACATCGAGCCATGCGGGATGTCCTTCAAAGCCCTTTCGTACTTCTCACGGGTTGACTCCATGTGGAAGGAATGGTATGCGACATCCATGGGGAGCCTGGTACATGCTACCTGCGCGCCTTTCAGCACTACTTGTAGCTCACTGATGGCAGAAGCGTCTCCAGTGATGGTGCATGCCTTGGTGGAGTTGAAGCAACCCACGACTGCCCTGCCGTCCTTCAAGCCATCGAGATGATGTTGTATACTGTCCGCGCTGGCGGATACAGCCAACATGCCACCGTTCTTGGACACAGTCTTGCTGACTTGTCCTCTCAGCCAAGCGATCCTGACTGCAGCCTCTTGGTCAATGAAGCCGGCGGCATACGCAGCTGCAACCTCGCCGCTAGAGTGGCCAAGAACAGCGACAGGGCTCACACCAAAGATGCTCAAGAGGTCTACGAGAGCAACTTGGATGGCGGTACAGGCTGGCTGGCTGTAGTCGGTCTCGCGTAGCTTGCATTCAGTTTCAGTGCGATTGAGCTCCTCAGTAAGGCTCCATGGGCAACCGAACGACTTGAGAAAAGCCTCGGATCTCTGCATGCTTTCCGCAAACGTCGCATACGCAGAGAGACCTTTACCCATTGCGTGCCACTGTGCACCCTGGCCTGTGAACACATAAGCGACTCTAGGTATCACGGAAGTGGACGAGCGAACCACTGGCGCAGGGCTTGATATTTTCTCTCGTAGGCCGCTGAGGTTCGAGGAAACTGCGTATGACTTCCATGGCAGCGCGGTTCTTTTGGAGCTCAGCGTGAATGCCAGGTCGCTGAGGAAAGAGGGTCCGCTGGAGACCTTAGAGGCGAGATAATCTTGTAGGCGCTCGACATTGCGTTTGACGCCCTCTTGATCGTTGGAAGACAGGACGAACAACTTTGATGTGGGGTGAAGGTCGCGTAGGACCTCACTCGACATATCACTTGCGGTGTCGCTGGATTCGCCGCTGGATGGCTCTTCAGCGACAGTGCTTCCAGAGCTGCTAGGACTGTCGCTGACGTAGCCATCGCGTACAGTGGCCAAGCTGGGAAGGAGCGGTGCCGTCGCATGTCGACCTTTCAAACCATGACGTGCCAGGAAAGATGCCGTGTCCTCGAGAATGACGTGTGCATTTGCACCTCCGAAACCAAAGCTGTTGATACTTGCACGGCGAGGTCCGTTGTGTGGCCATGGGGTCAGTTTGGTGGGTACCTTGACGTTTTCTGGTAGATGGATATCGGGATTGAGCTTTTCGAACCAGAGATTCTGTGGTATCAGACCTCGCTCAACGGCAAGCGCAGCTTTGATAACACCGGCTACACCGGCTGCGCCCTCGAGATGGCCGATGTTCGTTTTGACGGATCCGACGTAGAGATCTGACTTGCGGTTCTCGACTGACCCGACAGTTTTCAAAATGGCTCTAGCTTCCAGTGGATCGCCTGAACGTCTTTGGTCAGAGGTCGTCTGCCTGTATCATATGCAGGGCAATTAATTGTCACCTACCAGCCTGCGTTCCCGTTCCATGTGCCTCGACGTACGAAGTCTCTGCGGGATCCACGCCAGCCATCCGGTATGCCCCCCGAATCAACTCTGCCTGCGCTTCACTGTTTGGCAGCGAGATGCCAGGTGTGCGACCATCCTCATTAGTAGCCGTGGCCAGCACGACTGCTCGAACAGTATCGCCATCGCGTAATGCCGCATCTAGAGGCTACAATTCGCACCCCGTCAGTCAAATTCCTCACACAAAAATAGCAACAGAACCGCAAAAGTACAAACCTTCAGAATTGTGACACCAAACCCTTCCCCACGAGCAAATCCATTGGCATTCGCATCCCACATCTTGCTTTTCCCGTCTGCCGAGAGAATCTTTGCCGCGCCCAGCAAGATAGACATATCAGGTCCAAACATCAAATTGGCACCCCCGACCACGCTCATCTCAGCCTCTCCTGTTCGGATGCTCTGACATGCTAGATGGAATGCTGTCAGACTGGACGAGCAAGCTGTGTCGACTGTAAGGGAAGGACCCCTGAGGTTGTAGAACCAGGATAATCGGTTGGAAGCCAGTGATGATGACATTCCTGTTGCGTCTGGAAGGAGGACAAGTTAGCTCATCTTCATCCCAACCTGAGGATGAGAATAGCACGGGACTTACGGTATATCGAAGGGCCTTCATTGTCACGGGCTTGCATATTGGGGAAGTCAGCTGTGAAGGTCCCGATGTAACATGATGTTTGTGTTCCCGATAAACGGTCTAAACTTAAGCCGGCTTTTTTGCAACGGTCAGGTCAGTTTGTCAATTGATCTGGGCGGGAGGGGCATGTCATACCGTTTTCGAAGCCTTCGTATGCAGCTTCTAGGAGCATGCGGTGTGTGGGGTCCATGGCCTTGGCTTCCTTGGGTGTGACGCTGAAGAAGGGCGCATCGAACACTTTGAAGTCTTGGTCTAGAAAGTGTGCGTGTCTTTCACGTTGGAAGTCAGCACAGCTAAGAGCTTGAACAAAGAGTGGTATTAGAACTACCTTTGTTGAATGCTACCTAGCCGCTCTGGATCAGGGTGATAGAAAGCATCGACATTGTATCGATCCTTGGGTACCTCAGTGCGAGCACTACGGCCCTCAACGAGCATACGGTAAAACGCCTCGGGATCCCGAGCATCGCCAGGACCCCTAAAGGCAATACCGATGATGGCGATTGGTTTGCTCATTGCTGGTTTCGTTGCAAGAAGCAAAATTGCAGGTCAATACAAAGGGGAGCAGTTCGTAGTTGTGTGTAGACAGCTTAGATGCGGTATGGTAGTATTTATGAGAAGAATAAACTGCCGCGACTTTATGTGGGTTTTAACAGGTACATATCATTGTCAAATCTTGGATATGCAGATGTATTTACCAGAGCTGCAGGTGCGCGGCGCGGCTATCCAATATTCATCCTCCCAACTCGAACACTCATACGTACATTAGGCAGGAGTAATGTGAGTGTCTGCAAGCGCATGGGAATATGGTGCCCAATACCACTTCATGGTTTGAGCACGCTGTGATGGCTATACTTCGGGCATGCAGTTGCCGAGAGTGCCTATCCCACGTTCGTAGGAATTACAGAGTGGGTTCTTCGGAAGATGGACCCAGAGCTGTTACGCTTCCTGCCGCTCGCGTAATTTAACCGATCTTGACTCGTGGGATTGACCATTCGTCTACAGTTGTCGTTCTTCGAGTACTGCCTTCAAACCTGAGGTCCGAATCTGTAGTTATGCGTAGCTCCTGCAGTCACATATGTTTTTATTTCTTTATACTGTGAGCAAGTGGGATTTGCTTATGGAAATCCACTCACAAAAACCAACATACTGCTTATTTCTCCGCCACTTCGACCAATTTTTAGATTTGCCCGGGTATGGATGTATGCAAACACGTGTTTCTACACGTGCACGATACCTAGCGTATTAGCGGAAGGATCATACGGAGTATGGTCGTAAACGGGTGACAAACTATACTAGCGGGTGCTGTCAAGCGTGATCTCAGGAGACAAAAGAGACAGGTAAGACGAGGCTGAAATCGCCGCGCGGACCCACTAAAGGCGCGTTTCGAAGAATACTTAGCGTGGGCTTGATCGTATTGCCCCGGATCTAGGCATACTCTTGTTTATGCGGTCCAACTCGAGACTAGCGGAAAGAGGTATATGGGCGCTTGGTAGACTAGGCTTGGGTCGTGATGCACCAGGGATGTAACACCCGCGGCGTTTTTTTTTCGTGCTGACATGTACGCGGACGGTCTGTCACTGTTCACTGGAGTTGTGGTTGGATGTCGGGCTACCTGAACTATCAGGTGGCTCAAGAGTTCAACACTGTCCCGAATATCATACTTCAGTGGTCTACAGGAGTGCTAGCAACTACTCGATATCTAATATCTAACAACTTATGGCTCAATGATTGGCTGGTACCATCGAAATGCATTGTCAGGATCGTACTTCTGTTTGAGACCCCGTAGCTTTTCCAGCCTCCACGGCTCATAGCCATACAGTGCTTCGAGAGGATCTTTCATAGATGACGTGCCGTTACCATAGCTCACGTACTGCTGCAAACGACCGTACCCAGACGTCTCAATGAAGCGTTGCTTCCAGTAGTCTAGATGGTCCTCGAAGACCTTGCGATCCTCCATCCGCTTTGGTGTAGCATTAAGCATCCTGAGCACCTATGTTAATAGCTGCTTGCGAAAGAAAACTAGAGGAGTCGACTTACAAGAAGTGATTTGATCCTCCACGCCATGGGAACGCCGTCGCGTCATTGGGAATCTCGCGCACGCGCTGGTCAGGCAGGCATTCAAACATGGCGCTGAACCAGCCGCAATCCTCCCATTCCTCACTCATGGCTTTGACACTCTCGAAGAACTCGCGCGTCGTCTTGAGGTCAAAGGTATCAACGCAAGCGGCGCCCATCATCTTATAGGGGCCCCGTAGCCAGACTTCAGGCTTGCAGAAAAGCTTGTTCATCTCTTTGTACGTTGAGAAAGGTAGTTCTGGCCATGGCACTGACTTTCGTCCGCTGTTCAAGACTGGGTTTAAAGACTCGAAGCGCTGCACGTATGGGTCTGCTTTCGCGACTGAACCAGACCAGACCAGGTTGACGAGGATGATGTGCTGGAATATGTTAGTGGTCTTGTTATCTGCATCGATAGGACTGCCTACCTTACGGCCGCTACTCTGACGCATCCATAGAACGAAGATTGCCAATTCAGCAGGCATAGTATCATAGACGCTATTAAGCGTCTTGAAAACTTCATCGCACTGGTCTAGAGTGTACTCCAAGTCCCAAGTATGATGGATGCCTCCGTGTGCCTGCGGGTAGACCTGAAAAGTGGCTTCAAGTGCAATGCCGAAATTGTGACCTGCTCCCCGGATACCCCAGAATAAGTCCGGATTTGAGTCTTTGCAAGCAATTACCACACTTCCGTCGGCGAGTACGAGTTTGCAGGAAACCATGTTGTCGTTCAAAAAGCCGTATTTGCCCTGCAAGCGTCCTAGGCCCGCGCCAAACGCTACACCTATGATACCAGTCGTAGGACACGATCCCACGTCTTGATACTCGTTAGTACTCACAATATATGGAAAGAACCTCTAAGACTTACTGACTTCCATGCCTAAGCTATGCACAAAGCGCACAAACTCGTCCGTTATTGCTCCTCCACCTGTAGTAACTTGCCGCTTCTCGACATTCCATCGCATTTGGTTGAGCGGGCGCATATTGATGCATATTCCATTTCGAAAATGCCTCATTGTACTTGTGACTGCATGATGGCCACCGCGAGGTGTGAATGGGATGCCCTTCTCACGGGCATACTTGACGACTGCAATAACATCATCCTCACAGCTTGGATCGACCACGGCGAGATACGTTGGACGCTCATACTGAGTGAAACGCAGATTGGCTTTGTCGAATTCTGTTCTGTTCTCATCGGACGGCAAGTGGACACGCGCCTTACTTGACAGCTTCTGCTGGAGCTCGACGCGGATTGTTTTTCCTAAAAGGGCAAGAGTATCGGCGCTGTTTTGATCACCCATGTTCAGGTATTGTATTGAAAGTCTCTGAATGTAGACGACAGCAATTGGCGATGATAGAAAATTAAGGCCAGAATATGAATCTGCTTGTGACTATCTGACAATCAGCTAAAACCAGTCGCAAGCGTCGGATATTACAGCAGTTATCGAACGGAAGCATAACAGCCATGATTCGGTAGAATGACTAGTGATAGCATATCAATAGCTCGAAATGTGGTTTATGAGGACCACATGCACGCCGGTGGACTAACTATCTGGAATACCGTGTGCTGAAATCTACGCGGGGAGATATCGACGGAATTACAAATCCGTTTAAAAAGACAGCGCTGCATATTGCACTTAGCTGCAGCAAGCATGGGTTGTTCTTTCGGAGGTCTCAATTCATCCGCGAAACCTTCAATTGTAACCCAATCAACCCCGCGGTGGGACGCGTTATGGAAGTGTTGAAACTGACCTCGGGAGGCTTTGTTCCTTCAACACGTGGTCAAGCCTCACATATCATTCGATAGTCGATCCAAGCTTCAGCTCCCACGTGTTCGCCGCTGCTTCTAAACTGTCTTGCATAGACCCTTGTTCTCGGCCGTTGATGCCGCAACATCACTGACTCTCTATGTGCATATCTGCGAGTAGATCGGCCCGACCAGCAAGGGCCGAATTGATAGTACCAGCCATCTGCATCTATCTTTCACTGCACAAGCTTCGAGTTCCCTAGACTACGTATTTGCGACAGCGTGCGATGAAGGGGTGACTTGATTGGTGACTTCTGTTGTGCACTGGTCAGTTCCATTAGTCGATGTATGCGAGGCTTGGGAATAGGAAGCGACGATGAAGCCCGTTGCCCAATGCGGGTACTCTGCAGACACGTCGCGGTGGTTTCCATAGTCACTTTCAGCTTTTTCTAGAGTGCTGGGCTGAAGAAAACCTAGCCGTCCATCTGCTTGATATTTGTCACTCAGAGGCATCATGACAACTTCTTTCATACAAGATAGCCTGAGGGATCAGCTCGTTCGAGTGCCGCCATTGACACTCCTAAATATCTTCACTGGTGTCTCCGTGCTTGTAAGTCTATACGGACTCCAGAATCGTTCATCTACAAGCTGATGATGGGGTTCAGATTATACTCTATGTTTTTTGTAAGGTAGTTTACAACGTCTACCTGAGCCCTCTGGCTGGCTATCCGGGCCCAAAGCTCTGGGCCATTTCTCGCTTACCATGGAATCGGGCCAACATGAAGGGTCGCATCAGTTGGAAGATCCGCGAGCTTCACGATAAATATGGCCCAGTTGTGCGCATCGCCCCCGATGAGCTCTCGTATACGACATCAGGCGCGTGGAAGAAGATATACGGACAGCGGAACCCCGAGTTCGTCAAAGCCCTTGATGGAAGGGGTATCGCGCCCGCGAGTATAGGTGGCCAGCGTAGCTTGATGACTGAGCATCAGGATAGACATCTGAGGTTGAGGAGAGCTATAGATCCGGCTTTTAGCCAGAGAGCACTGTGAGTTTCATCTGCATATATCAATCTTCGACATGGCACGGCCATACTGATGTTTTGGATCATGCTAGTCGCGAACAAGAGAACTACTTTCAAGATCACTCGGATAATCTCGTCCAGAAGCTGAAGGAGCGGTGTGAAAACGGACCTCTCGATATGACGACATGGTACAACCTCGTCGCGTTCGATATTGTCTCTGATCTGGCTTTTGGTGAGCCCTCGGGTTGTGTTAACAACCCAGATCAACCGTGGATACAAGCCATCCTGGCTCGCGCCAAAGCTATCGTCTGGTTCCAGCTTGCTGTGCAGTATGGGGCGATGGGATTGCTCAATTGGTTGACGCCAAAATATGTCACTGAGTCGAGAAAGAAGCACATCGCAATGACTGAGGCCAAACTAAAGGCGAGGGTTGAAGCCAAGAATCCCGGAAAAGACTTTATGTATGCTGGATGCGTTATTCCCGTTACAAATCAGACCGCTAACTCCATGGTTCAATAGGTCATACATCCTCGAGAACGACGAGAAACTCAACCACCTCGAACTAGTGATGCTTTCTTCCAATTTCATCGTGGCAGGCAGCGGTACATCTGCTGGCGGCATGTCCGGCTTGACGTATTTGCTCCTCTGCAACCCCGATAAATTGGAAAAGCTCAAGCAGGAGATACGCGGCCTCTTCAAGAATCGCGCAGATATGACCGTCCAGGCAGTGACCAGCTGCAAGTATTTGCGCGCCTGCCTCAATGAGGGTATGCGTCTGTACCCACCGACTCCGGGCTCGCTGCCTCGATTCGTTCCTGGAAAAGGCGAAATGATCGAGGGCGGATGGGTCCCAGGCGGTTATGCTGTTGGTGTCAACCAGCTGGCAGCCGGGCACTCAGAGCGCAACTTCAAGCGAGCGCGTGAGTTTCACCCCGAGCGCTGGCTTGATGAACCAAACTCGGAGTTCAAAGATGATGACCGTTCTGCTGTTCAACCGTTCTCGTACGGTCAGAGGGCTTGTATTGGACGATCTATGGCTTATGCCGAGATGTCACTCACCATGGCAAAGCTTGTACGGTATTTCGATTGGGAGCTCCACGATCCCGACAACGACTGGTGGAACAAGCAAGGTACCTACTTGGTGTGGGAGAAGTTACCTCTGCTTGTGAAGTTGAAGCCTGTATTTGATGCGAACGAATAGTAGTAATAGTCTGGGCTCAATCTTCCCATGGCGTATCTGCCAACCTCCTCCTGATGCTTGAGCTCCAGAACTGAATAGATCCATATACATACACATGGGGAACATGTTTCTTATGCTGTCACGTTGATGGCGAGTTCTTGTGAACTCAGCTGTAATACAATCAGATTCGAGCATCCCGAATGAACAAGCTAACCCAGCATTTTGAGTGACTGTAAAAGGCCAGTAAGTAGGCTCACAGCTGGCACACTAAGATTTTGAGCGATCATCAGTCCCCTGTCTAGCGCTGTGCACGTGGATTTTAAACACCTCCCCAGGAAGAACGGCTTGTATAATATTTAAGCTAACAGTGACGCGCTACTCAGCTTCTCCAGGTACAACTTCAACACACTTGCGGACGCTGATATCACGACACTGAAAATACAGATGAACGTCCTCATCCTAGCGGCGGGGTTGCTGCTTCTCATACGCATTACGGATATCGTCCTCATCAATCCCCTGCGTAATCTTCTCAAAATTCGACGTCTCAGATGTGGTCCCGTACCCTTCGAGCCAACTCGATGGCCTCTGGGGATCGACATCATACGCCGTGGCTTGCGAGCCGACAGAGAGCAACGAACGCCTGACTTCGTGACCGCGCGCTTCGAGGCCATGGGACGATACACATGGGGGATATCAGTGCTAGGTACATCTAACTTTATCACGGCTGAACCTCGTAACGTGCAGGCATTGCTCGCGACGCAGTTTGACGATTTCATCATGGGAACGGCAAGAAGAACGAACCTGAAGACAGCTCTTGGGCGAAGTATCTTCGCCGTGGATGGCAAGGCGTGGCATCGCGCCCGAGAGACAATGCGGCCGATCTTCAGTAGGGAAAATGTCTCCAGGCTTGAACTGCTCGAGGAACATGTGCAGACCATGATACAGATCATCGAGACGAGAGAACAGGGGCTGACGACCGATGACGAGGGTCGAGCGTGGTCAGCATCTGTAAGCTTGGCTACACTGTTGCCCTGTTTGACTATGGATTCGGCAACCGAGCTGTTCCTGGGACAGAGTACAAATTCTCTCAGAACTCTCCTTGCCAAACAGCAGCAGAAGAACTGCAACGATCAGTATGACGCAGACAGCTTCGACCACGCTTTTGAGCGCATGCTGGCCATCCTAGGAACAAGAATGCGGCTGCGAAGTCTGTACTGGCTGTATGGGAACAAGGAGCTGAACAAGTGCATAAAGACACTCCACGCTTTTGTCGACAGTGCCATCGACGCCGCAGATCAAGCAAGACAACAAGGCTCTTCTCAAATTCGCTACGACTTCCTCGAGTCCCTACGAAAGCGTTGTTCCGACCGCGCCGAAGTACGTGAGCAAGTTTTGGGTCTTTTGGCAGCGGGCAGGGACACGACGGCGTCGCTTACAGCCTGGGTCTTCTATTGTCTAGTACGGCATCCGAAAGCATACAAGAAGCTACACGAGATCATTCTTCAGACCTTTGGCCCTTATTCGACTACCGTTGGGAAAAGCATAACCTTCGAGAAGCTCAAGGGCTGCACATATCTCCAACATGTCATGAGCGAGACACTGCGACTGCATTCGGTTGTCCCTTTCAATTCCCGTTGCGCTGTACGAGACACCACACTTCCCGTCGGCGGAGGGCCGGACGGTACTATGCCTGTCTTCGTGTCCAAAGGTACTGAAGTCAATTTCAGCACGCATGTGCTTCACAGGCGAAAAGATTTGTGGGGCGAGGACGCCGACGAGTTTGTGCCCGAGCGGTGGGAGCGGAAGAGGCCGGGGATGGCTTGGCAGTATGTTCCTTTCAATGGCGGGCCACGCATCTGTATTGGGCAGCAGTTTGCGCTTACAGAAGCTGGGTACGTACTGGTACGAATGATCCAGCGATACGATGTCATTGAGGGGCTGGACATTGATACAGAGCGCGACTGGCATAATTTTACTATCGTGTGCAGTCCCGGTAGCCCAATGGCGAGAGACGCAGCAGTCATGTGTCGATTGAGGGTAGCTCTCGAATAGGTTTTGATGTCAATCCACGCAAGCCACAATATAATCATAGCTATATGTTTCTAGGTATCTCATATCGTGCAACTTGGCAGTTCCATGTGACTCCATAAACAAGACACCCTACTTTGGTAGTTTAGCGGACCTTCGTTCATTGTTGAACCGAGTTACTCATTCTCTGTTCTGGAGCCGTTATACGCAGCTTCAAGGACATCAGTGAGTCCAGAAAGAAGCCATCAGGTTATCTCAACACGTGGTGCTGTATCTATGTCGCTATTGGTGTGGGTTTCCAGTTACTTCAAATATGGATCGGCCCTTCGATATTGGCTTAGGTGTTAGCATGGCGACTAACCATGCTTCTACCAAAAGATAGCCCGGGATAGAATCTATCCATAACTCTTACTGTTCTCGATCGATACCACCATCCTGTTACTGCCCATGTCGGGGCATGGTAATGACTAACGGTGACCAACCCCAACTAGGCAGACCGGACCGAATACGGAATATAAGTACGTGGAGTATCGCCGAGAGCCCGCGCTCCAGGATTGCAGGCACGACACTTACAGGATATTCGGGGCCTCGTAGTGTCTCGGTATACTTTACCGTCGCGCTCTAGAAGCCCCAGCCGGTGAACAGATGGCTACGCAAGCATAGCTAGTGCGACCACACCCGTATCATCACTGGATATCGTGCAGGACGCAAGGCACGGATCATCTTCGCTTTCCTTGAATTTGTCATCGAAAGTGCTGAGACTGGAGCCATACCTAATCCAAGAGGCTTTGGATAGGTCGGTCAGCCACGTGGATATCTGAAAGCTTCAATTGGCTCGATATAGTTTGGGCAGGTGACTTATCTTGAGGTACCACTGCCCTCAACCCGCAATCGTGAAGCCCGTTGTTTGACTATTCGGAAGAGAAGTCAAGGCGACCCAACCCCACAGCCAAGACTACCAAGCTTGACACCACCATGTGGTCTATTATAGCCTTTCTTGTCTTGGTCGTTGTAAGTCTGCACTTCTTGCAATGTCAACAAGGCCTTGAGATTCTGATTGAGAATAGCCCCTCGTGTATTTCGTCATTCGCTCCATCTACTGCATCTTTTTCCATCCGCTATCCGCCTTTCCAGGCCCAAAACTCTGGGCTATTTCGCGCATTCCATGGAATTATGTCAACCTGCAAGGCGATCTGGCATGGCGCATTCGTGACATGCATGTACAATACAATAGCCCTGTGGTTCGTGTCGCTCCCGATGAGCTATCGTATACCACTGGCACTGCCTGGAAGAAGATTTATGGCTCTGCTCCGCCGCGCGAGTTTCTTAAATGTCTTGACGGCCGTGGCATTGCACCTGCAGTTGCCAACGGGTGCCGGAGCATCGTCACTGAGACGCCCGAACGGCACGCCATCCTCCGCCGCGCGATTCAACCGGCTTTCAGTGAGCGCGCGTTGCGCGACCAGGAAGACTACTTCAGGGATCACACCAACAAGCTAATTGTACAGTTGCGGAGCCCAAAGTATGGTACTAGCAAGCAGAATATGGCACGCTGGTTCAGTCTACTGAGTTTCGACATTGTAAGTGACCTAGCGTTTGGTGAACCGGCTGGCTGTCTGGACCGTGCCGACCAGCCCTGGCTGGACGTTATGGGGGCGCGTATCAAGTCTATTGTTTGGTACCAGCTCGCTGCGCACTACCACATTGAATGGATTCTTAGATGGACGGCGCCCAAGGCGTCCATGGAGGCGCGGAAGCGGCATCAAGCGTTGACTTTTCAGAAGCTACAGCGGCGCATCGACGAGGAGCGCAGCGACAAGCGCCAGGGGAAGAGGAGGGATTTCATGAGCTATATCCTTGGTAATGAAATTGAGAATCTGAGCAACGTTGACTTGTTTGGTATGGCGAGTGCGTTGATCGTGGCAGGTAGCAATACGGCTGCGTATACCATGAGTGCATTAGTCTTTTTTACTTGTCGGAATCCAGAAATTCGTTCAAAACTCAATGACGAGGTGCGAAGCAAGTTCTCGAGCGAGGATGAGATCACGATAGTTGCTGCTGGTGAGCTGTTGTACTTGAGGGCGTGTATCGACGAGACATTGCGCATATCACCTCCCAACCCATCAACATTACCACGATGGGTTCCACAGGGCGGAGAAGAGATAGAAGGTAAATGGATACCGGGAGGGGTACGTGTTCTCTCAGCTATTGGTGTCGTGGTGAACTTCCACTGACTAGCACGACAAAGATGGCAGTAGGCGTGCACAATCTGGCAGTATGTCACGCTCCCTGGAACTGGCATCGACCGCTTGAATTTATCCCCGAGAGGTGGTTGCAGACAAAAGAAGGGGAGTTTGCTTGCGACGATCGGGGCGCATCTCGCCCTTTCTCCTATGGCAGACATGATTGTATCGGGCAGAAGTAAGCTTTTTGAATTCTCCGCTCTTACCACTGAGTAACTGCTGACTTGATACTCTGTAGTATGGCAATGAACGAGATAAGACTGGCACTGGCCAAGGTCTTCTGGAACTTCGACATCTCATTGGAGGCCAAGTGCGAGGACTGGTGGATCACGCAAAAGTCTTATTTGGTTTGGGAGAAGAAGCCCCTCATGGTTACGTTGAAGTCTAGGCAGTAGCCTACACCCGGGTAGACCAGGGCTAGCTTTTGTAGCATCGTCGTGCATTCTCATCTTGTGGTGGCTCATTCTATTGTTTTTCAAAAACGCTGCTAGCAGTGTCCAAGCTTCAACGTCGATCCTATTCGTGGCTGTTTTCAACTGTAGAGGTGGTTTCGCTGAAAATAGTTTGACCGAGCTAGATAGTGATTGCGTATGGCTTGCTGCGTGTTTGAAGTCATCGCCGATCGTTCCCTATGCATTTGCAAGCGCACTTTACTCGGACCGTTGCACTTCGGGCCGAGCATATTGAGACCAAAATGGATCGACCGGGAGCTCGTAGCGATTCAAACGGGTGCTTTTCGGCAATTGAACTCAAGTCGAAATTGCTGATAGCCAGCTGCCACTCCTTTGACCACGTGGGCCACGTGCTTGACGCTCTCGCAAATACGTTGCTGGAAGCTATCTTCCATAGTCCACAGCAGAATGCAGGAGAGTCGGGGTTGCGATACCGAGGAATTTATGAGTGGTGAATAGTCTGTAGTGTGGCCTCACTACCGCTCATATTCGCTCGTTGGACTATCTGCGCGACTGAGACCAACTTCTGTCTGAACCATGGCGACACCAGCCTCTATCGCAGACCGCCCCAAGCGAGAGCTCAAGGTGCTCTCACTAGGAATGACACGTACTGGTGAGTTCCAAGATCTCAAGACTCTTGATATTGTATATAGTTGCTGCAGGAGGCTAACCAGAGCAAACCTACAATAGGGTCGGCTTCAATAACTCAAGCTCTCGAAATATTGGGATATCAAGGCGTGCACCACGGTATAAAAGGTCTCAGCTCGCCGCTCGAGTGGGAGCTCTTCAGCAAGGCCTGCGATGCCTTCTTTCCTGTGCTCCCAACCTACACGGGCGAGCCCTTCACACGCGCCGACTTCGACGCAGTCTTCGGTCCTTATGAGGCCGTCACCGATATGGGCTCTTTCTTCGCGAAACAGTTGATAAACGCATACCCCGAGGCGAAGATTATCTTGGTGGAGCGCGACGTGGATGAGTGGTACGAGAGCATGGAGGAGGCCATCTTTAGCACAACGTGGGGACTGCGTGCAGATCTCGTGATCGATGTGCTGGGGCCGCTTTACGGGCTCACTGGCGGGAAGACGATTCGCAAGATCATGCTGGGTTATTACGGCGTGCGGAACGTGAACGAGATGCGGCGGGTTGCCAAGGATCGGTACAGGCAACACTATGCTGAGATTCGGGCGGCGGTGCCAGAGGAGCGCTTGCTCAACTTTCACTTGGAGGATGGCTGGAAGCCTTTATGTGAGTTTCTAGGTAAAGAAGTACCTGAAGTACCGTTTCCTGTCAAGAATAAGAGGGGGGAGCACCTGCAGCGGGTGAGGCAGAAGCAGAATATGTTCTTCAAGCATGTTGCAGGGAATTTTGCCAAGAAATCGATACCTTACGCCCTGGGTGCTGGAATCGTGGGCTTGGCTATATGGAGAAGCAAATCCCGTTCGCAATGGGCCGCGACGTTGAGCATTCTCAGGCAGACGTTGGCATAGGCCTGGTGATAGATCTCATTGGTTGTGTCAGCTTCTAGATCTTATCGATGTCAAGCATCACGTGATAATACTAAGCCTTGGCTTTGCACTTAGTTCCCGCCTGGGCACCTCGGCTACAAACAACGCGCTTCTACAATCCCATCAATGCTTCCTATTAACTAGATTATGGAATCGTGCTGATGTATCCTCAACCTCTCAACACGTAGGATGGCGTCTTCACAGATCTGGGGACCATTGAACGGATTCAAAGAAAGATTGACACCTCAAGGTTGTATCGATACATAGTTCTATGTACTTAGTGTCTCTTCCTACCGTAACCGCAATCTCGATTTCGTACGACGGTAGGCAAGTCCATCAGACAGTGTCTACTCAGCCCTTGGCCATCCTCCATGGAGGCCTGCCGAGATCTCCTCAACACTCACCTCTCACCTGCGATTTCTAATTAGAGACACTCTTTGTAATACAGCTCTAGGATTCTCACTTGGCTTCAGGCTTAGCCTTTCCCCAGCCCCCATAGAGGCCTGCTGAGATTTCATCTACGCCGGTCTCTCTCCTGGCAGTGATCAGAGAGATACCTACAGTGTAGTTCCATGGTTCTTACTTCGCTTCGGGCTTGGCCTTTCCCCAGCCCCCATAGAGGCCTGCTGAGATCTCATCTACGCCAGCCTCTCTCCTGGAAGTAATTAGAGAGATATTCAGCAGAGTAGTTCCATGATTCTTACTTGGCTTCAGGCTCAGCTCTTGCCCAGCCACCATACAGACCTGCCGAGATTTCATCAACGCCAGGCGCTCTCCTACAGACCCTAGTCAGACAGGAATTTTTACAGCGGTTCCATAGTTCCTACTTAGCGACATCGCCGGTTGGGTGGGCAGATATAACCACAGCAGTGGCGAGCGCTAGAAGAATCTGAATTGACTTCATCTTGTTGTGGACTAGGTAGGTAGAATGCGAACGAAGATAGTTGCTTAGAGGTGAACTGGTTACTGTTATCGAGAGATCTTGCTCGCAATGAAGGCGATAGGAACTCACTTCATACGCCTTTATATCCGATATCCAGGCAAAGTCTCCGATGCATGCAAGTAAGTTCTCCGTTGCTACCCCAACTTCCTCCTCGTCGTTCGGCTCACTTTCTCTTCCGCTGTCCCGATTGTCTTCTTCTCCATTACCACGCTCACCGTCTCCTCTCGGTAGATAGAGTCTCCGTTAATTTGTTCACCTTCTTCTCTGGGTAAAGTCTTTTGCTATCTTCACCTTCACCCCAGGCTAATGCGCTCGAACCGATCATGCACAACGCGTCATGAAGGGCCTATTATTACTGAGTGGTTTATTTTGGCTTTCCAATAATGGAAGGTTTTCGAATTGTAACAACAGAGAGCTGGGTATAATCCAAACAGACCATTCACGTCGTTTTGTCATCAAACCCACTTTTCGCTGCTCAAAGCATAGCCATGAATGGACTGCGATATGATGATGACTATTTCCGCGATTCTTTCGCAATCCGCACTGTATCGTTCACCTTCTTATCTAAGCAAGGATTCTTCAGCTTGAGCAGGGAGGGGTTCTCGTATCATGTATCGGACCGATACAGATACGCTTCACATCCGATATCGATATCGGAGATCTTCTATCGTGTACACCTACGATTTGATGTACGGCCTAATTATGAGTCGCGCGATCTATAATTCTCCGCGGTAGCGGGATTCTATCAAGCCTCCGAACGATATCAAACGACTACGGCGACTCCACCATACTATCGTGTTCTTAGATACTTTGGCGTTGTTCAACATTCACATTTCAAACATCGCTCTCTGAACAGGTCTTATTATCCATCATTGCGTATCACATTTCTTTGTAATTCCAAATTCAACATGGGGGTCCCTGTGATAGCACGGCGTTCAGAGGATCACGACGAAAAAGACTACACTGAGTCGTACGACAGCAGAGACAGCTTGTTGGAAAACTCAACGGAGCTCGGGTCGATTGCGAAATCAAATTCAGCCATCAAGCTCGCACATAGATGGCAATCAAGCTCGGTCGTAATAGGTCTCTGTGCCAGCAATCTCGTACTGCTTTTAATATCTGTCATCTTGGGTGCCAGGCTCTATTCTGTCGGTGACTGCAAGGATCCGTCATTGAGTGTTTGGTGTAAGGCTTCTATAATCATTGCTCAAATTACCTTACTGAGACCGGTGCAGCGCCTGCCAACAATGCAGTCGAGTATCACGAAGAACATTTCGTAGCAGCTTTGGCAAATGGTACAGAATATATGGGATTTCCAGATGACGAGATCGATAAACGTTGGTCTGATCTTTACGATTGTAAGTTGCTGCAACTACAGGTAATTGACAGCTACTAATCAATATCAGTTGGTATATCCGTCATCTCGGAAGAAGAGGCAAAGAAACTCCCCAACCCGACAATACCTATCCCAGGAACCAAGGATTACTTAGTTGAGCTAGATGTTTGGCACTCGCTTCACTGCCTCAACGATTTGAGGAAGCTTCTTTACCCAGAGCGATTCCAGATGCTGGAAAGATTGATGACTAAGAACGGCACCATTGATCGCAACTCATTCAATTTCCGTCACTGGGGTATATTTCTTTCTCCTTTCTTCGTACAAGACCCGTTCGCTTACTATCCTTGTAGATCATTGCGTTGACGCCCTCCGCCAAACTCTAATGTGTCAATCGGACGTTGCACCTGTGTCGTTCCACGTCAACATTCCTTTCAACCGGGGCATATTCCCACGATTAGCGACAACACATACCTGTCGGAACTTTAGCAAAGTTCAAGAATGGGCAAAGGAACACAGAGCGCCAAAGTTTGAGTTTATGATTTCTGACCCGGAGAAGCTACAGCAAATCATGGATGAATCTGGCTTCGATCACTCTCCAGAAGAGAACATGGAGGGGCTTTACTGGATGTTCCCAGGAAACAAGTATTTCAAACATTGGCGAGATCATCCTATGGAGGAGCAAAAGTCCGTGGGGTCTACGTAAAGCCTGGTGGAATATGCAATGCCCAGTTTTTGCCGTTAAATTCGGTATCGCATTGTCGTTCCTTGCTAGTTGTAGTAAAGTAAGCCCCTCTACGAATAATGAATTTGAATATATGACTGGTACTATGGTACAGTTAACCTGGCGATCCGAAACTATCGCTCCTTAACCACCTTTAACCATTTACAGCGACGCTCCAATTTCGCGATCGCAAGAGTCCTCACACCCCAGGAATGCACGATTCAGAAAATTGAGCTCGGAATAATTTCTTCCGCGTACTACCTAAGTAGCCCCGAACTGCCAGATCCAGCAGGTCACGCCACATCAGCGTACCATAGAACGGCTAAGCTTTACCAAGAGCCTAAGCTCCCTTGGTTAGGCAGTTTTTAAGGTTATCTCCAAAACGCTGATCTCCCTAGTGAGTATTGCGGAAACCTATAGTGAGTCTTGAGGGCGATTGAGTGCTATACCTTAAAAGGATGCTTTTGATTGCCACGAAAAGAGGGGTACGCGCTACAATTCGTATATTCGATATTGGAAATGATAAGGACCCCGCATAGCGCTGTCTCCAATACCCCAAGGCACCTAGACGGGAACGGGAATACTACACCCAGGTATTCTTCGCTGGAGCCGGACCGCCCCGGCGTCCTTCCACTTCACTGGACATACCTCCTTGCCAGGTAACGGGAAAATGTTGAAACAACATTTGCCAAGATTCATACGAGAGAATTATGTGTACGAACATGTCGAAAAGAGTGCGCAAAGACCGGGGCTTTTCCAGAGATTACCAAACACGATAACATCAAACCCGCTGCCATTTTTCTATCTCAATATCGGGTTCTTCGTATTCTCACTACTCACGCTTACAACATCGACTCTCCAATATCACGCACAGATATCCCAAGATACCACAAGTCTCTTGAAAAGGTGTTCAGGTCCATGTAAGCATCAAAAGTCTATCAAACAACCAAAGAGCATTAGATAACAATCCCAGCGCCAATCTTCGACCGTCTAAACATCGATCTAGTCACCAAAAAGATGAACGCCACCCTCCTCCCCTCCTTAACCGACGAGATCTTCAGAAACGAGCCTGGCCCAGAAGTAGATGCGGCATGGCGCCGCATCTCTGACGAGCGCCCCATCGCCATCTCCCGCGAAGAAGTCATAGCCCTAGGCAAAGACCCCAACAAATCCGTTCGATACCCCGAAAGCTACGGTCTCGGCGAAGCCTACGCCGCCCGCATCGACGTATTTCATCAACTGCACTGCCTGGACGCTCTGCGCCGCGAGGCCTATTTCGATCACTACTACGGCAACAAGTACGCCGACTTCAACTCGACGACTAAACTGCACAAGACGCATCTGTCGCATTGCGTTTACTATTTGTTGCAGAACATCATGTGTCAGGCGAACGTTGATGTGTATACGCACGTGTGGACGGATACTGTGCTTAATCCTTTTCCGGACTTTCAGATCAATCATCAGTGTAAGAACTTTGATGCGATATTGGACTGGCAGCAGCGGAATAGCGCTGGGCTGGATGAGTTTTACAAGTTGAGGAGGCCGGAGAGCTTTGGCCCGGCGTTGAAAATGTCGGAGGAGTTTAAGGATGTGTGGAGGGAAGCGGAGTTTTTTGATCATAATGCTGACCACAGCAAGGGCGAGGGACATCACATTGGATAGCTCTTGTTGTATTGGGGTGCTTCTCTTCTCTGACGCTTGCGGTATGCAGCGCAAAGAAATTGCAATTACTTCTTATCGTACTTGTTCCCAAGACGTGAATGTCGTGAACATTGCTCACTGTACGCGCCCTCACATGCACACCCACAAACAAGTCGCTCGACGCGTCACCTCGACACGCTCCCTCGACGCGCTCACCACACGCGTTCAGATGTTCAGAAACCTCAGCTCAAACACAGCACCACTTCTTCCTCAAGCCTAGGCACCAGCCAAAGGTCTCAATGAAAAAGTCGCGTCAGCTTCAGATAGTGCGAATAGAAGCGACACAGTGACCGATGAGTGTGAGCAAGCCCAGGGACTCATCAGACGCGGATCAAAAATGAGTATAATCGAAACACCGCCGTAGCGGCATATAAGCGGTTAAACTTATAAGAACAGATACTACACTTGATCTAAGCCAAAAGGCAAAGAGAGCTGGGGAAGAGAAGAGAGGGAGGGAGGCAGCGGGCTTTACATATTGCTGGGGCTGGCGCTAGTGGGGTGGGCCCGGAGACCGATGCGCCGATCACGTGCGACGGAGGGCGAGGAAAAATGGCAGTGACGTAGGGTTGAATTAATTTGGGTGGTACAATGCGTGAGCATGTGGGTGAGATTGGGTAAGGGCGCGGGCGGGCGCTGGGGACGTACAAGCAGTCTAGGATCCACTACGTGCACTCTGAGGAAAATGATAGCGAGGTGTTTTGGTAATATTGGATAGGAGAGGTTATGCGTCTGTTGCATAGATGCGTTAAGCTGCATAGTAGACTTTACGGGTGTGCCTGTAGTCTACAAGGCTACGGGTTGGCAAGGAGAGCATCTACGTGTTTACTCGCCATATTTGCCATCACTGGGAAAGACTAGATCCTATGTGTAGACTGGTTGCGCCGGGGTGTATCACAACAACAACCCATTGACTCTCACCTTGTGACAAAAACACGCGCACTGATATCCACAATATTCATTCTCTATCTGAATTGTCTACACAGCCGAGATAGCGTTCATTCAAGTTGCCTAGGAAGTCCAGACTCAGGTCTTAATCTCCTTTGCAGCGATCCTACTTGTTTCTTGTTGTCGAATTTCTCATGATACACCCAGAACCCAGTCACCTAATACGCTTGACTCACCTAATGCAATGCAGGCATAAACTGTCCTTTCAAAAATGATCAAGGTCGGCTGGTTAGCATATTCGGCATATGCTAGATAGAACCGTGTCGAGTACCATGGTACGTATGTCAACGACTTCGATGCCTTGAAATGTGGATTCTGCTGCCTGTACTTGAATGTGGCAAGATTGGCGGAGGATGCGGTGACCCAGTGCAGTCAGTCCACAGGACTCGGCTGTCTCTGCTTAGACTTGTGTGTGGCATGATCGGTGGAAGGTACGGTGGCCTGATGATGTCAGTGCCGAACCAAAACTACCTTGGGCATGTCGTCGAAAGGTCTCCAACATGATATTCTGAACATTGTCGGAATAGGTAGGTGCTGCTATCAATCGCTGTGTGGAGGGGGGAAACTATTAAGGTCTTTGAAATATGATATAGATGAAGCTAGTCACCTGCATGACGAATATCACCGACTTCCTACACTGCCTCTTGTGCATTCCTCTCCCTCCACTCCCCCGCCACATCCGCATACTGACACCACTCCACAATGCCCTCTTCCTCCAACTCCTTTAACCACCTAATTACTCTCTCCACCATCCCTATCACATGAGCCATACCACTAGTATCGGGATGCAACACCAGCGGAAAAACACACATCTCGCCCTCGGCCAACCCTTCATCTTCCATCTCATTCCTCACCCACTCAAGTTTATCCCTCCACATATTCTCCACAACGCGCACATCAACATAGCCCTGGGAATTGGGTGTATTTGGCCAAAACTGCAGGGGTGTCATATCCTCCGTGTACCAATTCGCTGGGATCTCGACCAGTGTTTTGGAGGTGGATGGGTTAGGCTGAGGTAGTGGCCTCATCCAGTTTTTTGCAGGGGTAGTGTCGGTGTATGTGGGTACGTCGATGGGAGGTAGGTTGGGCAAGAAGTACGGTTTGCTATCGTGATGCGCGAGACTAGAATCGTACAAGAACGAGTATTCTTCCAGCAACTCCACCGTACTTTCTCTAAGCTGATACAGCGGCGCACGATAACCTAGCGGCCGCTTTCCGAGTAGCTCTTGGTACAGACTAATGCAGTGTTCGAGGACGTCGCGTTCCTGCACCAGAGTAAGTTGGGGAGCGCCTTCGTGGCAGTAGCCATGGAGGCCGATTTCTGCGCCGCTTTCTTTGATGGCGGTAAACTCTTTGGGGAAGGATTCGGCGCTGTGCATAGGAACGAACCAGGTTACTTTGTCGGCGATGTGGTGTTTGGCAAAGAGCTTGAGAAGTCGCGGTACGCCGACGTAGGCGCTGAAAAAGCCGGAACTGTAGTCTGCGAGGTTGTTGTCAGGGTGTTGGCTGGTACCTAGCCAGCCGGACACGGCGTCGAAGTCGACCGATAGGAGGATCTTGATCTTGGGCTTGGGTTTTGACACGGGTGGAGGAGCGCTGAGGGAGGTGATGGTGGGTATGGCCACAGTGGAAGGGTTTCTGCTCGCTAAGGAAACTCCTTCTGTCGCGGTGCCGAAGATTTCGCCAGTGGGGTTTGTGGTCGGTTTTTCGGGTTCTAAAGCTGTGTTCTGTGTCTTTCGAACTTCGTCTTCAGACCAAACAATCCGGCCTTCCATGCCGCCATCGACGGAGATGCACTGTCCTGAGATATGGCCTGCGGCTCGATGACTTGCTAGAAATGCCGCTACTCTTGCGACATCTGTCGGCTGCGCAATTTTTCGTAATGGAACTCTGCACATCTTAGTCTCTCGAAATGACATCTCGCTGCAGAGTAAGGTAACGTACGTAGCTTCAGCTTCCCTCCACATTTCCCCAGGATCATCCAGTCTCCCCTCAATCAACTTTGTATTTACCCATCCAGGTGCCACAGCGTTAATCCTCGCTTTTCTGTTCAATCTGACAATCTCATTCTTCACCGTCTTCACGAGCCCATACTGTAGGCCCGCCTTCCCACTCGCATACTCTACGTGTCCTGCTTGTCCAAAAACTCCACACTCAGACCCCGTAACCACAACACTCACATTCTTGACCTCTTCGCCAGTCGCCAACTGAGCAGTTTCGATAGACTTGAGAAAGTGCTTGATAGTTAAGAAGGTGCCACGAACGTTGACGGCATATGTACGGTCCCAGAGGGAGCTGGGCATGTCCCAGATGGGATAGCTAGAGGATTCGTCCGTGATACCAGCATTAGCGCAAAGGATGTTAATGGGCTGTGAGAAGTGTGCGGTGGCCTGGGCGATGGAGTCTTGGATGGAGTCTTCGGAGCTGATGTCCCCTTGTATGCAGTGGAGACTGGGGTTTGTCGATACCAGAGGGTTTGGTCGAAGATCATGAGCGGTGACTTTACACCCTTGTGCTGTTTTGTGTTAGTATAGTTGATGATCGCAAGTTCGTGTGTCCAGCGTTCGTCTCAATGACATGGCCAAGTTGACGCCCGCCTGTCGTGAGCACCAACACGCTCCTTTCCAAACGCCTATACGACTAGAAGAACAAGCATCCAACCTACCCCTCCCCCAACATAAAGAAAACCATGCGCATACCTAAGAACTCGTTCACAATCGCGCTCCCTATACCCCCCGCCGCACCTGTAACAAACACATGTAGACCCTCAAGCTCTAAGAAGGACATTGTACCTCACATACAAACACAGCACAGCTATTCTTTCCTTTTGAAACAACAACTTACAATAGTAACCGAAGGTGTTTCGAAAATCTATCGACGTCGCACACACCCCGCATACGTAATGACTTCCCAGCGCCTATACGACGATAAGCCCAGCGGGCGCGACCAGCGAGCCTTACGTTATCAGTCCTTTGCAACTTCTAAACAAGGCTAATGGGGCACAATTTATCTCCGCGCCCATATGATACAAGTTCGTGTCACGTAAAGTGCGCGATGGAGAGAGAAGGCGCTGCAAACATGGGCGACAAGGTCGTCATGTTCAAACGGTGCCGCTCAAGTTTTGTTGCAATACAAGCGGAATGCGCGAAGGAGACATGTTAATTGTAGATATGTACATGCGCATTATTTGCGAAACTCCACTACTGAGGACATCGCACATGGCCCTTTCCTTTTCCCCCGTGCCTCAGGCACAAGTTGTTAGCCGGCCACAGGACAAAGCAGCTCTCGCCTACGCCCCTAGTTACGTACCGCCACTGTGCCTCTTCCCTCTCAGCGCCCTCCGCACACACCCAACGCCAACGGACCATCAAACTACCCAACGTAGTAATTTTGTCAAAAACCATTGATTCCCCAGCGCCGAAGGGCACGCTGCTAGGGGGCGGGCGCACCAATGAAGCGGGTGGCTTTGCGGATTAGTGATGCGGGTGTTGCAGAAGGGCGCCGAAGGGCGCGGCCGAGGGCGGCCAATCGGGTTGAGGGATGTGTTGGAACTTGGGAGTAGGCGGAGGGCGGGCACAATGTTTAGGTTGCGAAAAGATGAAATGTTTGGATATTGAGGTCTGTAGTAGGGGTTCTGATTTTGTGTTCACGTATTCGCATGTTGGCAGGTTTGAAGAGGAAAAGGGCTCATGGTGGTTTGTATTGGTAGTACAGAGCTACATGTTCAATTCATCGGAATTTAGCATTACGGCCAAGCTTTTTCTGTTATTTGTTGACATCGTGCATCTGCTAACATAACTCATCCGCTCATACAAATTACAAAGTAATGTCTTCGGAGCGGTAGTGGTCGGCTACAATGCGGTAGAGATACGAGGGCGCGTGTCCGCCACTAGAACAGTCAGTCAGCTGTTCATCCTACCAACCCAAGTCGAGAATAGGACTTACAGATTGGTGATATAGAGATCAACAAGATCCGCAGGAACGTAGTCGAATAGCGGATTCACAACATCAATCTTGTCCACAAACTCGCCGTCGTCGTACGGTACCACACTTCCAGCGTCACCGTACTCGATCAACTCGTCAATGTCGAATGGGTAGACGGGGCTGAGCTTGTAGACGCCACTGAGAACCACAACAGGTGTCTGGTGTTCCTTTGCGGCTTTTGCAATCATGTGCGCTCCAGCTGCTGCGACGAGGCCACCGTTTGCCAGCACGGTGTGTGTTGCTAGGATAACTTTGTTGACGCGCGACATGATGGCAAAGACATGGGAGTCGGGGATGACGTAGACTTGGATTCCAGCATCGGTGAGCGGCTTCCACTTGTCGTCCTCTTCATCGTCATCTGGGTTTGCTTCTCGCTTCTTGCCGGTGAGTAAGATGCCATGAGTGGCAGTGTGGTCGTGAGGAAATGTCTCAGCATGTACGACGGTAAACTTCCGTTTACGTGCGGCGAACAATAGAAACTTCTGCACCGTAGTAGACGCAGTGTGTGTAAGGATTATCTCGTTGGCGTGGATATGCTCAAGCGCAACTTCGGCAATCTGCTTGTCGGATGTCTCCAGCTCGTCTTGCAGTTCTCTTATGCCCTCCATGACTTCGCCCTTGAGATCGAGGTTCTGGTTCCTGTTGATATCGGCCAGGCGCTCCAGGTTAAGTGCCGTGAGAGTGCCCCTGCCATTTGGTGATGCCTGCCCTGTCGGTGTGCTCGTGGCCGAGGGTGTGTCCGTGGGCTGGGAGAAGAGGCCGAAGAGTGAATGTACGAGAGGAGCCGAGGAAGTAGGCGCATACGAAGTGTGTGAAGTGAGCAGCGGGGGTCGTCTTGAGGGCTCGCTGGCATCAGATGCGTTGTCTGTAAAAGGACCGGTATGCATAGGTTCGGCGACAGCATGCCTCAGAGGACTAAAGGTGGATATGCTCGAGTTGAGGGCTGGTCTGTGTAGCGAATCATGGTGGGCGTGTGGTGTCGTATTGCCTCGCTCGCTCCCATTCGGTGTCCCGTCTGCATGTTCCTCTACTACCTCGCGCACCAATGCCAATACGCGTCTTACGATGTTACCTACTACGACTTCTCGTGGTTGCGCCGACGTCAACCGCCTGCCGACCTGCTTTATGCGCTCAATGAGCCTCGCTGCATCTCTTCCCTTGAACTCGCCCACTACGCGCAATAGCAAGGCCGTGGTCGCGATGGCACATGGCCTGGAGTTTCGGATCTGCCGTCGCTTGAGGAGTCTTGCACATACAGGTCAGACAGGTTGGGCACTGGTGGGAGTGTTGCAAGTAGGTAGCTTACGAAATGAAGTGCTCAACCGAGGCGTCTACCGGCGTGCTCTTCAGCGACTTGAGGTACGTCGACAGGCCTGGCGCCTGTATCGTCGCGCGCTGCATGCTATCTCGTTGTAAAATCGACGTGAGCTTCTTCAAGATTTCGACCCGTATAGCAGGAATGTGGGGTGGTGGGGTTCTTCTGCTATGACTCTCTCGGCGCGGGTGAAATTATGGTAGTAGACAAGTTAGTAGGCTACTTGTCAAGACGAAGCACTGCGGACACTCTTATACTGTCGTATTCGCGTTGTGTGGGGGAATATTGCTTGTTCACGACTTTCCAAAGCCAAACTATGAGTCGTCGCCAAATTGAGCTTTCGATGTTCCGATTGGGCACGGCTGCTCCAGTTGTTCGTCATTGGCATCATGCAGCCCCAACCTTCTATTGCCATCACCAGACATCGCCGCCTACGCCTCGGCCTATTTGTTGCCAACGCGGACAATTAAAGAGCGCCTTTGCCGTATTCGTACCCTCGTACCCTCTCGCAACCGTTTCCTGATATCTGCCGAGTACCTGTCAGCCAAAACACAGACAGCCGCGCCCCCAGCTAAACACCAGACGCTACCCCACAGTCGTCCCTTTGTCACGCCCGAACCTCGACCCTCGCATTCGACACATCCTGACGATGCGAATGCAGTAGCTGCACAGAACGAAACGCGCATCATGGGCGCCGACAGGAGTGACGGCGCCGGCTCCTCGACCACGGAAGCCGTCGCATCCGGCTACGACGAGAAAACACCGCTGCTCGAGCAACGCCAGCAAGGGCCATACGAAGACATTCTACGCCGAAGACGATGGCTGTATCCCCGGCGCATCTCTGATGGCATTGTGGCCGTCGTGGGCATGTTGGCGAGCCCCTTTATTTCCACTGGTCAGCGCCTGATTGCCTGTTTCTATTACGACGAGGATGGCAGCTTTTCCTTTTTGGCACCCGTGTATCACATCTCGCGAACATTCACCCGCGGCCGTCGGAAGAAGGTCGGCGCGTACACGTCGCGGACTGAAAAGAGTGAAAAGGGAATGCGCAAGAGACGCAGCTCGAGCGTGACGCAACCACAGATGCATCAACACTCACGGCGCTCGCTATCCATCGCATCCACATCTACCGCAATGACTTCGGATTCCGAGAGCGAGCGAGGTCCCATGCGTGACTACGACTATGACAGCCCTGCGCGGAACACGCGATCCAGATCAAGCGTGCCGTCGCGGGCAGACGAGATCGCGCCGGCAAAGAGGTCCATCCGCATCACATTACATCACAATGAAGACGCACTGAGACAGCGCAAGGCAGCGAAGAAGGCCCAATCGTCCAAAAGTAATTCCGTCTCACCTCAGGCCGCAGCTTCCTTGAAGTCCCCCACTGGCCCGGCAACCGCGTCCTCGAAGCAATTGACAAAATTCCCACGAGCGCCCCAACCCCCGCGCCCGTTGGTACCACGACGCCAGCCGTCATACTCAGCAAAAGGCACGTCCGCCGTCGGGCCACACCAGAAAACACTAATCATCGACCTCGATGAAACTTTGATCCACAGCATAGTCAATGGCGGTCGCTTCCAGACTGGCCACATGGTAGAGGTAAAACTGCAGGCTTCCGTCGGTGCGGGTGGACAAGTCATCGGCCCTCAGGTCCCGCTCTTGTACTATGTTCACAAACGGCCGTATTGTGATGACTTTTTGAAGAAGGTGAGGAGCCTAGTGAGCCCCGCCAGCGCCAGCATGTTACTAATGTTGCAACCAGGTCAGTAAGTGGTACAACTTGATCATATTCACCGCTTCGGTCCAAGAATACGCCGATCCCGTCATCGACTGGCTGGAGGTGGAGCGCAAGTACTTTGCGGGGAGATACTACCGGCAGCACTGCACTGTTCGCAACGGGGCTTACATCAAGGACCTTGCCCAGGTCGAACCCGATCTTAGCAAGGTCATGATTCTTGATAACAGCCCCTTGAGCTACGGCTTCCATCCTGGTAAGTTTGCTTCAGCCCGGACATGCCGACAGCTACGAAATACTGACCGCAACACCAGACAACGCCATCCCCATCGAGGGCTGGATTAGCGACCCAACAGACCACGATCTGCTGCACCTCATCCCGCTCCTTGAAGGCTTGCAATATGTCACCGACGTACGTGCATTGCTTGCGCTTCGGTCCGGCATGCCTGCATCCGCGTAATTCAGCTAGCCACATTTTAGTGGCATTCTCTCTAGTACCCGCCTTCTAATACTCTTTGTACTATAGACCCGTTGACTACGCCGAGCAGTTGGCTATGTAGCTTGTTGAGGAGATACCCAAGATGTTATTCGTTCACATTTGCGCACCTCGCTTCACCTCGTATAACGCCTCTTTGGAGTTTCTTTTACTCAACGTGGGCTGGTTTTACCCACCGCTCGGCCCTGGGTGCCGATGCACCAGTTGCGACATATCGCAGGGACCTGTCGTCAGGTCCACGTTCTGCGCACGGCCCCCCACGCTCGTCAATTCCTCTGTGTCCGCCGCATGACATTGGTGCTTGCACGCACTCAATTGCCATGCTCTTACACATCCCGCTTATCTTCCCGTAGCACTTGAGCCCCACGGCGTTTGTTACTTCTCCCGTGGCTGCATGGACCGCAGTAATTGCTGTCTTTTCCCTGTCAAACAAATGAGCCTGTCAAATGTTAATTACACCTACCAACCGCTCCCCTGTGCTTCGTCCATACAATGCCATCACTCTAAACGGTCAAAATCCTATTCCAACTATCTAGAGCCAATGCATTCGTCATCGAGAATACTACTGTGCTTGAATTCAGATACGAGAGAATGTCGACACAAACTCAAACCATTGACGTAGCAATGGAGGATTCGACGTTAGTCTAATCATAATTCTCCGAACAAAGCTAACAGTTTCGTAGTCTGCAACACCCATTGTTTGATGAAGTAACAAGTGCTATCCACAATACGATATTGCAAGAGCATCGCCATCATTTCCATCGAAATGCTACTGCATCGCTGCTGTTGGATGAACTACATCGTTTATCTGCCGGGCACAATTCAGGCGATCGAAGTATATTCGTGTCTAGCAGAAAGTTTGCACTGTTCATTCGCACCTTCGCGCCGTACTTCGACGTCCTCAGCACATGCGTAAAACTTCGTTCAGAATGGATTGGTGGGTTTTGGGGCGTAATCCGTCTGATCTTCAAGGTAGAACACTCTAAGCTAGTCAGGCGGCACCCGTCTAACTACAACTACAGATCAGCAGCGACTATGCGGTTTTCCTTGAGAAAATCGCCGACATATTCGAAGCTGTTGCGCAAATCATACCTCCTTATCAGCAGATATACGAAGTTTGTAAGCGCAATACGTTCGATCCAAATGGTGGCGCGGAAGGTCTTCATCTGGCTGCACTGATGTCTTATGTGTATGCGGATCTTGTTCAGTTGTGCTTGGATCTGTACTGGGTGTTCTGTAGAGGAGCTCAAGGTATGTCTTCGGTTCTAAGCCTGTAACAATCATGTTAAAAATGACTGTGCTGATCAAGTGCAGGTTCTGAGACGCATTTTCTGGCACCACCAACGCCATGGCGACCACTTGACTCGCGGCTCGTGCGCCTAGAAGCCCGTATTAGTCAGCATAAGAGATGGCTGCAGAAGGAGACAGAAACTCATGTCCAACAGTATGCAGATGTTTCATTGCAACGCAAAGAGTATCTTGATTTTCTACAACGCCAAAGTGAAGCCAAGGTTAATGGTCTTTTGGATCAGGAAGATCAGAGAGTCGCGAAGCGGTTGCGAAGGGTTACAAAAGTACAGAGTTGGCTGTCTAGCTCTGGGACGGTTAATGTATGTGACAATATTCAACAAAGGCATACAAACTCAACAGCTTGGTTCTTGCATAAAAACGCCTATATCGGGTGGAGGGACAAGCCCTTTGACCACTCCGAAGCGAATGACACGGATAGTTTAGTGGGAAACTGGCAGTATCGAGTACTGTTTGTGCAGGGTAGGTCTATCTTGATTCATGCCTCTAGAACCTCACGATACTAACGAACGACTAGCAAAAGCTGGCTTTGGCAAGACTACAATCTCACAATCAGTTGTCGAAAATCTCGTTGCAGAAGCGGACGACCCCGATCTTTGTGATGCACCACCAGCTACTGCTTCCTTCCATTTCAGCCTCCTCGGTCATGAGCGTACCCACCCAGATGATGCCTTTTGCTCGATGGCCTGCCAACTATTGCAAACACATCGACATGACCGCAAGACACTTGATGCCATATGTTTGTTGCTCCGGAAAACATCATTTCGGGAACACGCCAATGCCGACGAGGTGCTGGACGTTCTGTCGCTTCTACTCCATCAACATCCTACTTTCATTGTCATTGACGGCGCGGACGAATGTAGCGACACCGAATCATTACTCTCTTCATTGGCAAAGTTGTGTCGTGTGTCCGATGCGAGGGTACTGCTGTTCAGCAGACCGGATATGAAAATACCTCTCGAGTACCAGAAATGGGCTTCGGATGCTCCTCACATTCTCCCACTTGTGAACAAAGACAACGCTGCCGCCATAAATCATTGCGTAGTCCAAGACCTGAACCGGATGGCAGATCAAGGCTTTTTCGGCATCTCGATGGATCGTAACTTCATATTGCAAGTGGCACAATCGGCGAACGGAGAGTTTCTCTGGACTAGCTTGTTGCTGAAGTTCCTCCAATCTTCCTTACTCTCAGCTGAAGAACGACTATCAATACTCCAAAACATACAGACATTGCAGGGCCTGGAGTCGCTATATCACGTCATGTTGAATGCGCAAGCACGTCACTCGCCGCACGAGAAGCGCATCATTGTCGACGTCTTCAGATGGCTGACATTTCCCATCCATCACATCGGCTCAGCTGCGCTACTTTCCGCTCTTTCCACGCATGATTCAAAAGTCTCGGACATCACAGAAGCAGCAGATATCATGCATGCTTTACCTGAACTCACTTGCGGTCTACTAACCGTTTCCCACGACACAGTCGCCTTTTCCCATGCCTCCATGCGCACCTATCTCCAATCGCCCGCCTCTCAAAACTCGGAATTCAGTCTCTTCGACGAAAGTAGCGTCCACGCGCATCTCGCAGCGCGCTGCCTGTCTTACCTTGCACATGACGTGCCACAGCGTCCTCTCGGAGCTTTATACCAACACAGCCCACCCACGATACCTACGCCTACAAGCAGCGGCGCGAGCCAACATACGAGCGCCTCAGCAGATAGCGGATACAAGTCCTTGTCGTCCTCAGATGGAGATAACAACCCCATGACGCCACCCGGAACTATCCAACACTCCACATCAAGAGCAACCAGTATACGCACTGTACCTTTCGATACGCACCTCCCCTTCCTCCGCTACGCCGCTCTCTGTTGGCCCATACATCTTACTCGTACTTTGACCCCATCTCCGTCCCCTCACCACCCCACTTCCGCCTCTACCGCAACCACGCTCGCATACCTTCCATCTCTCAACGCTTTCCTCGCCTCTCGTTTCGCAGTCACAGCCTGGGTCGAAGCGTCATACAGATACAACCTACCACCTACATTAACGCGCCTCGTGGGTCCGCTGTCCGATCTCAAAGCCGAGATTCTACCTAGTACAATCGAGGGCAGGTTGCTCAGGCAGGTGATAACTGAAATTAGAGTCCTAAGTGAGAAGCTGGGAGCGTTGAAGAGGGAGTGGCAGGGCGTGTTGCGGACGAATCCGAGTTTGATTTGGCAGATGGAAGGCGTAGGCGGTGGGCAAACTTATTGGCCCGCTTGGAATGAGGGGATGAGGTAGCGCGTTTGATATCTTTTTGGGTTTTTATTACATACCGTTGTAGATAGCGTTTTAGATTTCGGGTTTGTACAGATATGTTCACGTGACATTGTTCTAAACACCTGCACCTTTTGGCCCCTCTATAAGCTAAGTCTTTAGAGCCTAGCGGGTTCTCCCAGATTCTGGGCACATAAATACCGCTACGTTGTCCCTAGTTATTCTTTCTTAGCATCACTTTATTTTCATGTTCTCTAGAGTTGCCAATAATGGAAGATATGGGCTTTTCTGTTGTGCTTCCAAAAACTGACCTACTACATGAATATGTGCGTTCTGTCTTTCTTCCCTCCTTCTTCCATTATTTGGATAAACAAATAAAAACTGCCGCAGTATGACCTTATGTCTGCCCACTTCTCGGAACTTTTCCATACTCCTAAGAATACCCTGTGCAGTGGATGATAGGGTGTTCTGCTTTCCTGAGTGTTATATTTATAAAACCTAAAACCTATATAAATGATGAACATGTTCCTATGCTTTCCTCGCCTTGAGAATTAAGAAAGTAAAATCTTCCTTCCTGACATGGAGGGTGTGGGTTGAGCGTTGCGGCGGGGGCTTTTCCATTAGAAAGAACTCACTGGAAATGCGATGGAGAGAGGGACATTGCTTCTAAAAGATACCACGGGTTGGTTGGCTTTGCACTAAGTGCGTAAAGGAAAATAACGATAACTAGGAATGCATTCTGTGTGATGATTGTTCTAATTGATTAATGTACAAAAGAAGAGAACTACAGAAAGGAGGGCTCAGGGGTTCTGGTCTGAGCGCTGCTCGGACGCTGCGATCAGTGCGCTCGTTCGCGTGACTGAGATTAGTGCGCCTGATCGCGTAGCTGAGATATTGTCGATACTTATGGTCCGACACCACGCCTTGTTACATGGTGTTTCCGGCCGGAGTAAAAGTTCCAACTATGTAGACTTATATTTGTTGGTGTGCTAAAATGCCCATGATGATACCGCATGGCGTCCGGCGAGTGGGAGTCTGGGTATAAATACTCCTTTACCTTTGCTCTCTTTCTTCTTTCCTTAACTCCAAATTCCAATTTACTTCCTCAAAAACCTATAAAATTTTAATCGATGGCATAAATCATCATGTTTCTCCTGCCTTTATCTTTCCACCTCATTTACTTAGGCCAAGAATCTACTCGTTACTCTGGATGTTTCTGTATCTAGACTCTTCCTCTTCTTCTCTCCCTTTTCCTCGACACCCCACTTTACCACCTCCTAAAAAAAGAAATCTAAACTTATGCTGCCCTGTTTTATGTGTTCTCCCTAACTTTTCTCTCTACCTTATCTACACTCTTTACTCAAAAACTAAACCAGTGTCGGATCACAGATATCAACGATATCTCAGCCATGCGATCGGCCGCACTGATCTCGGTCATGCGAGCAGGCGCACTGATCGCGGCGTCCGAGCAGCGCTCAGACCAGACCTCCTATGTCTAGCTCTTCCATAGTTCTCCTTCGCAAAACAATCAATCAGAACCATCACCGAACAGAATGCATTCCTAGTTATCGTTATTTCCTTTCAGTACTAGTGCTACAGCCCTACCAACAGTAGTCATACTACTAGAGGTACCTTATTCTAATAATTCTCAACATAAGTACATGAGTTAAGAGAGTGTGGTCGCTGCCATCAGATTTACTGTCTATTTTCCAAATCAAAATACCTCAGGGTTCAACTAGGTGTCATAAGATACTTTACAGTGTGGGTAAGCACCTATTAGGCATTTCTAGCGACTACAATTGCCCTTGTATACCAGGTGTTGGAAGGCCTTGTACGATCGTACGGTGAATAACAGTAGCTAAGGTAATCTTGTGTATTGGTATTCTGGTGTATGATGATTCTACGAATGTGGGGGCTACGAAGGTATACATAGCGTTGGGTCCGAGTTGGGCCGAAGTAGGATCGAGGCGGTACATTGGGCCTTATTAGGCGACACACCGTGTGTATGCCGACACCAGGTATGTCAAGTGTTTTATAACAACCGGGTGGATACCTCGAATAAGAGCAGGAAAAGAGCACGAAAAGAGCTTTATGGAAATTTCGTCTACCCAAGAGCTGATGTAAATCCTTTCAAATGAAAACGCAAAGCTACGCATGTTTCTGCGCCGAGCTAAGCCAAGTTGGGCTGAAAATAATGATCATTTTACTAATGAGTGAGCTCGTGGAGCTAGTGGGTATATAACCTCCCTGGGACTTGGTTCTGGGAATTCTTCTCCACATTCTTTATCCTTCAATTATTAAGATTTTCAAAACTGGATGATTTACGTTGGATGCTTTCTAAAGGGATGGTGTCGAGCGATATTGAAACAAATAAACTGCAAAATACAATGATGTGCGTGGATGTTCGAAACGGCAGGTGTGGCTGTACTCTTACACCTTTTAAAAACTTCATGCCTAGTCTTAATGTAGGCCGATCTAAAGACATTTGCATGATCTACTATGTTCCTTGAAGTTTGGTCCAAGTGTTTTCTAGGTGTTCGATGTAGGCTGACTTAAAAGCAAGAGCGACATCGTCCATGTTACCGAAAATTTAGGGGCGGATGTTCTCTAAGTGTTTTGAGAAAGTGTTGCGGCAAGGACGATGTGGTCATTATGCCAAGGGTGAAGGATGTAATGTTCTAAATTTTTTGGAGATCTGGAGATAACTACCCATTTTGAAGTGTATCCAGGCCGTGTAAGCCTTCTTACATATGTGATTGAAGTTTACCACGCAATTTTATGTGCAAACAGGAACAACGCAAAATTTCGCAATTCTCATGTCAGAGTATCATTTCAAGACTCTTCAAAGTGTGTAAACTAGTATCACGTTGTACAAGCCCGGTCACATGATCTCGTGTCTGTTGCGTCATCTTCGCGATTGGCCAACGCTTACACGTACCTTGAACTCACCCACACACCAATGCTGCCTTCACATAGCCCGCGCAGCTTCTAGCGCGCTCTTATTCTCATTCTCACCCATTGCTACTTCCAGCTCCCCAATTCTTCGCTGAGCACCACCAGCGCCCACCTCCCCCCCACCATGGCGCCCCCACTGTCATCACTCTATACGCTCTCGTTTCTAATTGCAATCCTCGCTACACTTTTTGTCGCGGCCACGTTCCGTCTCCTCGCCATCCTCCCCAATGCCGCACGCTCCAAAAAGAGACTCCCCCGCAAGCGCCCCGTCGCAACACGCGTCCTCATCGTGCTCGGATCCGGAGGTCACACGCACGAAATGTTCTACCTCCTCCACAATCTCAACACACGAAACTTCACGCATAGGACGTACATCGTGAGCAGCGGCGATGCCTTCTCCGCACAGCGCGCCGCGAACTTTGAGCGCGAACTCGAGGACGCCGAAAATGACCGGGTACGCCAGTTGAAGGAAGAGAGACTACAGGTCGGAGAAGAAGACGTCAGACCCCAGACACCAACAATGCAAATCACGAACCCAGAGGGCAAAACCCACAATCTCGAAAAATATGTTCCTGGTACTACCACCACAGAGCGACCAGCATGCATAGGCCCGGACCACTACAACATCACCGTCCTCCCCCGCGCCCGCAAAATCCACCAACCCCTCCTCACAGCCCCCTTCACATGCCTTTACACCCTCTTCTCCGCCGTCAAACCTCTCCTCTCCTCTCCTCCGCTCCTACCAAGCCAAGGTCCCACCAACCCTTACGAAGCCGCCGCCGCCGACCTCCCAGACCTTATCGTTACAAACGGCCCTGCCACGGCTGTCATTGTGGTGTTAGCGAGTCTGATACTGCGCTTCTTCAACGTGCGAGGCGCGGATAGTAGAGGCAAGTGTAAGACTTTGTATGTGGAGAGTTTTGCGCGGGTCAAGACGTTGAGCTTGAGTGGCAAGTTGTTGGTGAGGGTTGTGGATCGGTTTCTGGTGCAGTGGGAGGAATTGAAGGGGGCTGGGGGTGGGAGGGCAGAGTATTTGGGTATGCTGGTTTAATCCTTCGGGAAAGGGGCGGGTTTATTCAGGTCTTATGTTTCTTTCCTTTAAGATACCCACATGCCGAGTTCCTGCACAGACGAGAGGCAGCATGATATGAGTTTGCTTGATTGCTTCGGTGGTCATGATATGTATACAATGGGTATGCTACAAGTATCCTCGCTTCATAGACAGGCGTATTCGCAGTGGAGCGCATGCGTCTCTAGCCAAGAAGTACGAAATTGCTCAATCCAGCTCCTTCGTCTCCGCAGAAAATGTCTTCTTCCCTCGATACGGCTTCTTCTTAGCATCCAGCATGTGCTTACCCAGCGCATTCAACAAACTCTCCTCGTCCACAAGCGGGCCCGCCTCAGCCTTCTTCCTCTGCTCCAGCTCCCACCTCAACTGCATGGGCGTCTTCATCTTCTCCGCGGCACGCTGTCGCATCTGTACCGCCTCCCGCGCGAGTACGTCTTTCTCCGAGGTTCTGTTGAGCTTAATCTTACGCGGTGCGTTGGGATCCTTCTTGGCATCCTTCCTGGCCTGGATGGAGAAATCGTGGATGTGGGTGCGGAGTTCGTCGGCGAGGGTATCAGGGAAGGGGGGTGCGACGAGGGTGTAGGACATGTTTTGTACGCCTTCGACAACGTTGCGGTTCGTGTCTCCGTCCCAACTCTGGGGTTTTTCCGTATCATCGCTTGTCGGAGTTTCGGCCAAGTATTTTTTCTGCTGTTCTTGCTCAATCCTTGAAAGTCTTTCGGCCACGGTGCTTGCGTTCTGTTGAACACTGTTCGTTGCCTCTTCTGAGGCGCCATCTTCCTTATTCTTGCTTCGCCAACGGGCTAGACTGGTCCATGGCAGGGATTTCTTGCCTTTGTTTGCTGGGTTCTTTGCTGACTCTGTGTCTTCAACTTGTTCATGTTCCCACGGCCACTCGATCCGCTGTTTTGTGCCTGCGATGTAGCGGTGGAAGATTGGTAGGCCAGTTTCAGGATCGTACTGATGATCCTCTGGTATCGGTTCGTCAATGTACATGGTGCCAGTGTAAGGATCAATGCCTCTAGTATGTCGCTCCATGTGGATACGCTCTACAATGACGTCCTGGTACTGTCTTACGCCATCCCGGACAAGTTCTCCAGGTATTACCAAGCGCACGTCATCCAGAGGTAGAGGCACTTCGTTCTCCTGCCTAGGGCCCAAAAGTCCAGCGCTGGCACCAAAGACGGACGAGTCAAAGAATTGCTACGGTATGTTAAAGTCGGTTTCCTATACACAACAAACGCACTGCATACCTTGTTCAGGCCGTCGACAATGATTTCATGGGTTCGTTCCACAATGCTCTTCACTTTGCCAATCTTACCCGCATCTTTTCCCTTGAGAATGACAACGCGATCATCCTTTACGATTGGAAAGTACCTTTTCTCATCCACGACCAGTGGGTACTCCAGCGGCAAGCCCTTTTTTTCCTTGACTTCATTCCTGTTCTTTTGCGTCTTGAGCGGTATCTCGGGTTTTTGTATATATTCTGGGGTAAGGGCTCCGTATTTGTCGGCGTTTGGCCCAATGGCACGATTGGGACGCAGAGGGCCCAGTTTCCAGTCTTCCTTTACAGTGGCCAAAGCCCTCTTTCTAGCCCCCTTGATGTGTTGATGCTCCCACGCTATACGCTGCAAGACGGCTTGCTTAGAGTCCCAGTGTGCCTGTTTGAGCTCTTGTCGCTTCTTGCGCTCCCGCTCGTGCCATTGGATTGCATGTTTGACTTTTTGAATCTCCTTTAGTTTCTTTGCCTGTCGAGCGGCGTTGCGGCCGGGCCTGGCGACTAATTGACTCATGGTGGGCGGGATAACCGCGATGGAGATGGATGTGCGAGCGTTTGCGGACTACCGAGCCATCGGATGTCAGGCCAAGAGGGGCAGCAGTGGTGAATTGGCGGGGCTTTTCGATACAGTTGAATGCACGGCAAGCGTTTGGGCCGATATGTGCCTCCGCAATGCGCTGTCGGCAGTCGTTTGTCGGGATTGGCGAGCAGCGTCGAAGTCGAGCCAAATTTCGCGCGGCTGCAGGCGGTGCCCGGGCGGTGACTTTCTGCCTAGCCAAAACACCAAAGTACCCATGACATCGTCTACGCAACCGCAACTCCATCTCAACATACCTCAGGCCTTTCCTTTACAATGGCGCTATTACGGCGCAGATTGCGCTGCCACTACTGCAATGTGCAGTCACGAGACGGTGTGTCGCAGATTCCCAAGACATATCACTGCCCGCATTGCGACGCAGTGAATTACTTTGACCAGGTACATAAATCCCCGATACCCAACTCTGTTGATCTTTCCAATTAATCTTCTGCCAGCGCGGGAACATTACCGATCCACCCATAGAAGAAATCGCAACCGCGCCGACAACATCCTTCCAGTACATGCGCTCTCGCTCTCCTACGCCCGCCTTGCAAGCACCCGTCGATGACATCTTTTGCGACATGTGTCAGCGCAACCAGACTCTCTACACCAATCTCCTCGCCGAATTCATTCCAGAAGAAGACGATCCCGAGTACGAAAAGTATCTCGCTGCGTACGATGATTACAAGGTGGAGCTCGAGATTCGGTATCCGCAAGTCTGCCAGACCTGCCTCCCTCGGGTCCAGGATCAAATACGCAATGCGAACCATGTCGCGCGTGCGGATAACTTGGCGCGCATAATGGAGGCAAGTAAAAACAAGCGGACCGTTGTTCAGACTGCGCGACAGGCTTGGACGCTGCGCATCATTTCGCTGGCGAAGTGGATGTATGTGTCGAGCACCGTGGTGGGAATGCTCTGGCACACGGCAGCGCTTATCATGGCGCCTGATGATGAGGGCATGCTTTCAAATCACATCTTCAGTTGGGATATCTGCCTGAGCCAGGCCATCTTAGTTCGCTCAGTGGATGAGGCTTGTGTACTATCGTCTTCCGTAGTCAAATGGTTGCAGTACGCGATTATAGCCGATCTAGTTACCATCTGGTGGAATCCCAAGTTGAAGCTCAAGACCAACAGCCTCACAGGGCGGATGCACGGCCTCAAATCACTGTGGTCCATCCGTCTGACCGTTGTCGTCCTCCGCTACGCCAGTCTCTACTACTGGCAACACACCAACATCAACGCCGACATGTTCCAAACTTTTCAACGAACACACATGGTCATGCTCGGCGTACTAGCCCTCTCCACAGTTCTGACCTGGAAAACCGTTCGCATCGTCTACGGCGCCGCGCCCGCCTTCCCAAAAGCAACACAGGAAACCATCCCCATATCGCCCAGCAGCGCACAGAAAGCTAGACGAAACTCGTACCACCCCGTCCACCCACAAGCCGACATCTACGACAGCATGGCACACTCCTTCGCCACAGGCATAGAAGGATACCAAGACTCATCCCCATGTCCCCCCTCGCCCACCCTAACAGAATCCTCCTACACAACCCACGCCACAGACGCCACCACGCCCTTTGCAAAGCGCAACGCCTTCCTCGACGACATGGACATCATGGACTGGACCCCTACAAAAGGCAGCGGTAATACCCGCTTCGCCCAACAGAACGGCGGCCCTCCAGAGATCCTCCCCAACCAATTCGCAAAATGTCCACCCGCTGCCGCAGCCCAACTCTCCCCACTCCAATTCAACTCTCCCCAACAACCACACTCTATCTTCGCCCAAAAAGATCCAAACCCCTTCCGCCACCGCGTCCCCGCCAAACCCCCAAATTCCCTCGCTTCCGCCCGAAAACTGCAGCAGAACCCTTGGAAACCTAGCGTCTGGGAGCCGGCCCTTGCAGTCAACAAGACGAATTTCTTCAAAGAGGAAGCGAAGGCCAAGATTGGAAACGGCGCTGGCGGTAGTGGTGTGGGTGAGGTAACGGGACTAGATGGATTGGGTGTACCCAAGAACGTGAAGAGGGATGCTGAGCTTTTTGCGAGTCCGAAGCTAAAGTACGATTACTATGGTACTATGAAGGATACGGGCTTGGAGGATACATTCAATGCCATGTTTTCAAAGTAGAGGAAACGTGGGCTTGCTTGCATTATTCTTTTATTGTATTATATGTATTTATTCATTCGGGGAGTACTTTCGGTACATAGTCTGGGATAGCATGGATGGCGGTGTTTGTTTCGGTTTGAGATACCCAATGATACTTCTTGGGTAGGGTACATTAGGGTAGGGGACTGCATGTCTACAGCGTTGAATACGTTTGATTGACTTGTCTGATGGTCAAGCAATCACTGTAGATTGTGTACAAACCACATGTTTCATGGTTGCTTGTGCACACATGTAGGACCCAAGTGAGCACATGACATCATCAACATCACATGAACAACATACACACATTCTTGGGCGCTTGAACGAGTCAGATACTCTATCTAACCCTCCAGCATATCATGACTTTTCATATGCCGAGTAGAAGCACAGATTCCCAATATAAAGACTCCGGTAACCCTTCCCATTGATCCGCGGATTCCATCATTCGTTCATGGTAGGTTTCTGGTCCACGTTCATTTCCTTCCCTAGACTCCTTTGCGTTATGAGTACTCTATGATCTGGGCTTCTCCTTCTTCTCCTTCCACAGTGCGGAAAGACCGACACCGGAAACCTTGACGACCTTGAAACGGACACCGGGAATATCACCCTTGGCCTTGCCCTTACGACCGAAACCAGCGAGAAGGACTTCGTCGTTCTCGTCCACGAAGTTCAAGCAACCGTCATTGGGGACTGCCTTTGTATTAGCCCAGTTCCTCTTATCGGATAATGAAATTGCCACAGGCTCTCTCGCTCTTGTGTCGCAATTTCAATCTCTCCTGAATAGTGGTGACGTACCGAAAGCGGTGACCTTCTTTCCGTTCTTGATCAACTGGACACGGACACACTTTCGGATAGCGGAGTTGGGCTGCTTGGCCTCAACACCGACCTTCTCGAGGACTATGCCCTTGGCGTGGGAAGATCCACCGAAGGGGGAGGACTTGTATGCGGTTCCGAGGAGACGCTTCTTGTAGTGGAGATCGGCCCATCGTCCCTCGCGGCGATGGTTGCGGAGCTTGCGGGCGGCGTTGAGACCTCTTGGCTTTCCTGATGATATCGTGAGCAACTACAATATACGAAGCTTGGAGACGCCGGAATGTGCGGGTGGATGTATCTTTCGTATGCAGAGTGCGTGTGCAGGGAATGTGTTGCGTACCTTTACCCATGATTGCGGTATTGACGACAGGTGTGCTGGGGAGTGGGTGGTTAGTATCGCGGATGTCGAAGATGATTTTGCAGCCGGCTGGAATCAGTGTGCGGCAGAGCCAAGCCCCACACGACCTAGTGTGGTCGCTTGCCTGAGGGCGGTTAGCGTGTTTCGGCCATCTTATCTTATCGCGCAGCGTCATTCCACCGAACGCGAGGACATCTGGGGAACGTCCACAACCAAAGCGAGAAGATGGTCATTGTCTTCTAGTAGTTACCGGAAGTATCTAGCATTCATCAGAATCTCTAGGATCAAAACTCGTGTTGTAATTTGAGCCATCACCAACAGTGCTCTTCGTACAGCGCGCGGCGCATACTCACCATGTCTCAAAAAGACGACAAGAAGATCACCAAGACGCAAACCAACCGCCTGCCAGCACCTGCACTATTCGTCGGTCCGCCCTCACACAATGCCTCGAATACATCACTCCACGAGATGCGCAGTCCCACAAAGACGCCCCTCATCCGCCAGCGCTCCCTCCTCTCCCCAGACTCCAAGCGACCCCTTCCCCCAACAACGAGCAACGAGGGAGAACACCTCAGCCCCACCTCTACCAATCCATCCGCACCCTTCCAGCGACGCCAGCGACAACACAGCCAAGCAGCCGATGCCGAAGCCTCATCTCGCGCCGAAGCAATATGGGCCGAGATGCAAAACACGCTCGAAGAGGTAGAATTAAGCGCCATCAAAGGCCCCGGAATGACAGTCTTTGGCTCCGAACACTCGCGCGCACTAGACGAACTACGCAAAGCACAAATCGAACTCGCAAAAGCCTGGGCACGTTCTGAAGAAGACGAGCAAACACCCGAACAGCAGAAGAAGTCTCAGGATAGTAAAGCAACGGATTTGCAACCACAGAGTCTTGCTAACCACCCCCGCGATGGCACTGGGGGTTCTACAAAGGGCGAGAAGCTTTTTGATAGGATTAAGCTGGAGGAAGAGACGGAGAAGGATATCGAGTTGAGTCGGAAGCGGAGAGAGGAGAACGATAGGTATTTTGAGAAAGTGAATAAAGGGGTGCAGGAGGTGGTTGTGAGGTTGGAAGAGGTGGCTAAGGCGATGAGGGGGGTGGAGAGTGAGAGTAAGGAGATTTGGGGACATGGAAGTGATGAGAGTGTTGAGACGGCCAGTGTTACGACGGTGCCGAGTGTGACTTGAAAGAACGTGGGGTGTATGAACAACAGTAACGACCCCGGTTGATGTGTAATCAGTATCGGGAAACGAGTTGGGGAGATGTCTAAACAACAGTCTCTTGAAGCAAGCGTGCGGATTACTCCAAGATGATAGAGGAGTTTCGGACTTGGCCCCAGGCTAATGCCTGGATCTACTCCAGCAGTAGATTTGAGGTGAAGAATAGCCTTGAAAGGAAACAACAGGTGCTTGATCTTAGTCTGTATTTTCTCATGAAGAAAATCTGGGGTCTGGTATATTCATTGAGCTGTTCTATGCCTTATAGGTTCATGCTGAAAGGATGTATACTTCACGATTCTCCATGACACTGCTCTGAAGGATGAAACCATAGAAAATGGCATCTGGGTATGTATAACATGATGTTTATTAGACTCTTGTAGATATCCAGTATTACGAAGATATAAACACACTTAAATATACTACAGGCAGAAACGCCAATATCTTCCACTCTACTTAGGTTCTGTTTTACCATTTATACAATCGGGCATACCCTTGACATGTCAATGTCAGGATTCATGTCAGAATTACATATCTACCCCCACAATCCCACCCGTCTATCCAGACAGACCACCCATGCCGAATCTATAACAAATACCTATACTCTGGATTCAAATCGCCCATCTCCGTCTTCTCGTACTCTGTCAGTCCCACATCCCTGACACTCTTATTCCTCTTCCTGTTCGCCCAACTGCACATGAAAAAGTACAGCGCGCAACTCAGTGCGCTCAGGCAGACAAATGCAATACTGATGGAATAGCCGGGCGTGTATTTTGGTGCATCTTTTTTCAAGAACGAGTATACGGCAATGATTCCGCCAATGTTGCCTGGGAAATGTTAGTGGGGTTTTATGGAATGAGGGGGTTGTAGAAAAGGAATTGATGACTTACCGAATCCGACTTGCCATGCACTGCCTATGGCTCGCCTGTGGTGACCGCCTAGATTCATGTTGAACCAACATACGATGACCGGCATAGCCGTGTATGCGCCCATAGCAACAAGGAACAAGGCTGCGTATTGGAGGTTGTGATTGTCGTGCACGGCGAGTAAAATGGCGAAGCCAGCGATGCAGACGCAAATGGGGAAGATGGCGAAGAGGAAGCGGTGCTTGAGCCTATCAGAAAAGTAGGCGACAAGCATACTGAATCCAAAGGCAGCAGCCCAGGGAGGCACGCTGTGCAGCTGAGTTTGAATAGGCGAGTAGCCGTAGGTTCGGATGATGGTGGGACTAAAGTAGGCGTATCCGTAGGCTGGCACGATAAGGCCAAAGTACATGAATCCGCCAACGATTATCTTTGGGTCTTTGAATACGTTTCCTACGTCTCGGAGTTTGATTGGGCGCTCGGCTGCAGATCGACCCTGGTCGATTTGGAGGCGTGCCTGGACGAAGGCGCGTTCGGGCTCAGACAACCATTTTGCTTCCTCGGGGAAATTCGGGAGCAGGAAGAAGAATGCAAAGGAGAATAGGATGGTAAGTAACCCCTCCAAAATGAAGATCCATCTCCAACCGCGGTAACCTCGCATGTAGTCCATTTTTCCTATCGCACTGGCGAGTAGTCCACCAAAGGCCCCGGCCAAGGTCGTGCTTGAGAAGAAGAAGGAGTACCGCTTTTGCGCCTCGTGTCGACGGTACCACATTCCAATCAGATAGAAGGCACCGGGAAACATGCCTGATTCGAATACTCCCAGGAAGAAACGCGTGGTCAAAAGGCCGGAGTAGCTCTGGACAAAACCCTGCAGCATGGTAACGAGACCAAAACCAAACATGCAGATACTAAGCCAGATACGCGGTTTCATCTTCTTGAGCAGGATATTCGAGGGTATTTCGCAGAGAATATATGGGACGAAGAAGATGACCAAGGCTGTGTTGTACCGGTTGTCTTTGAGTAGGTCGAGTTCCTCGCTCAGACCAAAGACGTTTGCATTTGCAATGTTGACGCGGTCCAAAAAGGCCAGGAGATACATGATGCATAAGAATGGGAGCACATGGAAGTCGATCCTGGCCACGAGCTTGGTTTCGGTAGTGTTGGGCGGACATGTAGCCAGTTCGGGGGCGTCATGGTAGTCGCTGGTAGTGTAGGCGGGTGCATGTTCTTGCTTGTCCAGATCCGGAGATGCATTGCCTTCTGGAGACAATTAGTATACTGCAGTGACATTCTGTAAGGCCGGTGTGATGGATATGGCGTAGTCGGTGCTTGTAAGACCTAAGCTTCGGCGGGAGCGACCACAAGGACTTGGCAGCGCAATGATGAACTCTGACTTACTCTCCTTCTTTCCAAACATGATGGCGGTCAATGCAGCTGTCGAGCTACACGGCTAGCGATGTCGAGGGCTGTCGGCGGCGTGGTACTTAATCAGCTGGCTGGTCGACTAGGCGTACCGTGGTTCAACAAAGGCCAGACGCACGCTTGACGCACACTTGCAGCTTAGGGAAGGAGAAGTAATTATATGTAAGGCTTTGGGGCGGACAGTCATCAGGGTACTGGGCAAGGCCGAGGTCGGAATCACACCGCAAATAGGTGCGCAACCTGCTCTCCAACCCCGCATCTCTAGCTCTAGGCCTTTGTCCCCATTGCGTACATGCAAGCGATGGCTGTGGATGGCCTTTTGCTTAGGCGTTCCCCAGTCGCCAAGTCACGGGAATCCAAGGCGGGGAGGACGGCGGGTATCCAGCCAGCAGCAGTCCAGCCTCCTTTAAGCTCGATAGGGCGACTTCTGCCGGGACCATGGCGCAGGAAAAGGCGTCTCGCGTGCGGTCTGATGCAACAATGTGATCAGCCGTGTGGCGTTTTCGGTTTAATTGGGGAAGAATCAAGACAAGTTCGGCAGGCATCCGCACCGAGATGGTCGAATGCGCGCATAGTTCCGCAGTGGGTTGAAAGTGATGATGCACGACTCTGTCGTAGTCGACGTGTTGCAGTGCAGGGCGAAAACGCAGACGCAGGCGCAAGCAACTCATCTTGTCAGGCTGGCGCCATACGTGCCCTGGTGCAGGGCCGTCGCAGGTACTAAGGGCAAGGTTTTGTATCCGAAGGGCCAACCTTGCCATCGGGCAAGTCTGAATCGGCAGCCGACCTCACTCAAGCCTGGGCACGCGAAAGTCTCAGCGTCGGCCACGCTCCTTTCTCTTCTCTCCTTCAGCCTCTCGACCGTCCACCCACCTTCTATACCCCCTGCGAGCACCGTATGCAAGGCCCGACCCGACGCCCTGCGAGTGTGACTGCGAGCGATCCGATCCGAAACCCTAGAGCGGCTGGCCTGCGGACCCGAGAATGGTGAATGCCAAATATGTCGCCTTTACAGTCAACAAGCAGACGCCCTTTCTGCAGACGCCCGATCAGGCCTATGCCACCGTAATCAACTGTCGCCCTCCGACGGGCAAGCGGGCGGGGTATGCGCACGAGGTGCGCTCCCACAACGTTCCCTTGGCCAAGGTCGAAGGCAGTCTGAAGCGCAAGCGGGGCGACGACGGCAAGAGGGACAACGAACAAACGACCAGTCTGGCCATTTCCTCGTGCTCCGCGAGCAATGCGACGACTCCACATGCCACGGCTACGGCCCGCCCGCTCCTGAATCAGCAGTGGCAGCAGCGCAAGCCGACGCGGTTACGCAGGGGCAAAGTCCTGTCCAAGGGCGTCGACCTCGACTGCTGGTTCATCATCCTCTCCTACTCGGACCCCGCCCAGCTACTGGAAATGCGCAGTAAAATCGCCTCCTGCTATCGCTTCCTGCGGGACAACCCCATGCTCTGGAAGCATAGCAGGGTTTACTACTACGGACCCGACATGCCGGACCCACCTCCAGGACTTAGCGAATTTCAGTTTGCACATCTACGCCACGGACACGGCTGTATGGACTGTGGTGCGCCGGTGAATAATTCCCACCACCAGTCGTAGTTTGAAACACGTATTGACTTTGTTTAGAACACCCGCAAGACCTTCTGGGCTTTCCTGCGCCGAATGTGCAAGGATTGTCTGACAAACCAGGTCATCAAAGAATACGAGGCCGTGGCACTGCTCAAGGGTCAGAACGGAGAAGACATTTCCTTCATCCGCGCGGCTCTGCCCAGTGGCATCTTCGATTCTTGGGGTAACTTTGTCGGCGTCGGTCCAGCTAGCACACATGCACTGAAAACAATCTACCTGCGTTCCGACGTCAACAAGATCGTTGCAGAGTACAACCGTGAGGCACAACTCCATGCTTCCGATGCTTCCACCGAGCAGCCGCCTGCTTGGCTGGCCGCGTGGATTGCTGCCAAGGCCAAGAAGGTAGAGGAACGTCAGATGTTTGCCAAGAAAATGGAGCAGTGGGAGGAGATGCAGCGGACAGCCCGGACGACAGACTACAGCGCCAAGAAGTCGCGGCGTAAGATGTTCTTCAAGGAAAAGGCATCGCAACTGCACCCACCCATTGGCGTCAAGGAGCTCGAGGCCTGCCCGTCATACAAGCGTGCCATTACCATCCCCAAGGACCCCAACAACACATCATGGGATCTCCTCAAACCAAAGATTGTAAAGGAAGCCGCAGAAAACGCAGCCAAGCGAACGGCCGATGACTCGCGCCCGCCTACAGCGTCGACGTCTGGCATCTCCACACCCACAAGCAGCATGGACGGTTATCCGCACACGCATCCCTATCTCAGCATGATCATGGGCTTGCCTCCACCGGACGGCCGCATGTTCTGATAATTTCCTTTGTCCACGTGACGCCGGGACGACCAGTATACGAGGGATGTAATGTTTCGGGTAATGACTACTGCATTGATGGTTTTGGAGTTTGGGGCAGCGGTGTTTGTTATTCACTTTCACGAGCATGGACATGAGTATTCCCTTGCAAGGCGTTTGGTACAAGATTTGGGAACACAGTATCCGGGGACAATAGGCTAGTAGGAGTTCTTCGCGCGATAGTCCTTTTTTTTAAACATTTTCTTGTTTATTTCCTTTCTTTCTAGCTCACACTAATAAGTGCCACCGCCGTTTCTGAAATCTAATAGATCTGTCCAAGCTTGACACTTGACTTGACACACTTCGTGCACTGACTCTTAAGACATGCAGGTACCACGTGTCGACTGTCAGTCAGCCTCTCACATGCAGGTACCTTCACGTCAGGAAAACTGCCTCTTTGGGCGAAAGCACCCACTTTTGCTGTGCGCCGCTTTCGGAGGACAACGGCATGTGGACATGATCGTACGAGTCATTCTCGGCAGCTTAGTATAGCAGGGTCCCCGTTGGTCCAACATGTTTTACACAACAGCACCCGGTGTCGGCATGGCTGATATTATCCAACATTGGGGTGTCTGAGCAGAAACAGCCGATGCATCGAGGTGAAGATGCTCGCCGCTGAGGGCATGTGCCGCAGAGCCTCACACTCTATTTACCCCTCATTTGGGTGTCTGGCCTGCGTCGATCCACCTTGCCACAGCGAATCAGAGCACCTGGAAGTCGGATTATGCATCAAGACAAAGGGCCAGCCCTACAGCAGCTACAAAACCCAAGGTTTCCCCTGCCGAAAACTACCTCGCGTCATTCATTGCCTTGAGCAAAATGAAACGAAAACTTAATCGGCACGATAATGCCATCTTGATCAGAAGGCGTGTTCGCGAGCGACGGCCGTGGATATCGTAATCGCAAGGGTCCAGACGGCCATGGTCAGCGATGCATTTGATTGGTGCTGGCCGCTATCAAAGTGGGTCTTTCCTGGCCGTTGTTTCCAGAATCTCTCGATGAAAGATTATCGCCATCGTTGCCCCGAGGCACGTAACGGTAATATTAAAGCCCGATTTCCTCCCGCATCTTTCATTTCACGATCTACTGTGCTCTTACCTTCTTTGAGCCCCCCTGCCTTACCTCCGCAGTCTCAATTGAGCTTTGTAGAGACGACAAGGAGCTCTGATAGACAAACATCTGCCACGTCAAATATTTTTGTCAGTTGGGCTATTATACCACACCGTCAGTCACAATGGCATCGGCCTCTCGAAACTTTTCTCGCGCCCTGCGTACCGCTGCACCCTCGTTCCGCACCACGTCGACTCGCTCGTCTGCCCGCTTCGTCGCTCCCGCACAAAACGCTTTCCGTACCCAGCGACGCGGATATGCTTCCAAGGAGGATGGCCCTGACAAGCATGAGGGTAACCCCACTGGTCTAGCGTGGGGTGCTGGTGCTCTCCTTGTTGGTGCTGGTGTATACAGCTTGTACACGTACAAGCCTGAGTTGTTCGGTCAGACCAATACCAAGAGAATCTTCACCCCACGCTTCGAGGACTACCAGAAGGTCTATGATCACATTGCAAAGCTGCTGCAGGATCACGACGAGTATGATGACGGTAGCTACGGACCCGTGTTGCTTCGTCTGGCATGGCACGCTTCTGGAACGTGAGTACACTACTGATATCTCTCTGTGTAATCGAATCAAAAACTAACATACCATAGCTACGACAAGATGACCAACACTGGCGGTTCCAACGGCGCCACCATGCGCTTCGCCCCCGAAGGAGATCACGGCGCCAACGCTGGTCTAAAGGCTGCCCGCGATTTCCTCGAGCCCGTCAAGGAGGCCTTCCCCTGGATCACATACTCTGATCTCTGGATCCTCGCCGGTGTCTGCGCCATCCAAGAGATGCAAGGCCCCAAGATCCCCTACCGCGCCGGCCGCACCGACCGCGACGTATCCTTCTGCACACCCGACGGCCGTCTTCCAGACGCGAGCAAGGACCGCAGCCACATCCGCGCCATCTTCGGCCGCATGGGCTTTGATGACCGCGCCATGGTCGCTCTATCTGGTGCCCACGCTCTGGGCCGCTGCCACACCGACCGTTCTGGCTACGACGGCCCCTGGACTTTCTCGCCTACTACCCTCACCAACGACTACTTCAAGTTGCTGCTCGAGGAAAAGTGGCAGTACAAGAAGTGGAATGGTCCCAAGCAGTTCGAGGACGTCAAGACTAAGAGCCTCATGATGCTGCCCACGGATATGGAGCTTGTCAAGGACAAGAACTTTAAGAAGTACACGGATCTGTATGCCAAGGACAATGATGCTTTCTTCAAGGACTTTTCAGAGGCTGTGTGCACCCTGTTTGAACTCGGTGTGCCATTCCAGCAGCCAGAGGACCAGCGTTACGTCTTCAAGAGCTCTTTTGATTAAAGGGGGGCTTGTATAGATTGTTGAAGGGAGCAAGCGAGGTTGGAGGAGGTTTTCCTTTGAACCAGAGATATCCATCTAGACTTAGATTCTTGTTTTTTCCAATACGGCACTGGCTTTGTTCTGGGGTGTGGTTACTCTCCACTAGACCGAACTTAAGAATTTTTTTGTAGATCAAAGATTATACAGTATCGTGGAAATCGTGTGCATACATCGTCAACATATCGGTCGCGTCTTCACATATCTCTCGCTTTCAGTTCTCCTTCTGTACGCCAGCAAGCTGAGCATTCTTCTTCTTCTTCTCCCAGAATGCCTGATGATCCTCGTTCATCTTGTGAAACGCCTCAATCTCCTTGCTTCCCAGGTCCTCAATCCTCATATTCAATTCCTTGGCCTCTTTCTCCGGTAGGGTTGGAATAGTAGGAAAGTCCTCTTCTTGGTAATCTGAACCTTGGTATATGAATTCTGGGAACTCGCTCGTAGGTGCCGCAGTATACTCATCGTTTACTTCAGACATTTCCTCGTCGAGAAAGGTTACGTGTTTTTTGCAGGGCCTTGATTTCTTCGCTAACGGTGAGCTATCTTGCTCAGGAACGAAGAGTGTGGATTCAGCATCTGTGGCTCTAGACGGCGACGAGGAGAGAGGGCAGGGATAGTATGAGAGACCATTGAAGCGTGGCTCAGTGAACAACAACTCCTTCATAGTTTCCTCTCCTAGACACACAGTGCCCAGTTTCCACACCTCGCCCACGACTGTCTCCCATTCTTTTTGCAATGTTGCTAGCTCTTCCTTCTGCGCCACGACGAGCTTTTTGTAGTTCTGCATCCGCTCTTCGAGTGTTTGTTGGAAGCGTATAACTCTTCCTTCGCTGGTGGTGTGGCGTAGGCTCAGTATGAATTGTGAGATGGGAGGCGGATGGAGCTTGGTGACTGGACGGCCATACTTCGCTGATGTGGGGGATATAAATGGGGAGGTGTTGAGATTTTGCTGGTTGCCATTGGGAATTGTGGCTGGCAGTGTGCGTTCGTTGACGGTTTTTAGGGCGTCCCCGAGCGTCTTTTTGATTTCGAGTGAGGCAGTTTCATCGAGCTGCTCGTGGTACTGATTGCTGATTTCTGGAGAAGGGACTCTTAGTGTCCAGCACATATACGACTCCATGGGAGAAATCACCTTGAGATAGCATAGCTAGTGGCATGTCTGACTGCCTCTGTTCTGTAACTCCCTGCTTAAAACTAAGCAACGTAGTACCATCAGCATCCTCCACTTCATCTCTAGAACCGCTCGACTTTCCTCGTAATGTGGCATCGTCTTTTCTCGACTTCTTGTATTGATTCATGAAGACTGCGGCTGCTGAGATTGTCTTCTTCGCGTGTGGAGGCGACATCGTGTTCTTCTCAGGAGGACTCGTATCGCCGCGCGTTCGGGATAGTGTTTTGTTGTGCTCGGTATACATTCAAATAAACATTTATGGGATTCGTAAAATGTAAGTAGAGACTTGGAGTTGATGTTCAGGATTTGCACAGGCCCATGACATTTTCTGGCTCCGGCGAGGAAGGCGCACTGGTCAGGTTAGGAAGGAGCACTACAAGTGATCTGTTACACATAACATGAATAATTTGTAAAACTGGAAAGTACACAGTTTCTGTATCTCTGAGAGGCCCGCTGTGATGCGGCGTACGTATTGGTTCTCATGAATTTACATTCTCGTCATTACTCAGGTGGCAACCACTCCCGAACAATTGTAGTCAGCAGCAATATAATACATTTCATAACAGTGGATTGATACATTATTTGTATCCACGTATACATGGTGCAGCCCAGCCCATCCCTTATGGGGGTGTTTGTTCAGCAGGAACGACTACACCCTTCTCCTCTAACATCTTCGCAAGCGAGCCATCTTGGTGCATCGACATGAGGATATCACAACCACCGACGAACTCCTTGTCCACGTATAGCTGGGGTATCGTCGGCCATTCCGAGTATTCTTTGATGCCTATTTTCATTTGTCAGCATGCAATGTTCTGTGAAGTAGTGTAGCCATCCGCGGCACATCTACGCCGTCGGATGCCAATGGTGCTCATTGTAGAAAACAAGGTTTCAGAACATACCCTGCCTCAGTTCCTGATCCTCCAGCACATTGAAAGCCGTAAACTTCTCCGGATCTACTCCTTGCATGCCCAAGATTTGGATGCTAGCTCTTGAGAAACCGCATTGTGGTGTTTCTGGTGTGCCCTTCATGAACAAGACTACCGGCGCCGATGCAACAGCCTTGTCGATTGCAGAGCGAACTTCATCGGATAGAAGTCGAGCTTGGAATGGCGTGAGGAAGCGGGCGCTCGGGATGGGGCGAGCAGCGCTCGCGCGAGTTGCAGCTCGGAATGCCTGAGTTTAGTTAGCATATAGATATATGTGAGCATGCACCAGTAAATCATACCGAAGGGATTGCGCGTCTTGCAAACATTATGTGCTTTTGGTGAGTGTTGATAGAAAGTTCGGTCGTCGGATCACCTCCGTTGTTCGCCGCACCCGAAATCTTCGATGAGGTCAGAATGCCAAGACTGCGGACATCACTAACTTAATGCCTTTCGTTCTCCATCGGCAACACCTGATCAAAGTCGTTTGAACCAACTCATCTATTATTGAAAATACATCCCTTAGGGGACGTCTATTTGCGCCTTAGCAGATAAGGGTAGCTCACTATTTACAGTCAGATGGCCGAAGCCCTTCTCCTAGTTTTATCTTGCCGCGTGCTGAAGATAATTCCAATACCTTTGAGAGGACACATGCCCTTAGCGTATTGTTTTTCTAGTCATTTTCTAGAATGCCTCGTCTTCCACGAGAATACGAGTCAGCTATATTTAGATTCGGGGTCCTTCTCGACAATCAAGCCATTACAATTACGTTTAATGATGATATTTGGTACCTTCTTTCCCTACCGAATGATTACCAGTTTGGTAACGAAATATCTATCGTACTTGCGCTCTGATGTTCTTAACTTGTTATATGCTGAGTTTTTCCTACATACTCTACCTTATTAAACCCCGAGTTACTTGACCTTGATTGGTTCAAGCGCTCAACCACTTCGAATGCAGTACATCGTTCCTTTGGGTTGATATGCAACATTGCGCGCACAACCCGTACCACTGGCCACCACTTCCCATTATCACGCTCAGCCACATTCTCTAACGAATCATCTACCACGTCTAGCGGCTCTGCAGGAAAACCCCCATCTCCCTCGATCTTCTCCTTGAAGTAGAATCTTCTAGTCTCTCCTGATTGGTACTCTTTGAGAGTGCGGAACCATCTCAGTTCCCCCGATCCATCGATGAATCAGATCAGCAACTCCAGAAACACACATTCCATAGATCAGAAATCGTGGGGAAAGGAAATGTGCTCATCGATATCGATCTCGGGTAGGAGATATGTCGGGTTGCCCAGTGTATGTTACAATTGACATTACTTTCTGGGATATCGACTACGAGAAACGGAACTTGATTTTCAATGAGCTTTTGCGGGCATTGGGTTAGGTTAAGCGGAAGGCTGGTGTCTCTGAGTCTGCCGTGCTGCATGATCCCGTGAAGCCACGACGTTGACATACCGCTGTACAACCTATCGGCGAAAAGCCTGGTACATTTTCTAGTATCTTTTTTTCTGAAATCTAATCGATCATGTTCTGGTATGGATTTCGAATCGCCTGCAAGGATCTTGTCGACGTTTTCATCCGCGGGAACCGTTCCATGAGCTCTTGTGACCGCAATCATTCTTTTACCGAGCTTTTTCACCACTTACCTCTGAGATTTATCTTTCGATACTCTCGTGTATGTTTTATAAATTATAATGTTCTTTACGATCGCTACTGAGCCTATTGGGTTCTGAACGGGACGACTACAACAATGTGGCATTTGATAGAGTAGCCAAACAGCTCTCCTTCGTCGTGGAGGCTAGTAGTGCACATGTTGAAGTCTCTAGTGTTGCGTAGGTCACTCTTGCAGACCGCCATCATGCATGGCTGATCTTCGCATGTGACCATCTCAATTGATGACACGAGCGGGTATCTGCGGACCCCATGTTTCGCCACAGTCTTCGGACTTTGATAAACCGGAGTACGCTATTGTACTTTAGCAGTGTAGGTGGTTTCGGGACGCAGAGTTTACGCTTCTTTGGGATGAGGAAAATATAGGTAGCCAGTTCGAGTTCAAGTGTCATGCTGATATCTTGAACGAGTCTCAAGAAAGGAACGAAGATGAGTGTAAGACAGTAGTTGAGCAGACGAGACAGATATTCATGATAGAGTAAATTAATCGTACCACTGCAAAGAACCTCCCAACAAAGCTGAAGTTGGACTTTGATGGACTGTATGGTTTCTACCGGCGATTAAACCCGCCGGGTACCGTATCTACTAGGTTTGATTAAACCAACAAGGCATGTTTTATTCATATTAGATTACCAAATATCCCTCGGTTAAACGATGAGTGATGAGTATCATGAAGGAAAGCTCAAAAATTGTGTTTTGCAGCCGGTGTCGTATTAACCGAGTCAGTTCTGGGGCCAAGGAGCATTTACCCCACGATAACTCTTCTCCAACAAGTGGAGCAGGGTTACATGTACTTCATTTCGGCGAATCTACAACCGATGTAGGCGATCGAAAGTACGTTAGACCTTCATCTACAGCTCATGGCAGTACCGGATAAAATCGTATTCGACACTAAAGAGACGGCTGTCTCGCTCTCTAGTGATGCCGAGCCGATAGTTCGTTACGCGGACATTTTGTTTTTGCATCGTACGGTTGGTATTGTGGGCGATTAGCGGGCGCTGACCCAAGAGATCTGCCGGTTTGCCCATTGCTTGATTCTTAACCCATGGGGCAGTATTCCGCACTCTGAAATAAGGCCGATAGGGCTGAAAGGCGCTGATACCGAGGCGACGCCTCTGTTGTACTGCTGCGGGTGCAGCCTCGCAGCAGCCTCGCAGATCAACAGAGTGAGGCTCGTACAAGAGATTCAGGTATAAACAAAGCGCAAATGCGGCCATGTCTCTGGATGGCGCAGAGTCGCAGCTGGCTCTGGCTCTGGCTTTGGCATGTCCCCTCAAAGATGCGGCAGCGACTACGACACACGCTACCCCCCATTCTCCACCAATCCCCACACATCAACGTCAGCAATTTCTCTCGTCGCAGGATCGCGATGGAGGAAAACATCTTGGCGTTGTAATAATTTGAGGACCGGACGAGCGGATGATTGGTGCGAAATTGGATGCCTGACGGGATGCCGACGGATAAATTCAGGCCAGATATCGAGGAGCGTACCACGGTGCCTGGCTTGGTCCGTTCGCTATCCCACAGCTCCAGCTTAGTGTGGCCTGCAACGGCATATTCACTATCCAGCCATAGAACGGCTCTAAAGCGAACAAACGCGCGGGTTTAACGGGAGCTTGCGTGCTTCCATCTGTTCACAGGACATGGTGGTGCTACCTCACCTCTTCAACCCTCCCACGCTCTGCGATTGAATCCAGACCTAGCCCTGCATCCCACGACCCCACGGATGAACTTACAGCGCTCTGTTTGAGACGCCTGTATTTCTCCATACACTGCCCCACCACCTCATCCTCAACCACGTTTCGGAGATGGTAGCGACGGCCGTCCAAGTTTGCCAGTTGTATACCGCCCGTCGCATCCTCGCCGAGGTCCAGCATCGCATCAACGGCTTCAATACGTACGGCTAATCCCACAAAGAGAAACAAGCGCACAACCAAACCCAAACATTTCCATGGCCACCATGGTACAGGCCGCGAGCGTGACCGCCACCCACCTCAAGGAAGGGGCGGTCCTTGATGTGCAGGAGATTCCGAATGGTGCCAGGCCAGCACTGTTGATCCTGCATAACGAAGGCGAGGAGGACATTGTAGCCATCTTCGCCGACGTGCTGGGCCAGCGCTGGGAATCAGCGTCATCGCTGGACGACGCGCTATCCGGACCACGTGAAACAGTATATGGGCTAAGCAGCACGCTGGCTAAGCCGCGACTGGATAGCTGGGATCGCAGTAGGCTACTCATCAACACACATCGGGTGGACGGAAGCTGCGAGCTGGACGAGACCATTACCGACCGCTGCGACTACGAATACCTCTACACGCGATCGCCCTTTTTCCGTCGAGATGTGTCGCGATATCTGGGCTTCATCCTAGGCCAGATTGGCCCTCACCGCGACCTTACTAAGAAGGCGCGCACGACATTGATCTCGACCACGTTCCCCGATGTGCACGCCGCACTCCCCAATCTGGATATCTTGTCAGTCGGGGCAGATGCAATAGAGATACGAGTAGACTTGCTTGAAGAGCCTCTGCCGGACGGCACTGTCAGTAAGGTCCCAAGCCTGAAGTATGTGGGAGAGCAGGTCATGGTACTGCGCCAGCGTACGGAACTGCCAATCATCTTCACGACGAGATGTACAAAGGAAAACGGACGATTCCCCATGGATGATCCCTCCCTCTTCTACAAGTACCTAGCACGCGCAATACAATGGGGTTGCGAATACATTGACGTGGAATTGTGGCTGCCAGAGGAGATTAGGAGGAAGCTGGCTGAGCATAAGGCTTGCACCAAGATAATTTCGGCGTTCCACGACTTCTCAGGTACTTTCAAGTGGACCGCGCCTGAAACACAACGACTGTTCGAAAGGGGGGCGGTGTACGGGGATATTGTCAAGATGTACGCCCTTGTCAACTCAATGCAAGAAAACTACGAGCTCGAGTACTTCCGGTCGACCATCCAGGCAAAGTATCCGCACCCTCCCTTTTCAGGCCTCAACATGGGACCTATGGGCCAGCTATCGCGGACTCTAAACAAGATATTCACACCAATCACACATCCGTTGCTACCTATGATAGCAGCACCCGGGCAATTAAGTGCAGCTGAGATCAATGCGGCGCTCCACACCATGGGTCAGATGCCCAAGCAGGACATTTACGGCATCGGGAGTTTCCGGTCAACATCGCAAGCCATGTTCTTTGAGAAGTGTTTCAACGAACTTAGCTTGCCACATTCGTTTGGGTTTGCAGAGCGAGCGCCCAAGGCTTCGATTGAGCATATCCTTGGCCGCAGCAACTTCGGGGGCGCGTACATCAACCCGCCGCTGGCAGCCTCAGCGCCATACCTTCCGTCTCTGTCCAACGCCGCTCGGGCAATTGGACAAGTTGATACTGTGCTGGTCGGACCCGGGACCAGCAATGCATCCTTCATTGGCGACAATACCCGGTGGAAGGGTATACGGGCCACCCTTACCCGTGACTTTGTGCCATCTGCATACAGTGGACAAGCGGCATTATTGCTGGCTAGCAACGAGGCCGATGCGTCGGCGTCGCTGTTTGCGCTGAAGAACCTTGGTATTGGGCCGATATATACCATAGGGTTCAAGTCGCAAGGGCCGCTGTCTACTGACGTGTCACCGGTACGGTCGATTGAGGATGTGAAGCGGCTACAAGAGCCGTTCGTTATCATCTCGGCACTGCCTGCGGATAAGTCATTGCTCGTGGTGCCCCTGTTGAAGCACTACAGGGTCGGGGGTCGGAATGGCACCACCAATGGCGCCACAAACGGACGTGGGTCAGCAGGAACAAGAGCTGCAGCTGGAAAAGTGTTTGTCGACCTGGCCAGTGGGCCCCGAAAGGCCGACCCACTGGCCATGGCCACATCGGCAGGGTGGACTGCATATGGCATTGATGACGTATCGGCATGGACAACAGTTGAAACGATTAGGAAACTCGTGGGCCAGAACGTATGCTATGACTTTGTGCGTTTGGCGTCTGGAAGGGGACACTTTTAGAATTAGCGGGAGCAAGAATGGAGCCTTGAGACGATTGAGTGATTTGGGCAGGAAATTTTTGATTTACATGTGAATCGTGCAGAAGTATATGCGACGTGACACTAGGCGGTATGGCGGCACATGCAGTGACAGCGGTAGCGGTAGCGGTGACAGCACTATGCTGAGTGACAGTCAGCGAGCGGAGTCAGTCTGGCCATGGCGTTTTCTTTTGTCGGGTTCGGGCAATGCCATGTGCCATGTGCCATGGTGAGGGAGAAGAGAACGACCGGGAAACAAGTCATGTCACAGTTCCTCGGGGGAAGCGTAACCGGGCACGAGGGCTGCCGAGCGCAGGACGGCTAGTTGTTAGGGTGGTTTTGGGATGTCGTGAATTGATTGGCGTGCGGGCGATACCCCAGATTTCCAGAACAAATGCGAGGCAGTCCGGCGCTACAAGGGGCAGCTAGGCCCATGGTGGATAGCTGCGTGAGACGGACGCAATCTAAGTGTCCAAATTGCTGCAGCTGCTGCATGGGGGGCAGAACCGAGGCACGGTGCGCTGTCTGGGGGGTTGAAGTTGTCTGGCCTGGGTTTGATTTCCCTCGCAACTCGAGCACCGGCGGGCGGGCTGGCCTCATACCAGTAATGGTCATGTTTTGGTTGCCCTCGCCGCAGCCGCCTAGAACTTGCAAGGGCTGGTAACAAGCCTATCCAGCGTCGTATCGCCGCCTCGGCCCAGCGGCCGCCAGTCTCCCACAGCGTCTCTGGGCTGGCTATCTTGGTTAAGGTGTGAGTGGGTGTGCAGTATGTGTATGCATGTGTGCGTGCCTGGGTTAGAGTCTGACTCTTTCTACCGGGGCGAGGCTACTGCGTATAGTACATGGTCCGAGGATCGTCATCACGCGTCCTTGTCCTCCCCAGCGGTTCCATCCACGCATCTGCATCCTTCTAGTAGACGCACCGCAGCGACTCGCATCCGAGTTGGCTCGCGCTCCCGCTTCATCAAGCCTCCCCCTGCCTGTCCCCGCTGCCAAAGGCCTTAATTTGAACTGGGACCTTGCACCGTGCTACTTTGGTGTGCTTTCTTCTTCCTAACGTCTTGTTCGCGGCCAAACGGTTATTTGCAGGCAGAATATGCTTCTGGTCCACCGTCTTATAGCTTCGCTATGTCCACCGAAGTCTCGCAGTCACTGGCCGCCGCAATGGCACGCCCTCAAATTGGTATCGACCGTCTGCCGGCCCGCCGCGTTTCAAACGAGCCCCGAGAGGCCATGAACTGCAAGAGTTGTCGGAAGCGAAAGGTTGTTTTCCCCCTCTATCCTGCCTGTTATCGTCACTCAACATGGTATCAATGCTGACGGCCCGCTTAGATCAAGTGTAACCGCACACGGCCAACTTGTGAAGCTTGCCAGGTCTTCAACTGCCCGTGTATATACGGTATGTGGCATCATTTTGACCCCTTCTGCTCAGTCACTTGCACATCAAAGCTGACCTGCTACTGCAGATGCCGTGCCCAAAAAACGAGGTCCAAAGACGGACGTCCTCGAGGCTCTTCTCAAGCGCGTCGATGGCTTGGAGAAGCGCCTCGTGTCTGAGGGCAAGAGCGACGACCCATCTGAAGTTGGCACCACGACGACGGCCATGCAGGAGAAGACCAACGTCGACCGAAAGCCAACAGAGCTTGCAAAGTCGCAGTCACTTTCTCCTCCACAGGCCTCGCCCCACCATGCAGATGCTATGCATCAAGCACAGCAGTTGATGTCGCCAGTGGAGCCGAGGTACCTACTACAGCCTGTGTGCAACTTTGCACCTGACACACAGCTAACACGACCGTCTAGCATCCAATCGCCCTCGCTAGCACCCGACCTGCTGGTAGACACGTACTTTGCCAGAATCCATGGAAAACCTTACTACATCCTGGACGAGTCGACTACTAGACAGCGACTACAGGCCAATCAGATCCCGAGCCACTTAGCCTATGCTATTTACGCAGTGAGCGCCAGGTACGATACGGACGTGCCCGAGAAGATGCTGAACACAATTAATATATTACCCCAGATATGCACCCCACTTCGGAGGATACAGCTCTGCAGTGCGCATCGGACAGGAATATGCCCGCCGCGCTCGCCTCGAGCTCGATATTGATGAACCCTCGATCGAGACCCTGCAGACGCTTTTGCTTCTTTCGCAAGCGAGCTTTCAGCTGGGCAAGGGCAAGAAGACGTTGATGCTGCTGAGTATGCACATGTCATGCCGACCGCACCTTCCTTGTGCTAACATGCCCCTGTAGACTCCGCCATAAGCATGGCATTTGCGCTCGATCTACACCGCGAATTACCCCATGCCCTCAAGGTTACGCCTGCCGAACGCGAGGGCCGACGACGTCTCTTCTGGTCTTGCTACCTCATGGACCGCTTCGCTGCAACTGGCTCCAAACGCCCCTCCCTGGTCGCGGATGAATCCATCGTGCTGCGACTACCCAGCTGGCAGCTGCACCCGGGCGCCATGCTAATCGAAGGAGATTATTTTCCCAACGGCTGCAATCTGCAGTATATGGGCGCCACAGGAAAATGTGGACAAGGTAGCATGGGTATGTTGATCGGCATAGCACGAATCCTGGGTATAACAAATCGCTACTTAGCGGCCGGAGGCGTCAAGGGGGACTCACACTTTCCTTGGCATTCTCTCTCCAACCTTTCCAAGATCCGCCAAGAACTCGACGTCTGGGCCTCTGAGACGCAGGATACCTTTTCATCCATCGACGCCCTCTTTGGCCAGCCGGACAGCACCATCCTGGTTCTGAGTAAATTGGTCTACCACCTCATACATTGCCTCATCTACCGTCCGTTTTTGCCTGTAGATTTGGCAGAGTTATCCGGAACGTCGCAACATCAACCCTGGCAAATCGAAGCGACCAACCTGTGCTTCCTCCATGCGAACGCCATCGCGGAACTTGCTGAGATAGGACGGGCTTCCTCCATCATCGACTGGCCAGCCTTTGTCGGCTACTGCGTGTGCACAGCAGGCACCATTCACGTCCATGGCGCTCACTACCCTGGGCGAGAAGGCGAGGTCTTTTCCGTCAGCGCCGAGTTCCTATCTCGTGAAATACAGCAACTATCCGAGCTTCGTTTCGTATGGGCGGGTGCTCAGCACCAGCGAGACACCCTCCAGACCATTTATGGATGCCATACGGAGCTTGTTCAATCGCTTGCAAGCAATCCGATGCGCTATGCGCCAGTATTCCAGCTCGAAGACTTTTTCGACAGGTATCCCGGCCAGGTCTTTGACGGATCGCACATCACCTTCATGGACATTGCGGTTGATTCCATCCATGAAGGGTAAGTAGTCCGAGCTATACACCGTGCACAGTCGCTTACCAGAACAGCCTCGCGACCTTCAACATTGAGCAGCGAAACAACATGTATCTAACCAGCGGTGTGATTGGAAACGTTCAAGAGTACCAAAAGCGACCAGTACCAACACAGCGACCGCAATACACCAACGGTCACTCAAACAAGAGGCGGAGAGCAACAACTTCAGCTGTAAAAGCACCGACACAACCACAACAGATCCCCCCTACACCCACATCAGCCACACATCCGCCTATCGTACATACTCACAGGCCATCGGATGCCGATACTTCGGAAACGAATGGTAGCCCTGGAGACACCAGATCTGTTCCCGCCGATTCGAACGTATCGCCCTACTCACCGCCATTACCGAACAACTCACTAAACCCCCCAAACACGAACGGTGGCGGGCTTAACCTTCCGTTTTCGCCAAATTTCACATTCTCGCCATTGCCGCAGCTTGCAAGCTTAGCACCATCGCCAGTTCGTCGCCCGGCAAATCTCAACCCCGATCAAGACAACCCTGCGTTAAATCTCGACCCGAGACTGAGTATGCCGATTCCTTATGATCAGCAGGCAACCCCAGGTGCAGGAAGTACGTCAGGTGCATCGGCGCATACGGACCCTGACAGCAAAGATCCGTTTTTGACTTTGCTTGAACAACTCGCAGAGAACGAGGTCAGCAGAGGCGGCCCAAGCGAGCTAGATTTCTTCTTGGGAGGTCACAGTGGTTGATATTGCGACACTTCCGCAACAGGCTCGAGATTTCGGAGTGGGCAGCCCCGCAATATCACGGCGGACCGTCGGGGCGGCCATGCTGCCCATGATCATCACATGGGTTTACATTTGCACAGAACTTTCACTTCAGAGTACATTTTACAATAGCTGCGATGGCTATCATTTAGGGCTCTTCAACAAGGCGACACAGTCGGATTAAACTAGGGTTCCGTGTAACCAAAATAGGGGTGTTTTGGAGCGCATTTGAGGCTGGCTTCATAGCCCGGAAGCCACGTTGAACGAACGTCACGGCCGCCATGTCTAAACTTGTATAATAGCCACTTGTTCGGCAAATCCACAAGCGCTTTTCGCAAAAGATAGGCGATAGTAACACAATTGCCGCACAAGGTCCACAGAATTAATTCAATGGTACAAAACCACTCCACTCCGTCTCACTGTGCTTGCTGCGGAACAGGCACCGTGGCACATGTTTGGTTGCTCACGCTAGTTTGCGCCCGGTAGGCAGGGTCCGGTTCTATCTGATAGTGCAGCATCGGGAAGTGGGCGTCATGGAGGGTGGGGAGAGAGAGAGAGAAAGCGAAAGAGCGCAGGCGAGACGGCGTCGGCTTCGGTGCTTTAATCGGCACTCCACCCGCTGAGGGGTGTGCATTGCGTGCGGAAGCCATCTGATTCGAGGCGCCCAAAGTACGGTAAATAACTTTAGTGAGGTAGGATGCCGTGTTCGCATAGCCCGCGCTGACTGTTTGCGTATTCAAACAAGGGTCCCTTACCTGTCTACCTAGCTAGCATTTTTGTTCTTGTGCTTCTTATTTGGCGCGGTATCTCGCATATGGGGGTTTTGTCGGGCGGGAATCCCGGGTATTCTAGAACTCTTTGCTGTGTGTGCGTGTGTGAGCTTGTGTGGATGGACCGATATGGAGGGAGGGATGTGCTGGGTTGATGCCGGGGACGATAGATACGAGGGAGACATGGGTTGTTTTGGGCTACACGTGATCGGTTATTTGGTTTAGCTTTTGTCTTTGAGGCTTTTCGGGTCTGGGAAGGTGCGACGATTACGGTTGTGATGATGATGACGATGACGATGATGATATCTATGGGTGAACGAATCAAATCTTACGATTGATCGTCTAACTAGTTCTCTGGGCTTTTGGTCTTGCGCTTGTTTGCTTCCTTCTTTCTTGTTCCTGGCCTTGCTCTTGTTCGTCTTCCTTCCTGGATTCATCATACTAAGGACCAAGACCCCCCTAGAACAGATTTACCAAGGATCTTGTTCGGCGACGGAGACGGGCGGGAGGCTGCAATCTATATATACATGTACGTATAATATCACCTTTTTTGTTTCTATTTAAGTTTATTTTATACTTTAATTTACGAGATGTTTGTATGAAAGAAAGCGAAAGAGAGGAGGGTGTGTGCGTGATGTTCCCTGTTCCTTGAGCCCCTGCCTTGCTATGCCCTGGTAACTAGAGCGGACCCTGGTAGACCAGACCCTGGATTGCAATTGTGAATCCAAGGCAGGTTACTCGACTTGATAAGTAGGGCGTGTTTATATGTGAGTATCTGTTAAGACTTCTAATGTGTATGTTCAAGTTACTTAGCTACATACAAGCAAACTGAAGTGCCATTGTTCGTCTTCCCCATTTTCATGCAGGTCATGACTTGTGGTCTTGAACTTGCCCTCTTCTCCACATAGTAGCACGTACGGTAGTGTGGGCTTGCTTTGAATAAGTGGTGCGGAGGGGAATCCGGGGGAAGAGTCCACCCGTAAGTGCAAAGCATGGTCATGATGATGATGGGCATGGTGAGCATGATTTACGACTACGACTTAGGCTGCTTTGTCCACTTTATCGCGGAGCTGAGTTGCTAGTTAGAGTCTAGCTTGGGAAGTGCGGCAAGCATGGGAGCGATCCTTTCCGCGCACATCGCATGATTATCAAGGACAGGAGGAGAGGTGATGTGTGGAGGGGAGCAGGAGCGGGCTTGTGCGCTTAGCTGGTTGTGGTTGCAATAGTGGGAATGTGTGTGGTTTCTTGAGATCCGCGCAACACACACGACACGATTACACTTAGTTTAGCATTTACAACATGACTACAGTAAGTTGCCGGCTACGCCTACAGATGCCCTCTTCCGTCCTCTTCTTCTCGTATACCTGATCGATACCATGTTGTTTTCGCGCCCCAGTAACCGGGAAAGTATCGGTATCGGTATCGGTCGTTATCGGTATAATACCACTTGAAACCTGACATGATGTGATGTGACAATGTCGCAGGGATGTAAGTTAGGAAACGAAAGGATAAAAATAATATACTGAGACATGCGGCGCGAATACGAAGTCGAGATGAGGGGAAAAAACGTGGGTCACGGCATGACCATGTGTTGTTGGGCAAACAAGGTCCTTACCTGCTGACATGACGGATGCAGATGCCGGTACATGTTTGCTGTACCCGTTCATCTCGCTACACCAAACAGCAGTAGCAAAACCAAGAAATCAGTCCAGAAGCTTAAAACGGTAGACCGTTTAGCTCGGAGACGCCCTCTCCGCTTCGTCTTTTCAACGTCGCCCCGCAAACACGTACGCATCCTTTACCGATCCATCGCTCGACTGCATCCGCCCACGGTGGACGGGCAGTTGGGGCGAACGCACCTTGACGCCTTACTCCATTCACTCGTGGGTACGTGCGCAATTCGGTGTCTATGATAGGCTCGGGTCACTTACAAGACTATGTATGTACAGGCAACGCACGTTGTCCAACTGTTTGACTTTAATATCTACCGGTGGTACATACACGAAGTGGTCTTTTTCGCCCTCACTAAACCCAGACAACACACAATGACACTTGACAGCGTCTGTGCCCCTCGCTTCCTTGCCTGCAGCCGAGGGCTTAGTGAATAACGTCGTCTTGGCTGTGCGTACGTTTGCGTTGCGTTGCATCGCGAAGCATGATCCGCGGGCGAGAAGGAAGCAGGGGAGCGAGTCACTTGCTAGGGTGCTGCGGAGCGCTGCAAGCTTGGTGAACGGTGTCGGCGAAGGAAGCGTTGACAGGGGAGAAGGAAGAAAAGAAGCAAGAGAAGAGCCGTTGGTGCGGACGGGAGTGGGAGCTTAGGACGGTCAGGGTAGTGGAAAGTGTGGGTGCGTTGATGCAGGGTCTCTGGAGCTGCGTGGCTATTCTGCAGTCTGTGGTAAGCATATGTGACATGTGATGCATGGTTTTTCTTCAGGGGTGAATTCTGAATCATGTGCGGTTTGGTAAAGGAGATTTGGAGGAGGCTGTGCGGTGTGAAAAGTGAGCAACGGCTGCCGTCGGCGCCGGCGTCGGCGTCGGCGAAGACGAGGAAGATGGTCTGCGAAGGTCATGGTAGGCCTAGATGGGCGGTACAGATGAACGGAAAACTAGACGTAGAAATCATGTGATCAGTATACAGTGCACCATATGGTGTTTTTTGCTCATCTATCGATAGGCAGCCGTGTATGCGTGTGTGAAAGAGAGTATGTGGCTTACTTACGGCGCATAAGTGATCATCCCGAGATCAGCACGCATTGCCCAAACTCCGCACTTTCACCTACTGACGACTCAGACGACATGTCACTGCCAAAACAACTCTAATTCCTTCTCATGAATCAGGGCGATGTAGGCTACATCGGCTAACGTATACACGCGTGTACGACTCTACGCAGAAAAAAAAAGGAGAAGCAACGGTAAACGGTCAAGTCATCATCACATGCAAGCAAGTCATGCATAGAGCCCCGTTAGTTGTGCAGCAGAGGTGTTTTTCGTGAGAGCCACCGGCTACTTACAAACGCTGCAAGACCGTGGGGAGGAACCCCTAACGTGGCAGGCCTGTTTCCAAGGAAGTGGAGAAGCCCTTTCATTAGATACTGGCTTCTCTGTGATGTTTGGGCGTGAAGCAAGCTACGTATGGAGCGTATGCGGGTCAAGGGACCGAAGCAAAACGCACAAGGATGGGGAGAGTTGGGTCAACAGGGCGCTTCATAGCTTTGGGCGGCTAGAGTTGCGTAACGCG